CGGGTACTTTGAGTGCTCGGGGCGGGGGTGTCGCAGGGACTTGCGCGTTGATGTGCGCACTTGCCAGCGCTGCAACACGGCCGAGTCACGTGACGTGTGGATTCGCGTTGAATCTCTAAGTCCACGTTGGCTACAGTACATGTGTCGCTATGTCATAGCAGTCCTAAAGTACATACATATACATTTGAGTTCATGAAGTTGTCAGTTATCTTTGAGGGGGACATGAGTCAGGTTGACTACACCTGAGATGAAAGCACCACAACAGTGTTTCCTGGCCATTAGTGATCTGTAGGGTTCATAACCATGATGTTGGCTATGGAAATCTCTGTCTTTCAGATGTACATGCAGTACCTAAGCTGGGACTATATGGGATGATATGATATTCCAGATGGGGCCAGGCCAGGGTGAGGTGTCAACAGTCAAGTATCAATCCCCAACTCCAACACTTATATCTACATTTGTTCTCTAAGCCCCTTGGACATGGACCAGTGCTGATGTTATTGACACTGCAACCACATTTTCTATGTTATTAGTTCTAAGCCCCCTTGTACCTATAAGACAGTCCTCTAATTGGTCTGTCATCTGTCATGATTTGACAGTTTTATGGGATTTTTTGGCTTTTTTGTGACAATTTGGACAGAATATGGACATATTATGAACCATGTATGTATATATGTAGAAAATTGCCAGATGGGGTTTTTCCTGATGGACAAGAATGTTGGACTAGTAGAGATTACGGTCACGATCAAATTCGTTCCAGGTACCAGTACTCACACAGCGGATATCACCGTGCACCACCGATCGCGAATGAAGATATTTCAAGCCCTGGGCAGCTTCGTAGAGCTTCTTGATCATGAGCATGTCTGGAAGGCATGCGGGCGATCAAGCGAATTGACTCACCAGTTTCGTAACGATAGCCTGAGAGCACTGACTTCTCGTGATATGGTCAGTCAGAGTTCCATTCTCCATCCACGGAGACACTATGCATAGTCCAGGACAAAACAGAGCAGAGTCAATCCCATAAAACGGCAAGACGTGAGGATGTTCCAATGATCGCCACACAAACGCTTCCCGGTAGAATCTCTATTAAGCATGAACAGACGATATCACCACTATAAACATCATGGAAGGTAGTAAAGGTTACCCTGTTCATCAGGAGAGGCCCGTTAGCCGGTTTGTACATGCGGAACAACTTGATCGCCACCGTTTTGCCTTCGTAGGTGCCCTGGTAGATGTCGCCAAAACCGCCGGATGTTACGGGCCGCTGTGAGCGCAGATCAACGCCGGAAATGAAGAACGATGGCGGTAGGCAGTGGAACTTGGTGAGGAGGTTGACGAGCACCCTGGAGATGCATTTGCGTAAGTGAGCTTCTTCAGAACGTAAGAATAGCTATAGACACAGGATGTGGTCAGTACAGCACCTCTGACCGAACGGACTGTTTACCAACACTTTGCAAACTGTCAATAAGAGGTTCTAGATCGGACCTATTTATTCGAAGAATCGGAGGCGCTTTCGCCTTATCCGTGAGGTAATGCTTGAATGGCAGGTCCGCCGCGCTCAGCGCCTTGAAGGTGTCCTTGTCAAGTTCTGTATAGCAGATTTAGTACGTTGTTTGACGACACCTATCCAAATTGTTCGTACCGATCTCAACAGTACCCTCCCCACGGCCTCTGGAATGAAACTTCAGACTCGACAAGGACCACCGTGACGTCAATCCAGGACGCGAGTTGCTGCCTTGTTGCAAAGTCATCTTCAAGTTGGCCATATGTTAGGACACAGATTCCAGTTTGCTGTCTGGGGCAAGGGCCGAGTCCCCATGACCGGGATGAAGAGGTTTTTGAGCTGGACCTATTAGATGCTGTGGTTATGATATTGAGTACATCGATCAGCGAGATGGTCTCCAATGAAACCCAGCGCGTTTGGGCGCTATTATGAGAACGCCGGGCGCCGAACCTCTGACGTATCACGAGCAACGACGTGCTGACTTGCTGCAGAGACCGGGGCCAAGTCAGCCTCATGCTGTTGGGTACGCATATTCTTGCATGAGAACGTAGGGAAGATAGCGGAACAGCCGGTTGCTGCGCTGCACATACGCCACTCGTGCGGTCGACAGCGTGCGGGAATGTATCGAGGACGGAGAAAGGCAAAAGGACTTCTGTTTGAACCGTAGCTGTGTGTATTATGAACCCCGGCCGACACGATCGTAAAGCCCACTCATAAGTTCGTTCAATACACCCCGATGATGCGGGTGGGATATCCGCCCACTTTTTCAGGTAGAGATGATTGGCTGTCCCGGTATCGATAGGTTTGCCATGGCAAATGTCAAGCAAAGTATGCAGCATAGTGGCAGCGCCAATGGCAAAGATAACGGAGACCGTGGCACGAACCCGTGACATCACGGACGTAACGTTGCCTTTGCGCGTTCGAGCCGCTTGCGCGTCGCCAATTACAGTTCTTCTGTCTTGTCATGGTCAGCCTTTACTAGACAAACATCGCAGATGTGGATGCTAACGTCTGATGTATACCATAGGAACCTTCATACCGTCTTACTCCTGCCGCTGAGCCGAAAGCCGCCTCCGTCCGGGACACCGCAGGCAGCCTCGGCCTGCACGACACGCTCAAGCATGGTCCCCGGAGTCTCGCAACCGATGTTGCCGCTGGTCCTTCCACCGCATTACAGTCAAGACTGCAGAATGTGCGCGTTTCGATGTTCTTGAAACGCTCGAAGTCACTGACTGATTGACCAACAGTGGGAGGAAACGCAGGACAACCTCAAGCTCACCTTGCAGCGGAACCTCAATGGCCTCCACGCCCCAATGCGTCTGCTCATGGAGCGCAAGATTGTTGGCTTTGTGAGCGAACCCCTCCTCGACCCATTATCCGACGTGGCGTATTGAACATGTCCCTCTGGCACACCTGCAGTCACCTCACATGCCCGCCATGCCCCGATCTAACATCCACCTCGATATACTGATGGGACGTGACGAGGAGCTCGACACCTCTGACTTCATGGGTGGTCAGTATCCTTTCCTCCTTTCCCTCCTTTATGCTTACATGATATGTTTGCTCGCAGGCGTCGAGAGCGGTCCGCCCATGGACATCCACGGAGAGATGGAGAAGAAGCTCCGCATGTAATCTACATTTCTGAACAACCTGTTGTATCATGCCACGCGCGGAAGCCACCTCTTGGCTAAGTCGTTTCTGATTCCACAATTGAAACGGCATGCAACCGTCGAACGATGCTCGACACCTTGAATATCGGTCTTCCGCGCTCGGACTAACCATGTGCGAAGAGCAAATGAATCCAGATCGTGCTGATATCCCATAGATACACTAGGTTGCTTCGGGGGATGACAACATGAGTAATTCGATTGGATTTGGGGGTGACCCATCATCATTTCGGTCGATGAAAGACCGGCTTCGGTCTCCCGCGAGTCTCATCGATATTCCTCCTATTCCCCATCTATACTGTTGTTCTGCCTGGTGGCATTCGACCGTCGACGCGCGGACTTGATGTTGAGAACTGGATCACAACGTTCATCCATACGTCATTGCGAGCTTTTCGGAACGACGCAGACTTACGATGCAGGATGCACTGCATATCGAAGGGGACACCGTAATTGAGCCAGATGATCGGACCATGGAAGCGGTACGTACTGCGGGTCGCGATGGGCTGTTGTGATAGTGGTTGCGGGTGGGAGGTCTGGGCTGAGACGGACTTTCATACTAACCAGTGCGTAGCGGTGTGTCGGCTCTAGTGGTCCACAAAAGCCGTGAAACATCAACTGGAGTGCAGGCTGTTCCTGGTTAGGGACCGTGCCCGGTAATCACCCTACCTACCTACGTACCTGGCGATGATGGAGCAAGGCGACAGAGATAAGGCTCAATTCAACAGGTGTGACAACCTTACCTCGCCAGCTAGCCCGTGTACTCCACAAGATCCACTAAAGCAATGCAATATGATCAGGTCGGAAATCGGAACAAGTTATCAGCTTCAGACACATGTTGATTTCGGGTTATCACACCACGACCGATATACCATCCAATCAATCCCACCCCTGCAGCTTCGGTCCGACCAATGGGTATCATCACAATCCAGTTCATCAAGCGCTACCAGTACCTCACCCGCTCGCGCCCTTAGCATGCGGCCTCGGCGTTGGGTCCTCCTCTCGCGAAACCAGTACCCCCATCTCATCCGGAGTCGCGGGCGCGCTCCTCGCACTCGCAAACGTATCCGTCGTACGCGACGAATCGGTCCTCACCGGCGACGGCCTTGCGCTCCGATCCGCGTCGCCACCTGCTGCCGACCCTCCGGTAGCCGTATCCAGACGCAGCGGCTCCGGTGCACGCGAACGGGGCCTCTCCGCTGCTCTCACCGTAGCCGTCCTCCCGAGGGTATCAACCTCCTCCTCGCCGATCGTATCGCGTATCGTTTGCTCAGACGTCGATGGTGATATGCTCGGCGCCATGGCGCCCGGAGGGCGCGTCGGCAGCGTAGGTGGCACCCGCCGTGGCGACAGCGGTGGAGACATCGGCGCCTTGACGTCCGTCTGCTGAGGCTGGCCAGGGTAGGGCTGCGATTGCGTTGCTGTCCGGTTCGACAAGGGACCCGCATTGGGTCTCGTAGGCGAGAGCGGTGACATCGGCTCGGCCCTCTCGGTTCGCGGTGTCGTAGGCCCTCGCGCGCCAGGGTGAATGCTGCTCGTCGGCCTCAGAGGCAGCTGCGGCGTGAAGTCTTTCTCGCGTTCCTTCTCCTTGTCTCCAGCGCTTCTGCTCGCTCCTTGGTCCGCATTCGCACCCGCCGTCGCGGATGCGGCGACCACGACGGCAGGCTGAGATACCGGTCCTCCGTGTGGCTGAGGTTGCGTTGGTCGAGGAGGCATCGGCGGTACGGTCGTCACCTTCGTGTATGATGACCCAAGCGGGTATGTCGGCGCCGGTTCACCGGAAGGAGCAGGGGGTAGTGGTGGAGACGGCGGCTGCCCCTGCGCTTGTGCATGGCCTAGCGGAGGGTGTGGCGCGTCCTCATAAATGGCTGAGGCATGTTCAATGAGATCTTCCATCATGGAGTCCTAAACGTTATTCAACACCAATGCTCCGCAATCAACAACTAGTATATGCATGCGAACCTTGTAGCTCTGCACCGCCAGCAAGTCCGCGCTCTGCTTCGGGAGCTCGTCCTCGCCGAAAATAACGGTCCCGAACACGATGGCGAGGTTCTTTGCGTCCATCTTGTTCTTCTCGCTTCGGGCGACGACGCGATTGAGGTGCTCCAGTAGAGCCCGAAGAGTCGCTTGGTGTACAGCGGGTAGGCGTCGGATCTTCGAGCGAAGGAGTACGAAGTGGTTCGCGACGTGGTCGTCTGCAGTGGAGGCGTCAGCCGTGGTGATGGAATCAGAAGGAGGGGGGGTTGATGATGACGAGGGAGCTGAGAGATGCGGTGCGTGGGCGGGATGGGTGGTGCGCACCTAGGTCTTCGGAGTGTTGGATTCGATCTTGAAGTGAGAAGCGGAAAACGGGTTCAGGGAGCTCACGCAGGTACAACTGCGCCGGTTAGTCAAATCCGAATGGTTAAGTCGAGAATTGAGTGCACACCTTTAGCAAGGACGCGACGGCATAGACATCGTCCGTGAGCGGGTTGAACTTGAACGCCCGCTCGTTCCGCTCGATCTTGTGCTGGAGTTCTTGCACGATGGCATGCCGCCCGGATACCTATCCTCATTCACTCAGACACGAAGAAACGCAATCATCATCGAAAGCAAACACACCCGATATATACCCTCAGCGTCTAATCCTCTCCCCTCAATCTCCCTCAGGCAGATGCGCACGATCTTGGGCACCTCGCCGTCGGGCAAAGCGCGGCTGGTCGCGTAGTCGACGAGCGACACGCCAAAAATGAGATCGGCGCACTCGCCAACGTGATAGTTGTAGTAGAGGATCGGCTTCGGGACCGAGGACGCGAGGGCGCGCGGGAGGCGCGCGGCGAGAGCGGAGGCGTCCTTGGTAGGCGAGATGCGATCCACGAAGGTGCGGAGGTGGGTGGATAGTTGGGAGAGGGTCGTCTGGGTCGCTCTAACAACGACATTAGCGTCCGTGCACGAATACGGCAAGCGAAGGAAATGCACATCATGTTATCCGTATATCGCTCCAGGACGCCCTTCATCGCCCCGCTCATCTCGTTCACGAACAGCTCCATGCTCTTGTACGCCGCTTCCAAGGTCTTGCTACGCCGTATGCGTAGGGTTTCCAGCCAATGCACCGCGCGCCGGTACTCCTTGTCCGCCTCGTCCGCTTCCCTCTTGGCTCGTACGTGGCGCAATGCCGCGTCGGACGAGCGCGAGGAGGATAGGCCGTCCTTCATGGTCTCGCGCTTATCGAGAAAAGAGGTTACGAGTTGGTTGAACTGCTTCTTGCCGTGCTGCGCGAGGTCGGAGAGCGCAGTGCCGGTTGACGTCGAGGGGGAGCGATTGCGCGATATGGGCCCTGTACTGCCTGACGGGCGTCGATCCAGCGGCCTGAGTGGCTGCGGTGCGGTCACGGTGGGCCGGCCGGGATTGTCGACGCTCGCTCGTGTCCTGACGTTGCTGGGTAGCGCGGAGAATTCGGGAGAGTTCAAGGCGACGTTCGAGGTGGGTATCGGAGACGTCGCAGAGGCGGCGGTTTTGTAGTCCTCGACGTCTTGGCATTTCTTGAGGTAGACGCGCTTGAGCTTGGGGAGCGTGTTCTCGGCGTAGTCGGTGTAGGCCGTGAGCGAGTCTTTCAGGTCCTCCTTGATGCGCTTTCGCGTCCGGTCTTGCGAGTCGCGGAGGGCGACGAGAGGGGTGATAACCTCGGATGCGAGGGTGTTGAGGAAGGCTTGTCGGGTTTGTGCCTCTGTTGAATGTAACATTGTCAGCATGTTGGCCCACAGCGATCGTGCGCGCGAGGAACGAGAAGAGACGAACCCCGCTCGACGTTATCCCGAACCTCCGACCATGCGCTACGGGTAGTGCTGGGTTCCAAGCGGTAATCAATGCTGGTATCAATCGCCTGGACCTTTCGGTGAAGTTTGAGCAAGGAGTCGATGCTAGATGGTGGGGCATGGTCGGGATGGTGTACAAGAGCATACAGGCCGGAATGGTGATCGGGCTCACTAGATTTCCTCGATTCGTTTCCTGCGCAGCGGATCAGCAGCACGTTCAGAGCGAGAACGTGTTGAATCTCACCGCTCCTGGAAGAAAGCAAGGTAGGATTCGCCTAGGACGCGCAGGTTTTGGTCGAACAGCGGGATCGGACCCGACTGCCCTCCGAGTCCGTCGCGGTCCCGGTCTCGATCTGAGGTTGAGGGACGCGCCGATGACGGCTCAACGTCGCGGTCGCGGGTCGCCATGTGTCGGTGATCAGCGTAGGGAAGGTCCTCCGGGATATGTTGCGCGTTATGTTCGACTTTGGTGGCTGCGAGCTGCGAAGCGGGGAACAGCTGATCGACGTCACTGCGACTCCCTCTCACACTTGCTGCAAACATAGCAAACACATGCAAGTCTTAACGTTCTGTATTGAATGTTTACTCGAGAACATTAGAGCCAGGATATGGAGCTTGTGCGGATGAGCTCAAAGCCTTAGGATTCACGTTCCGTCTATTGGATGAGAAGTGCTTGATATTGTTAATTCAACGAGCCCACATGCTTGAGGGTGTACAAGACAATCACGATACAGAAGACAATGCTACAGAGAGGGAGTAGTACAATCCCATCTGGTGGTTGACGCCAACCTCGTCAACGAACAGCCAGTTGCAACGCTCATCGACCTCGCACCGGCGGGTTTGTGAGCATTATTGTCGTCGAGATAGCCTCAATGCTATTGCGACCCGAAACACCCGGTGATACTTACAGCATTCACTGTTGCAGCAGCTCACTTCATCCACCTGAGGGATGTCCCTGCAGTCCCAAGCGCATGCCGTCAACCACAGACCGCTGGTTACGCATCTGCACAGTTCGAGGTTCATTCATAATTGACGCATCCATACACAGGACATTCCCAGTGAGGACTAATGAAATCCGAGCGACGGCCGTCGAACCAGTGGTGGCAGATCCATGTAGGCGCCCGGGAAGAAAGCATTTTGACCCGGTCAGAGGTGGGCGCTTACTTACACCGGCACACTCTGCCGGGCATTTAGCCTTCCGTTCAGGTTGCTTTCTTTGAAACTCGGTTGCTCCTCGCAGGCCCTCAAGGCCGTAGCCGAGGCAAGAATCATCTGTGACTACGCCGCTTCCAGGATGCGGCCCTTCATCTTGTCTGTAGTGTTCCTAATCTCTCGCTGCGTTGCTCAGCTCGACCCGTCATCGGCGAATTATGACGACGTCCAGGTTCCGTTCCAGAATGTAGAAGTCGTCAACGTTACACATCGGATTGCTATCATCGGCGCTGGCGCGGGAGGCTCTAGTGCTGCGTTCTGGCTTGGGAAGGCCAGTGAACGCCTGGGTCTGAACCTGGAAGTGGACGTCTTCGAAAGGGAGGACTACATAGGGGGCAGTGAGTACCCGGCACGGGCTATGAGGCTCGTCGGAAGACCCGGGCATGCTCATGATACTCGTCAGGGAGCACTACCGTCCAACCATACGACGACCCGAATCTGCGCGCCATCGAGCTCGGCGCCTCCATCTTCGTATCCGCAAACAAGAACCTCTGGAGGGCGGTCTCGACGGAAGAGTGGAACCTCACTCGGGACGACTTTGACTACGAGGAAGGGTACGACACCGGCATCTGGGACGGCTCGCAGTTCCTCCTCGTCGTCGGCGGAGGCTCTGGAGTCTTGAGTTGGTGGGAGACGCTGAAGGTCATCTGGCGATACGGATGGACTGCGCCGACGCGAACACAGAACATGTGCGTTAACTAACCGGAAACTAAGTGTCATTCTCACCAAGCTCATCTGCAATACAAGTATCAAGCAGCTCATGAACAAGTTCTTGACGTTGTACGAGCCCACGGCACCGACGTGGACCTCGATAGAACAGCTGGCCGAAGAACTGCAATGGTCCGGTGAGCAATCGCTTGACACCCTACTCTTGACGTGTTGATTCATCATTCCGCAAGCCCTTACTAGCCAAAGTTCGGCTGAATACTTTGATCTTGCAGGCGTCTCCAAGAAATTCAGCCGCGAGATGATTGAGGCTGCCACTCGAGTGAACTACGGACAGGTGCGCATATATTCCATGTAGCTCGTTCCCCTTCCTGAACCCGAGACATACGAACTACAGAACCTCGACCAGATCCATGCCCTCGAGGGCGTCTGTAGCCTCGCAGCCACCGGCGCGTCCGCCGTCAAAGGTGGCAACTGGAAGATATTCGAGCGCTTCCTCGCAGAGTCCAAGGCGAACGTATACCTCAACACCACCGTAAGCCCCTTCCCGTTCCCTTTCCCGGAGGCTAGTGGCCCCGTCTCAACTCCCCGCGTTCCGCACAGATCAAGAGTGCCGAGAGCATACAACGCGCCGACGGCGGCTCCGCCTGGGAACTCAAGACTTCCGCCTCGGACCGCCTCTCCACCAAAGAATACGACTCCGTCATCCTCGCCGCGCCCTTCCACAGCACCGGCATCGAGTTTCCCCGGCGCATGCGCGACCGCGTCCCCAAACAGCCCTACGTCCACCTCCACGTCACCCTCCTCACCACCACCTCCCCCCACCCCAACCCCGCCCACTTCGGCCTGAAACCGACGGACAAAGTCCCCCAGGTGATCCTAACCACGACCGCCTCCTCCTCCTCCTCGCCGTACGCCCGCTACGCGCTCGAGTTCAACTCGCTCACCTACCACGGCGTCGTCACCTCGCGCGAGGTGCACCGCCCCGGGCGCGTCGTGGACTGGGTACCGGAGTACGTCGTCAAGATCTTCTCGAAGGAGCGCGTGAGCGACGAGTGGCTCGCGCGCGTGTTCGACTGGACGGGCGAGCCCGGCGGCGTCGGCTGGGTGCACCGGAAGGAGTGGGACGCGTACCCGCTCCTGCCGCCCACGAGCACCTTCCCGCCCGTCAAGGTCGTCGACGACCACTTTTATTACGTGAACGCCTTCGAGCCGTGAGTGATCACGTCGACTCGAGTCCCTCATGGTCTCCCTCAATATTCCCCATTATGCAACAGGTTCATATCGACGATGGAGACCGAGACGATCGCAGCTCGCAACGTCGTCGACCTGCTCCTCAAAGACCACCTCGGCGTCGGAGGTATCTGCGGCCACGTCGACAAGAACGAGACTTTGCCCGTCGACGACGACTTCGTGCTCGGCTGGGATTGTTAGATATTCGTGTTCCGCACTGCTCGGTTTCTCGTTCGTCCTATCTTGTGGATCATGTGTCGTCCACTCTCAAGTTCTCGCCTGTCTGATAAACTGTATATTCCCCATTCGTGTCCGCCCGTCTATACTAGTGTACAGTAGTGTATGGTGTATTACATAGCATGCCGATGTGTGGAGCCTGACAACAACTACCCCGCCGATAGCACTGTCCGCGCATCGTACATGCCTTTTTGTTTTTCTGTTATCGAGGAGGCGTTACTCATCCTCGTTCAGGCTTGCCATGCCGATCGCCCGCCGCAAAGTACCCGTTCCCGTTCTCGGGCTTCTCCGACGCGAGCGGCTGCTCCCGATGACGCCCGTCGCCGGTCGGGCGGGCGAACGCGTTCCGACCCTCGTGCGCGGTCACCTCCGGCCTGCCGTGTCGGTCGCCCGCCGCGACGTGCGTCTCGGCCGACGCGCCGGGGCTCGTCCCGTCGTCCGCCGCGCTCTTGTGATACCCGGGCGCGTCCTTACCCGGCGCGGGCGTCCAATCGGTGTAGTCTCTGCGAACCTCGATATAGTCCGTCGCAAATTCGCCGATCTGGGAGTTTTTAAAAAAGGGGGAAAGGGAAAGGGTGAGGAAGGAAGGAAGGAAAAGTAGCGTCAGCGACCAGCCGAAAGAGAAATGATGTAAAAATGGGGGGGGCGGCAGATCATCTCTCACCTCGGCGTCGTCCATCCCGATATGCTCCTCCTCGACCGTCGCGCGCAGATGCAGTCCGGGTATCAAGTCGATCACCCACGCGATCGCCGCCGTCACCACGAACACGTACGCCGACACCGCGCACACGTACGCAAACTGGATATACAGCTGCTTCCAGTTCCTGTCCAAGAACCCTCCTTGGATCGACCCGTTCACGCCGTCGAGCGCGACGACCTTGTTCGTCGCGAAGAAGCCGTTGAACAGCAGGCCGAGCGCGCCGCCGACACAGTGCTCGGCGAGGAGGTCGAGCGCGTCGTCGACGCGGAGGAAAAACTTGAGCTTGGTCGCAAAGTTGGCGACGGCGCCGACGACGAGGCCTTCGACGACGGCGGCCCAGGTGGGCACGAACCCGGACGCCGGCGTCGCGGCGACGAGTCCCGCGATCGTGCCTGAGCAAAAACCGACCATCGTCCACTTGCGCTCGATCCGCCAGTCGAGCACGCACCACACCTGTTTCCAACCGATTTGCGGGTTCAGTTTGCGAAATAAAAATAAATAAATAAAACGTGACGGAGACCCCGATCTGGGTAGTCAGGGCAAAACAGGAAAGGGAAGGGAAGGGAAGGGGCGGAGGACGCACCATGCCGGACACGGACGCCATGATCATACTATTCCAAATCGCCGTGATCGCCCTCAGATTCGCGCCGAACGCGCTCCCGCCGTTGAACCCCAGCCAGCCGAACCAGAGCATGAACGTGCCGAGGACGACGAGCGAGACGTGGTGCGGCCGAAAGTTGAGCAGCTCCTTCTCGTGCCGCCTGCCGAGGACCCACGCGTACGCGAGCCCGCCCATCCCGGACCCGATCTCGACCGGCCCGCCGCCGGCAAAGTCGAGCACGCCCCATTTGAACGCCCAGCCGGACGAGTTCCAGACCCAGCAGGCGACGGGGGCGTAGACGAGCGTCATCCAGCAGAAGGCGAAGACCATCGCGGGGAACACGCGGCCGCGCTCCGCGAGGGCGCCTGGATGGGGGATAAAATCGTTCGTTCGTTTCAGCGGACCGAACGACGGGGAAAGGAAAGAGGGGAAGGAGACGCGCCCATGAGTATGCCGATCGTAACGCACGCAAACTCCATCTGGAAGAAGGCGTACAGAAGCTCGGGCAGCAGCGGCGTCGCGGTGCTCGCCTGGCCGCCGACGTTGCGGAGGGCAAAGTTGTGGAGGTCGCCGATGAAGCCGTTCGAGGCCGTGGGCGAGAAGGCGAGCGAGTAGCCCCAGAACCACCATTGGAAGACGCCGACCGCGTTCGCGGCGCAGACGGACCAGATCATAGACAGCGCCGATTTGCGCCGGGACAGGCCGGAGTAGAGGAACGCTGCGAGGGGGGAGGGAAGACGTGAGTCGGCGTATAGGTCATGGAGGAGGGAGGGGGGGGGCGTACCAAGTCCAGGGACCATGAACATGACCAGGGCGCCGGCTAGGATGATGAAGGCGACATCGCCGAGATTGAAGCTGGAAGGAGGTAAACCATCGCGCACACGAAGCTCGAAGACCTGCGACTCACTCGCCCAGATCGCCCGGGCTGGCGTCGCCTGTTCATGATCCATGCGCCTCAACGCCACACTCTCCAGCGAAATAAAGCAAGACCGCGCGACTCACGAGCGAAGAGGTAGCCAGCCATGGGTAGCAATGAGGAGATACGATGGTGTGCTGCTACAGTCGGAGAGGACGGGGATCGCAGGAGGCAAAACTACTTTTTATGGCGGGCACGCCGGGCGGTGGAGGAGCGCTCGACTGGCTCTGGCCCCGATTGGCCCCCTCCCCCTCTCTCCGTACGGCCGACGGGCAGTTCTGTCACCCGCCTTCGGACTTGGCTGGGGCGTGCCCTTCGACTTCCCTCCCCACACGCTCGCTCCAACTCGCCATCCTTGCGTCGTACGCACGAAAAGAGCGATCAGCAGACGCACTCTCCCTCGCTTCTAGCTCGTTGCAACCGCCCGCATTTCGTCCGCGATAAGTTCGTGATATACGGTGCGTTTTTGGGCGCTAGGAAGGACCCCGATCGGCCGTGGATGAACGGTTGAGGAAGCTCAGGAAGTGAATGGATGTCAGTCCGGAGGTTGCCGAAAGAAGGTCCTTTCGCGTGACGTCATGTCACGCTCCCTGCACGACGACGAATGAGAACCACCACCATACGACAAGACTAGATCGTATATCACTACTGTTACAAAGTAACATAGCAGAAAAACAGACGACGAGACCAAGCATACGCATTCGACAACAACAAAGCCATAACCGCGCAACCCAAATCCCTGATTACATGTTTCCCAACCTTGCACTCCACCAAAGCCAGAGCCAAATCATATCGCTGCGGGGGTGACGTACGAAATTCAATTCCATCGCCAAGGGGCACCCAGTTTTCCCTCCCGGTACGTCCCCACTCGTCCATACGCTCGAGGTGCGAAGAAACTTTAGGCTCTCTTCTATTCTTCGTCCGGGCTGTCGAGCCGCGCATCGTCGTCGCCCACGCGCCACATCCAAAACGGGCCCGCGGGATCACCTGGCAATGCGACTCAACGTCAGCGCCCGGTTCCTTCGGAGCAGGGGGGGGGGGAGCGCGCGTTCAAGGGACAGATACCGCGACGCAATGCTTGGATAGATCAAAAAAATAGACGCACCGTTCTCGTGCGACGCGCCCCAGGCGCCGATGACGCCCATCGCGCTGCACACCCCGCCGAGCTGCACGCCTTCCGAGCTACCGACCCCCCAATGCGCCGTCAATGTCTGTCCAAAAAAAAACGAGGGAAAAAAAAACAGGTATCAGCAACTCACCTCCACTGCGCCTGACCGTTCACGTTCGACGACTTGTGAAGCTGCCCGTGAACAAACGGATATAATCCCATCACGGCCGGATCGCGAAAACGCGGGAAAACGCAAAATGTGCCGGAGGGGGGGGACGAAAACGAGTCCACGGAACGTAATCGCAATGCAAAACAAGGAGAGGGAGGAAAAAGAAAATCGTGAGGAACCGAACCGACAAAAGAGCGCGAGGCAGGGTTGACAAAAACGAAGCGTGGACTCACCCAACTCCACCGCACGGCGCCGTCCTTTGCCATGCGCACGTACCCGTTCACGGTCGCCTCGTTCCCGTTCGAGCCCGCCGACACACCCGAGAACTTGATCGGGGGATAACCTGATCAAAGACAATTCAGAACCTTCACCCTTCGGCGAGGACGGAGCACAAGAAAAAGAGGAGGGGGGGGGGTGGTTTCGAAGCTCACCGATGGGATACACTTCCCCGAGGCTATCCGGGTCCCAGTCGAGGTCGACAGAGAGCTGCATCACGATCTGCCTCGTCGCCTCCATAAACTGCGAATCCTCGAAAAACCCCGGGTCGCGCGGTCCGCTCATCGTGGTGGAGTACTGGTTGAACAACATCTTGAGCAACACACATCCAGCGCTAAGACAAGACATCGCAAGATAACAAGGCTCACGTTGAATGCTAGAATGGCAAAAGGGGAATAGAACGGCGCGTGAGCTCGAGCCAGATCCAGATCCAGAAAAAGGAGAAGAGAAGAGACCCACCATACAGATCCCGATAATCCATAAAACACACGAACCGCTTCCACCTTCCCCCGACGCCCGCCCAGTCCCTCGCTCCCCCCCGCGCACCGAGCACCAGCCCACCTCCTCCACTCGCCTCCCCTCCGCCGCTCGCCGAATCAAACTCCCAGCTCTGCTTCCCCTTCCCTTTATCTCGACTCTTCCCTTCCACCTCGCCCGCACCTACACCGTCGTCGACGGCGGTGCCAGAAAGGACGAGCGACGCGGGAGCGGGAGCAAGGTGCGCCGTGCCCGGGGCCGAGTACGCGCGCGCCGCGTCGAACCCGGTCGGGGGCCGGTTCGCGCGCCAGAGGTCCGGCAGGTCGCGCAGGTTGAGCGCGATGACGGTGATCATCGCTTCGACGTGGATCCAATTGACCGAGCCTTTAATTCAAAAAAAAAAAAAAGCGGACCGCCGGGTCGCTGGTCAGCGTGAAGAAAATCGCAGAACGGCGAAGAAGGAAAAAATAACGCACCGTCCGCGTTGAACGGCCCGTAGTTGTTCTCGGCGGTGTAGTGACGGAGGTCGTATACGAAACATCGTGCGCGGACGCGCACGGCCCTCAGCGCGCGACGCAGGCGCTGCGCGAGCACGAACCTCTGCCGGGTCTCCTCGATCTCCGTAGCCTGGGCAGCGCTCTCCGCCGAGGACGATGATCCAGCCGTAACGGTGATAGTCCTAGACGTGGACGCGGCGTGCTCGGCGAACGCGCCCGGCGGGGGCGGCATAAAGATCGTGAACGCGCTCGTGACCTCGCCGCCCTCGATCTCGTCCCAGTTCAGGTTGAGGTTGGTGATGTCGACGACGCCGGGGCCCTGCGCGACCTGGTTCTGGATGGCGGCCCAGTCGATTCCACCAGCGCCGTTGTCGTTCTCGCCGGGTTGGTAGATCGGGATCGGGACGGGCACGGCATCGTCGTCGTTGTCGCCGTCGTCGTTGTCGTCGTGATGATTTCCCGGGTTCGCATCCAAGTGCCATACGCGCACCGTGCCCCCCGCATTATGCTGTGGGCCTTCGTTGTCGCCGCCCTCGACGTTGCCATCCTCAACTTCTTCTCCACCACGTATGCCCCCATCCCCCTCGACTTCTTGCCCGCCCAAGATATCGCCATCCTCGATGTCCATATTTCCCTCTTCCTCTTCACCCTCACACTCTTCCTCGCTCTCTTCCTCGCTCTCTTCCTCGCCCTCCGAGTCGCGGCCATGTCCGGGCACAACTGTAAACAGCATCGCCGGCCCGGGCCCTAAATCCTCCCTCGTGCGGCGTTCCAGCTTATCCTTCTGATCGAGCTCAAACGCGAGCGCGAGGTACGCCCGAAGTTGCATCACGTCCTGGTTGTACCGCAGCGACGGGCTGTCGAGCACGTATCCCTCCCTCTCTCTTTGCTTTTGAAGGGTCTCCGTAACCCATCGCGTGTTGAGCGACGGCTCCGCGTAGTACTCGGTGCGCACAGGCGGGGCCTCGCGCAGCGCCTGGAGGAATACGGCCGGGTCCGGGCGGAGTTCGGCGGCGACGCGCGCCTGGAGCGCCGCCTTCCAGTCGTATCCCCCCGAAGCTGTTGCAGAGGCAGAGGTGGAATCGGGGTCGCTGGGGAAGACGGGCGGCGGGACGGCGCGGCGGGGGTCGTCGAAGCGGGCGAGGAAGAGCTGGCGCCAGAGGAACTGGTCGCCGGCGGCGTAGACGAGCGCGTGGGCGGCGCGGCAGGTCTGGGCGAAGGCGGCGACGGACTGAGGGGCGAGGAAGGCGAGGGTGTGCTCGGTGAGCTCGGGCGGAATGGGCAGCGGGCTGTATGGCGATGGCGAGAGCATCGTTCGCGTTTTCCGGCGCTTCGAGCTTGACTGCGGCTAGGAATTATTGTAGCAGACGGCCCACCAAAGCTTTAACGAGGGCGAGAGAAGGGCGAGGGTTATATACTAGCGTCAATTGGCGGAAGTTGGACACGATAAGTGTGGGGCCGCTAGTGCTGCTTGCTGCTGATATGAGGCCACGGCGTGCCCGATTACCACATCGGCGAAGATTTTTCGGATGCGAGGCGGGGTTGCTATCGTGCAGCGTGTCGACGGCGCTTGTCAAGATCGAGCTTAGCGTCGTCTGCAAATCGTATGTTTTGTTATCGCCCTCAATGTAGTCAGAGAACGACGATATGACGTCGCTCTCAGCCACGCAACTACTCGAGCGTGCTGCTCACGCACAATCTTTGCGACTTACTATCATATTATGGAATGCATCACACCTCCCAGTTACACACTGTGGATCTCGACATGTTCCGATCGAGTGGGTGACATCAATCATCGCTGAGGCGCACGGTCTCGTCTCCGAAACCTCGTCGCGTGTCGTCCTCGAGACCCGCTTATAACGGGCCCGGACCGGTCCTGCTAGCCTCGTTGGCAGACCTCACATGCTTGAAGGAATATTTGAAGGAGAACAAAGGAGGCGCATACACGTCAAGAACCAATATTGACGAAGATACTGTGCATCTATCCCTAATGCAACATCATCCGACATCCGTCGTTTCCGAGGATGCTATCAGACCAATCCGTTTGCGTCCTCATAGCCCTACCGTGCATAAGAACCATCGTCGTCGGTCCTTTTCCATGCCCCAAAGCTGAAACAAGGCCTGGCCGTGGGCGTACGCTGATCGAGAAACGTTCCGATTCGTGGCGAGCTGGGAAATCACGTCCTCCGTTCCTTTAGCATTCGGTTTACTCGCGGTGCATCTACTCGAACGTGGTATCATGAAGGGACTGGCAACTAGGTGCCCATCCTCGCGATTGGCCCACCAGCTGTCGCAACACGGGTCAATAACACCACCTCCGGGGGCTGTTCGAGTACACATCCTCGCATCTTGTTTGGGATCCTGCCAGCCTAGGCACGCAGGAAGAAAGTACCCTCAGCCACTATCGTCATCCCCCGTCAGTACACGCTACTCCTGGTGATTGGTATCGGAGGCCGACCTGTGAACGCCTTTCCTCTCAGCTTGACGCGGCCCTCTTCTCTGCCCGATTTACCGTCCCACACCGCACGTACCTCCCCGCCGCGCTGGAGACTGCCTTGCGTAGCCCGGAGCTCGAACTCCTCGACCGCCAATTGGCCTAGCAGGCAAGCTCGAATGAGGACGATGTTCGAAGAGGCGTGAATGGATATTTCGGACTCACCTCCCGACGCGGCGATGATTTGCGGTACGAAGAACGCCGCAAGGGTGCAATGGGCCGAGCCCGTGACGGGATCTTCAGGCATGCCGTCCGCCGGAGAGAACATGCGGGAGTGTATATGCGGTCCCGTCCCCTCCAGTTCCGTCGAGAGCAAAGTCGTCAGGATCACCCCGCGCGGCGTCCGAATACGAGCCTAGCACCATCGTTTAAGTCAACACACAACAACGGAAACAGACGCGCGGAGAGGAGGCAATCGCCAAGTTACCAGCGGCCCTTCATTGACTCTCAACTCTGCGAGGTGGACGCCCTCGACGAGCTGGAGCTCGAGGACCGTATCCAGTCGTCCCTGGACCGCCCTCTTCAGCGTCGCCAGCCCGCCTAGCGCCTCCTCCACCGTCTCCGCCAACGGGTCAAACACGCCCTCGCCCGGGGCGCTGCCGATCTCCAACAGGTCGTCCGCCGGCAGGTCCAACTCGACACGGTCGCCCACCTTCTCCGCCGTCAACGTGCCCGCGAGCGTCTCGAACTCGTATTTCGCCGGACCCGCAGGAGTTTGGGAGAACAGGACGTGCGCGGTCGCGAGCGTGGCGTGGCCGCAAAAATTCTCTTCGTCGAGGGGCGTGTACCAGCGCAGCCGGTACACGGACTCGGACAGCACCGGGCAGTCGAGCACGGCGAAAGCCGTTTCGGCAAGGTTAATCTCGCTGAAGCGGGAAGTAACGAGTTTATTCACGGCGTTTTGAATGGCGCGTACCGTGCGATCTCCTGCATCACGTCCGTAGGGAGGATTTCGGGCGTGATGACCACGCCTGCGGGATTGCCACGGAATGGAGCGTCCGCGAAGACGTCGACGATGCTGTATTCGAGCGTGTTGGTAGACATAGTCGCACGTTGGTGTAGATAGAATGCGCAGTTGGCTGTTGCATGCTTTGTTATGTAGTCGGATCGTACCGAGTCATATAACCCGAGTCGGCAGCTTGACCAAACGTGCCTTGTTCCCAAACAGTAGTACTTCATTAGAGTCGAATGCTAGCGCACATACACGGAGGAAGGTACAGATAAGCGGAGGCTGTTGCTATTGTGGACCTTTCTGGCCGGAAGAAAATGCAGATGAAGATGTACGAGCCGCATAGTCAAGCACCTGCCCTCTCGAAGCGATGCTCCAAGGCTGGCGGGCGCTCCGGCTTAATTGAGCACGTCTTCCGTCTCCCCTCGCCCAGCATACCCTCACGCAAGTCAAGTCATCGAGAGAGTTGCGCTGCCGTGCATTAGCAGAGAGCGACGCCGTGGTGAGGGTTGTGAATGAAAAACCATACGGTGGGAGTTTCTCGCCTATAACGAGTGCTCGGCTGACCACGTTGCCGGTAGCTGACCTCAGATCCCTGACCATGACGTCGGCGCATATGCACCCAGCGATCTTTCAGCAAGTGAGGTTCCCAAGCGCAACTGGTTGGGTGCATAAGGCGGGGGGCCGATCATGATAAGCCGAGGATAATAGATTTCAGGAGATGCTCACCCGCCTCCGCTCTCTTGCTCACCGTTTCAACGTTAAGAAAACCTCGACAGCGTCGAAGAGGATGTCTACCACCGTCCACAACACCAACAAGGCGTGCTGCACCATCCCCCCGGTCAAGTCCGACTACACGCCCAAGGGCTCGTACGCGTCCTATGGCGGGTACGATAAGGTGTACGTCACCGGCCCGTCGTCGAGCGAGACCGCCGTCGTCTGTGTCTACGATATATTCGGGTGAGCGGTGGAAGCTATCGCGTGCGGGGTTGCTTCATCGCTGATCTCCGTCGCCGTGAAGGTTCAAGCCCCAAACTCAGCAGGGCGCCGACATTGTCGCGGATGAGCTGAAGGTCAAGCTCGTCATGCCCGACTTCTTCGAGCCGTCCGAGCCCTGGCCGGCCGACAAGTTCCCGCCCGCGAACGAGGAAGAGGGCAAGAAGCTGCAGGAGTTCTTCGGCGGGCCCGCCAACCCGGCGAAGAGCGTCGCCGGGCTCAAGAAGGTCGCCGAGGCGCTCAAGGCGGACGGCGCGAAGAAGGTCGTCGCGTACGGATTCTGCTGGGGTGCGTGCATGTTTTCCTATGGGGAATGTTGTTCGTGAAGCGAGCCATTGGATCAATGCTAGGCGGCAAGGTCACCATTCTCGCTGGCTCCGGCGAGACCCCCTTGGACGCCGTCGCCGCCGTGCACCCTGCGTAAGCAATATCTGGATCAGTACTAGCGATAAGATCTCACGCGTTCTGCGATGCAGGATGCTCTCCGCCTCGGACGCCGAAGGCCTCTCGGTCCCGCTCGGTCTTTACCCATCGAAGGATGAGGACGAAGCTGAGGTCAGTGCATACTCTTTCGGCGATCTTCATGCGCCTTCATACGGCACTTCAGTACAAGAAGATGCTCGAGGTCATCTCCAGCAAGCCCTTCGCGGCCAAGAACGACACCAAGCACTACACGAACATGTTCCACGGCTGGGCTGCCGCTCGCGCGGACCTCGATAACGAAGAGAACAAGAAAGAGTGCGTATATACTTGTCTTCCGGTCAATACTCGGACGCTGACCCTCGCGTTGCAGATTCGAGGACCTGTACTCGAGGTTGATTGAGTACATCAAGCAGGCGGTCTAAGCGCAGGTCTCAAGGGCGATATGCGGATTAATGTTCGTACGTAGTGCGGACCTGGCGGTGTAATATTATGTCCATCATAAGCAAATGTATACAAGGTTCCCAGAAGACGAAGGCCAAAGCAGCGAAAATTACATCAGAGCAGATTAAATGCGACTTTCTCTAGCAGTCCCAACCATAAACGAACTCCGTCTTGCTCTCCACCGCAGTCGATTCCGTTTCAACATCTCCTTCGACGGACCAGCCCTCGGGTGGTGAGCATATGCCGCCACCGAATTTTTCGTTGAGCAGGAGATCGACTACGTTCCGCGCCGAGATGGTCTCCGTCTCCATCGTCGAGATGAAGCTATAAATTTTTTGAGAGGTCAGCCTTGAGTAGAATCGCAAATGCGGGAAGGCGAAGCGTACGGCTCAAACGCGTTCACGTAGTAGAACCCGTCGCCGAGCTTGATGGGCGGGAAGACGGCCGTGGGCGTGAGCACGGGGTACGCGTCCCACTGTGGAGGTTGCGAGTCAGTGTTGAACGCAAGATGGACGAATCGGCCACTACCTCGTGTTTATACACCCACCCCACCTTACCCTCGAAAACCGTCTCCAACCATGCTCCATCCACCTCCTTCTCCGAAAAGATCTTCACTACATACTCCTCCACCTCCTTCCCGTCCACCTCGAGCGTCCGGATCGGCCGCTGGTACGCCAGCGAGTTGAATTCCGGTGCTTTCCCCCCGCTGCGCGCGCCCTCCGCCGTGGTCAGGATAGTCTTCGGGACGGGGTGTCCATGGGGGAGGTTGAAGTAGGTCGCGTTCGGGTAGCGGGCGGTGGTGGTGAGGAGGGTGACGTGCAGGTGGAGGTAGGGCTGCGGATGGATCTGTGACGCAAGGGAGGACGGGGCGAGCGCAATGCCCGTCTGGGGAAAGGGCGCAGCAAGGATGATGCCGGCGTAGTCTCGCGAGGCGCCGCGAACGGTGGTGAGCGTCCATGTCCCCGAGGGCGTTTTGGAGATGCTTTGGACCTGAAAGTTAGGAAGGCGGCGTGAGGTCAACGGCGGATAGGGTCGGTGCTATGGAAGGCTTACGGTCGTGTCGAGATGCACTTCGGCTCCGGAGGCGGACAAGAAGCGCTCGTATATTTGCCAGTTGCCGCCCGTGACGCTGGACGCGCCGGACGCGGCGAGGGAAACGGTGCCTCCCAGGCCATGAATGTGGTCAACGTCCTACATTTGCTGTCAGCAGGGGAAAAACAGGCAAGCGAGAGGCGCGAACAGTGTGCTGACCTGTCCGTAGTTCACTCGTGTAGCGGCTTCGATAATCTCGCGGGAGAACTTCTTGGAGATGCCCTGCACGTCGAAATACTCGGCAGTCGTGCGAGCCGCCAATCCTGGTGAAGTCGCGCGTAAGCGGGATCGTAGGGGGGGTTCCAAAGTCAAGGAGAGATTGACCTGTCCATGATAACTGGGTCGCGAGTTCGGCTATGGTGGTCCAGCGAGGGGGTGTCGCCTGGTAGAACTCGAGGAACCGCTTGACAAGATCTTGAACGCTGTAGGCAGTATTTGAGCGGTCACAACGGGGACGAGAGGATTGGCTGGCGTACATATCACGAGTACGTTTCGGTGCAGTGTAGCCGTACCGCCAGAGCATGTGGGCCGTGTCGAACCAGGAGGAAATGCCTTTGCCGCTGCCCATCTATGAGCACGGAATCGTCAACGCGTGCTAAAGATGATGATGGTGTTATAGCACTCACCACGAATCTGAATCTCTCTCCATCCCAAATGCCGTTCTTACTGTCATCGTCGCCGTTCGTGAAGTCATACCTGGTAAGGTTGAACTCCTCTGTAGCCCGCCAGAGATTCTTATTCGCCTCCACAAATACGGAAGCTCCAAGCTCAATCGGCCTCAGTGACGTATCGTTGTACGGGTGTATGGTCGTGCTTCCTACAATGGACATTTGGTCTCAGCCACGTACCGCCGGACGCGTATGCATCGCCGAACGTACTTCCGCCAACGTGACTATTCCGCTCATACACGTCCACTTCCACGTCCAAACCCCATCGTTCCTTCGCCTTGCTGATCCAAAAGGCGGCGCTCGACCCACCGGCACCGGCACCCACGATGGCTATTCTCGGAGTAACGTTCACTGGCTCGGACTCGAGAGTGTGCTGGACATCCGTAGGATTGCTGAAGAACGGCAGGCGAAAGGGGAGCTGGAAGGCGTTGACTGCGGATGAGGTTGCCAACAAGGCTATAGCTAGCAGGGACTCCGTTGACCGAACAAGCATCTTGCCAACTTTGACTATAGTAGGTCCGAGTCCGCTTAAGCACCAAGTGAAGCTTCGCAGGAGGTATAAGCTACTTGCTATTACTGTAGTCTTTCTGAAACTTCTCACGGTCAGTCTAGCCTACATCGCAACGACAACTCGACTTGTGTCATCTATACGTACACCGGAACACCCGGTCAGTCTGGCTACATCGCAACGACAACTCGACTTATGTCATTTCTACGTACACCGAAACACCCTGAACGGACGAAGCTTGGGCGACTGAGTCGGTTTATACAATGTCTTCTCGTAAACGACAATGCATTGTAATGTTTCTTCGTCATTGGTCACGGGCACGAGTGATGGATGGTTCTGCGTGCATTGTTTAGGAAAGGAGCATTGAGAACTGCAACTTATTACATGAAGGACGTGGATGCTACTGTTACAAATATCGAGGGAAAAGGCGTATCATCGTGAATTTGAATGAAATGTGAACCTGTACAATATGATGGAGGGAAGTAAGATCTATTCTGAACCGCCGGTGCCGAGTGTGACAGCGGTGCAACTGATGGAAACGACTCCGTTCTGTGAACAATGTCAATCTTAGTTTGCGTAGTTCGAGGGGTTCACGTACGAGTGTACCGTCACAGCACGCGGGAGTGTTATCACAAGTGCCGTCGGTGGTGAGCGCGGTGCATCCGAGGCCGACATCTTGGGAAGAGGTCAAAGTGACATCGATGGATGCGAGAGCATTGGTAGCATCAGTGCTATCAGCCTGTAGAAGGATCAATACAGGCGTCGATCCGCGGGAAAACCGTGACCAACAGGAGTAAGCTCGTCGCAGCAAAGAAGTTGACCAGTGGTGCATGTGTCGGCCGTGGCCGTCACGACGCCCGAGGGAGATTGCCTCTTGGCAGCTGCACAAACGACCGTCAGCGACATCCGCAGTCTTCACCCGACTCATTACGTACCAGAGACACGGGTAGGGGCGTAAAGCTTGCGAGGAGCACGGGGCGGCAGGCCGCGCTTGAGAAGCTCAGCGTTGGTGGGGGTGCCGACAGCGCCAGCCGAGACGGAAGCCACGATGGCGAGGAACATGGAAAGAGCAAATGCCGACTTCATTGTGATCGTGAAGTGGTGTCGTGGGGTGGTCGCTGAGGGGGCTGGAGGTGAAGGCTGGTTGACTGAAATTTGTAAACAGAAGGATGAGCTCTTTATAGGTCCTCGTCTCCCATGACGCTGCTTGCTGTAAACGAGATTTGCCCAGAGGTAGCGTTCCTCAAGCTGTCCAATCTGGACCACATGGAGCGAGAGAGCGGGACTTCCAAGCGTTCAAGCTCCTGACGCCGCGTGCAGTGGGCGTTTTTCCTGTTCGAACTAGGCAGTCGTCGGTCTCCGAAGTTCGTAAAGTAACGCCGCCGATCAGCACTGTCCGACGGTGTGCCTGGCAGAACACAGTCAACAAGATCGATGACCAGTGCAGATCCAGCGGAACACTACAAACGTGGAACGTCAGCATCGGGAACGCCCGCATCCGTGGGGTGATGCGTTCATACAAGCAAGGAACCGGCGGATGTGATCGTCGAGTTTCTGGACTCACATCGGCGGAAGGAACTGATCAGGAAAGCTCCTCCTGAGCACTAAGCATCGAGCAAATCTGAACCTGAAAGCGCTGCACACTAGATGTCCACAGGAGTTGTCAAGCGCAAGCTCGTCAGGATTGATTTGGGCCAACCATTCTGCGGACTTGACGTAGGGGTGCGGCGCTTGGAGCCACCTTACTCATGTAGGGTTAGGGTTGCAAATACATACGTGAGTAAGTGGCGCCAAGCGCCGCATTCCGCCTCCCCTTGCAGTTTGCTCGAGTATATCGAAATCAGTGTGCATACAATACAGGTGTTGTACGATAATTGCAAGGACACAGCAGGAAGCCATGACATACACATGGGCACTCACGAATTGACCATCTCTGACCGTGGGATGATCCGTCTGAACACAAGTTACTTGCCACGGTCGATAGAGGGTTTACATCCGCGGACATATCGGCCGTTGCCATGGTTTATCTTATCTTATCGAACAAGCGCTCAAATTTCCGTCCAGACACGGAAAGTGTCATTACGCAGAGAAATCAAAGCGCAGTAGACACTACAATTATGTAAATGATACCGATAAGACCAAAACAGACTTCGGCGGCTCGGCCAACTGATACATCACACGTACAGAGTGATACCAGTACATCATGTAAGCGTTCTCACACCTACAGTGTCACGCTGCTGCGTCCCATCTAAAACTAGCGCTCGTCCGTCCGATATTCGCGGATTATCACGCTTTATCACGCTTTTGTAACGTTTTGGCTGGATCACATTTCTGTCACTGTGACGAGGCCCATGCGCAAAAACCAACTCCCTCCTTCGGGGGAGTCGGAATTCGCCGATCCTGCTTCATCCAGGGCTAGCAAAGGGGATAATGGCTAGCATCTACATAACATGTTCAAATATCCGAGAACCAACAAATGGGTGAAATGGAGGATATGAAATGGGATACTACTCGTTGAGTATGCGTGCTTCAGCCATCGTCATCATGCGGAATATCCCAGTCGTGTGTAACGTCACGTATCGCCCTTCGGGGGGTTACTCGCTCGCGGATTTCGGCGCCTCAATCGGCGGGTAGTTGTATTTGACTCGAGCCCGATGGTTGACGACCGACGGGAAGAACCAGTAGAGAAGCTGAGCCCACTTGTAGACGGAGGGTAGAAAGACGATACCACTGCTTTCGTCAAGAGCGCGGACGCATGACTTGGCAACATACTAATCATGCAGGAGTGAGGGTGGCTCTAAGGGATGAAGACTGTTTGCTGACCTCTCGTTTCAGCCCGTTCTTGTTCGGGTCAGATTCTCGAATGCTTCCTCCATCTACGGCGGATGCACGGAAGTCCCCCTCGACAGTTGCCGGCAATACGAAGCTGAAAGCGATATCTGGGTGCTCTATCGAGAGTGACCGATAGAGCATGAGCGATGCGGCCTTTGTTGATCCGTACAAGCTTCGCGTCGGCGGTGCTACGACGGCTCCGAGAGAAGACAGCAGCAGTATCGAAGGTGAGGGAGACGTGGTCGTGAGCAGAGGGATCTGTTTAGGATACTCAGCAAAGATGATCAGCTAGGGTGCTTGAGATTATGCACCAGAGATACTGCGGAGACAAGAGGGCCAGTGAAGTTGCCTGCGATGGCGGCGTTCGCGACATCCACGGTTCCTTGGATGCCTTCAACCGTTGCTTGAGGGGGGTCGAAAGCGCGAAGGCCGATTGAGTGTACACCAGCAACGTGTAGCAAAGGCTGTAACGCGCTCACGCCCGCGCATACAAGCAGTGTGTCGAGGCCACGCCATTCTGGGCACTCTTCGGTGAGACAGGGCCCACATAACGACGGGACCTTGACGCATCACGTACCTGTCTCCAATTCCGTCCTCACTCGTACCATATCCTCCACATTCGTGAAATCGGCGGTGACCCCAATAATTCTCCTCCCGCCGGCTTGGAATTCGCTATGACCACCTCTGGAGGAAAGCGCGCGACATTCTTCCATGACATTCTGCAAGTCCGGTTCACGTCTCGCAACTACACATACGCGAGCCCCTCGAGACGCGTAGATATGGGCGATGGAACGGCCAATCCCACTGGAGGCGCCAATGATGAGAACGCGTTCGTATGCCGCAGGAAGCTTGGTGGCGCGTTGCATGCGCCGAATCCATCGGGGTACAGAGAGCACGATAGGAAGCGTGAACGACAGCCCAAGGGCTACCGGCGTCCAAGGGTCATTGAGTATCTCTTTAGCTGTTTCCAATGCCATGCCCGAGCGACTACTATAGCGTGTTGAACGTGGAACGGTGACGGCGCGTCGAGTTCAACTTTCGCGCACGTGGACTCGGCAAGGATTCGGATCCGAAGCAGTCCGGTGCGCCCGGACCTTGACAGTCTCCAGACTCTCCACTAAACTAAAACCCGTGTGTTGTTTGCCCATCTACTTACAGCTTCTATTGCCTCGACGGCGATATGCGCATTCTCTGTCCCCCCCCTTTAAGACGAGTCCGGGAATTGCAATATATCTGCAGCTCATACTACGGGCTGTACGATGACAACACGGCCGCGAATCACATAAAACCGGTTATACAACGCGTTCAAGAAGTCGCAGAGTCCACATCCCGTAGGATGAGTCAATCAAAGCTCTCCATACGAGGACCCCACGACGAGCTGCCCGGCTTTGGCTGTCGGCACAGCCGGATACAGCGTATCCTCGTTGATAACAGACGCTGCTGTTGACGGCGTCAGACAGGCGATGCAGAAAATGGAGGGAAGGAAGCATTACTGGCAGCGATTGCTTCGACTGAAGCTGGAAAGGTCTTAACTCAGCTGCGAAGCTTTTTGTTCATTTATGTCTTGGACTCACCGGAGCTTGATTGAGAGTCGCAGCAGTACAGCTTGCATCCTGTGGTGCACCAGTTGCCGTCCCCATTACCGTCACTCACGCTCAACTGGTATTTACCAGGAGGACATTCTCCCGAGCAGAATGGTGCTTTTCAGATAGAAAGATTGGTCAATAGAAAACCGTGAGCATGGTTGTCAGTCACCTGTTCCGTACCATTCACCTTCGCCGTGTCAAATGGTAAGTTTCAACCTGCACCCCCTACGAACGACCCAACTTACAGTTCCTAGGCCTGAATGAGTCAGGACAGCACAGAGCCTTTTTACCAGTCACACAGGTGTTGCCTACGTTTATAACGGAAGATTGAAGTGTATATCGCATATATACCAAACGAAACAAACCGTTGTCGCAACCACCTCCGCCCACCGTGAGCTTCTGCGGCTTGGGAGACGTGCATTCCCCGGCGCAAGCAGGGGCGGTACCTTCGGGTTCACATTCAACGAGTACGTCGATTTCGAAATACAAGACAATCAGAACCTTGCCATACGCAACCATGGTCGTCCGCAGCGACACTGACAACCATTGCCAGGAAGAGAAGAGGGGCGGCAGATTTGAAGAACATCGTAGAACCAGCGAGGAGAATGTGGGAGCGCACTACGCTTATATGTACGTGGTCCCTGCTGATATATATATGCATACAAGAAATGTGCGAAGGTGACCCGGCAATTGTCACTTACCAATTAGGATTTCGGCTCAAACCTACCCCCCGCACACACTTCAATCATCGGTCCATCGATTGAGCCGATGTTGTTATTTCCGTGAGCGACTCCCTACAAGAAGTCATGCCATATTGTTCGGTGTTCACAGATCGACCCGCGTCCGGTCCAGCGCATTCCTTGCCCCAGGGGGATGAGCCCCGTCAAGTCAAGTACAGCGCTTCCTTGCTGTGGGCGTATAGATCTGCAGTCTCATATGACCTCCCAACGTTCTCAAAGCCTCTGTTCCCATCATTCAAGATATCATTGCCAAGGGCTCATACGCTTCCTCAATATCTATGCTGTCGTCAAACTGGGATGCCGGGCACGCCAAAAGCATTCCCAAAACTTGTGAGCTAACTACTGCAGCTCTAACACATACACCACAAATGTAATCAAAACCAACTTGGATGGCCTCTTTGAGATTTCGTAAGTATATCGCGTAACCCTTCGATGATCTAGGTCAGGCAGCCGCGCTACCGATATGCTCGTGCACAAGCGTTTCCTTAAGGCCAGCCCTCGCATGCTCAACGATATCCCCTACAGCCACTCCGCTTTCAACGGTGAGTAACAGGCCGTGCTCCTCGACATTCCCCTCGTCTGTGATGTGATACGGGCCATGCAATCCCGTTGGATACACCCAAAATGTTAGACCGACTGTCGTGAGGCCAAGCTGGTTTATGGCCCCACGACCGCTGATATATTCTTTCACGGCGTTGAAATCGTCCGCACTGGATATCTCGTCGAAATCTGCAGTGGCAAGGAGCGAGTACAGAAGGTCTTTGCTCTGTGTGCCGGTCGACCGCGCTACGGTGCAAGGCCACGGTTTGGAGTCGGTCATCGCGTTCTATGGCGAAGGGTTGGAGTCAAACACATTTGCTCCCTAACGTAGACCTTACCTTTGAGGATGTGATGCCTGTCGCAGTATACCTGCGGACTGCTATACGGCACCAATGTTATAAGACATGCGCTCGTTGGGCCAAGTTTGTGTCAAAGCTAAAGAAGCATCGGTCTTTGAGTTCCTCCCACCGTTCGCCTTCGTATTTGACACACACATATCAGAGTTCGTCAACGTCGCATAGACCATGGGAGAGACGGAGGTACCATGACAAGCCTTGCCGTTCGCAACAAATAGGTTCACGAGCGCGGAAAACTTTATTATGGCATGGAGTCCACTACTGAGTTGCGGGAACCCACCATGCTGAATACCGTAGTTCCGTGACATGTGAAACGAACAGTCGGTCTCTTGCATGCGCCGGCCAGAGGCGAGTCGAGCAACACCGAATCGAGCAGGCCGAACATCGTCGGCCTGCTAAATCTGAGCCGCATAGCTTGAATGTGCTGTCTCTCATTCACGCTGCGCGTTCTGATAAGATGATCAGGACACTCGTGAGAGCAACGCCGGGGAACGTGAAACCTAGTGCTGCATATATACACTGATAATTCGGCAGTTGTTGAGTTCATACCCTTGAGGCTTGCCCTAGCGCCATGAATTTCTTGCCTTGGATTTTCAGCGTTGCGGTCATTCTTCAAGCCTTCTTGTCAGTGTCTTCCGCCAGTTCACACGTTTCGGGAGGTTTGGGGGACATCCATATCGCGCACCAGATGAAACCTCTTCAAGCTGACGCCGGGGAGGTGCGGGTTGCGACACTAGTGCGACTGAGGACTAGTTCCTTATTCCTCACTTTAACACTACAGCTGGAAGAGTATCTGAAAGCGGGTGGGAGCTGCAAGAATCACGGAGAAAAGTTGACAACGGCTGTTGGAAAGTCAGTTCACTGAGTTTTATTCCGTTTCGTTCAAGGATCGATGATACAAACTTATACCTTCTCGCAGATGCGATCCGGCAAAGTCGAAGGGATTTCTTTCCGCTCACAATTGCAAGAACAAAAGTGGAAAGTATTACTACTGCGTGTCGAAAGCAGGACAGACAGGAACCTGCGGCGCTGTCAAAAACTTTGTCGGATGGGAGAATGGGGAATGTTTCACTTGAAGCAGCTTCCGATTCGTGTCGTTTAGGAATACATCGATCCTCTTCACGATATCACGCTTTGTTTCATCGTTTGCGTGCTGTTCTTTGTGTTGAATCCTCCGGATTTCGTTTTCGAGACTGCTTAACGATTCTAGACGTTAGCATGCTAACAGCGTGTATGTATGATGAGAGACAACCTTTCGCGGCTTCCATGTACTAGTGACGGAAAAGAGCTCATCCTCAGACAATGGTGTCAGATCGCTCTCGCCTTGATTATCCTTGAAGCAATATTCTGATGAGAAAGTGCACCTCAGAACAGTCGACGTATCACACCTCGATATTATCCAATTCACAAGGAAGTTGTTGGAGCTCCGCCACGTAAGCCGAAGTGCGCCCTCCGACAGTCACCCACTTGATGGTTGCGGGATCTCCAGAAGGCTACAAGTGGTTTAACGAGAATAGTGCGAGAGCTATGCACAGCGCGTACTAGTTTCAGACTCGACTTCGCGCCCGTTTTCTTGCCCTTCCCCTGCTTCAACATCAGCAGGATATGTGATATGACAATAATTCGACAGACCCAACGATGGATAAACAGCCAATCTGCTGGAAATTTGGTATGGTCTGCATCCGCGTCGACAGCTACTCGGCAAACTTGTCTCGTGTGCGTATGAAGCCGTTCGAGCTGGAGTTCACTGAGAGTATGACAACGCTGTTCTGGATGTATCCTAGAATGGTACAGAATTTCGTCCGCAACCCAGTTGCCTACGCCTGCACTAAAGCCTTGGTCTAGCAGGAGCGCCTTGATCGGACAAGAACGCCTGAGCACTTTGGAAGAGAACTCGGACAACGCGGGCATGCTGAGTATAGGATCGAAACCAAGCTCTGAGATAGGCGGAGATGTCATTGGCGAGGATACGAGCCGGATACGTCCCAGCCTACGAGCGTCGCAGAAGGCGACTTGGACAGCGATCTGTTCACCATCAGGCGTACCGAGATGCAGGACAAACTTCAAGAAATTGGGTGGCCATTGCGCGGAGACCTTTCGGGACGAGCTCTGGTAGTGGAATGGTTCCTGACCTTGTATCTGCAAGACAAGATGAGTGCGATGTCTCACGTAGAATGGACTTGTGAACGGAAGAAACCTGAATCATGCCTGTCATGCCGAAATGTAAGACGGGGAAACGACCTTCGCCATCGAGCTCCATGTAAAACAGTTTTCCGTACCGCTGGACGCCGGTGATCATTCGTCCCTCCAATTCCTTGGCCTAGGTTGCGAAGCCATCATTATGACTTTACGAGGTCAGGGGAGAAGGTGGAATCTCACAAACTCATCATGGGTAGTCCCACAAAATACGATGTCATCTTTCACGCTGTCCACTCTCTACATGAAACCTTCGTTCAGTCCAATTGCTACGGGGAAAGCTCTGCCGGGAACTTGCTTGGATCATCTTGCCCTTGCCGACGGCCTCCAAGACGCGTCGAGCATTCTCGACTTCTGTTCCGAGTCGGAAGTTTAGAGAGAGTGCTACTTGTGTTGCTATCGTATCCTCTACCTGGAAGCTCAGGCATGGGTGCTATCCGGTATGGTTGCTGATAGAGTCATAGCGGTGTGGCCAAGCCTGGCCAAGCTGGATCGGAGAAGCGCGACGGATTCAGAGTCCGACGTCCATAGACTTCAACCTAGTCACTGCACCGGCCGCATCAGCTTTTGTCTTCATCCTCCTTTGTACCGCTATCCTGCGTCCACGCCTTATATTGTACTATTTGCATTGTTCGACTCGAGGATCACCTTTTCGCGGAAACCATATAATTGAGATCGATACGAAGAGACCGCTGCTGTCCTGCGCTCCCCAGATCCGTCTTTCACCCCCAAAACCGATCGTTTGACTCCATCGAGCTAGTCTTCGAAGATGAACTACGTACAGGTTCGTCAATCTTATGCCAAATAGGGAGTGCCGCTACTGAAAGTCGTTTAGTTAGAGAAACTAGGCGAGTACCGGCTCGCAGTGGAAGAGGCACACAGATTAACGATCTCTGGTGCTCGCAGGAGAGGGAACGTATGCGACGGTGTATAAGGTACGTGACGTCTTATTTTACTACGCAAGCAACCTCATCGTTTCCTAGGGTCGCTCACGTACCACGAACGAAATTGTGGCGCTGAAAGAGATCCATCTCGATGCGGAAGAAGGCACCCCTTCCACCGCCATCCGCGAAATCTCCTTGATGAAGGAGCTCAAACATCCCAATATCGTCCGCTTGCACGATGTCATCCACACTGAGACCAAGCTCGTCCTTATCTTCGAGTTCGCCGACCAGGACCTGAAGCGGTACATGGACACGAATGGCGATCGCGGCGCTCTCGATCCCGTTACCGTACGCAGCTTCATGTGGCAATTGCTGAGGGGCATCGCGTTCTGCCACGAGAACCGAGTGTTGCATCGCGATCTGAAGCCGCAGAATCTGCTGATCAACAAAAAGGGTGAGTTGAAGCTCGGCGATTTCGGTCTCGCGCGAGCGTTCGGTGTCCCTGTCAACACGTTCTCGAATGAGGTAGGTATCGTCGTGTATATCGTTATGCCAACGCTCAGAAAATATGTCAGGTGGTGACGCTGTGGTATCGTGCTCCGGACGTGCTCCTTGGCTCTCGAACATACAGCACCTCCATCGATATCTGGTCTTGTGGCTGCATCTTCGCCGAGATGATCTCAGGTGTCCCACTGTTCCGAGGGCGAGACAACCAGGATCAGTTACTCCATATCATGCGTATCATTGGCACGCCAGACGATCGCACTTTACGTCAGATAGCCTCCCAGACTGTGAGTATGCTCGCCGAACATCTCGACTTCATAATTTTTATATTTGATGCCCAGCCCGATGTGCAAATCAAGCAATTTCCCAAGTACCCTAAGATTCCCTTCACTCAGATCCTCCCGAAGGCATCGCCTCAAGGTTTGTTCGTCTTCCGCTATGGGTGTGCCATGCTCATAACCGATTTGCAGCTATCGACTTACTGGAGAGACTTCTCCAGTTTGATCCCGCAAAACGAATGACCGCTGATGAGGCCCTTCAACACCCCTACTTCCACGGCCCACCACCCTTCCCTATCAACCCGGCCATGACTGGCGCGTTCACTCATGCCAACCCACACGTTGACGCGCACGCACAACATGCCCAAGCCCAGGCTCAGGCACAAGCCCAGGCCCAGGCCCAACAGGCCGGACAAGCTCAAGCGCGAGCAGCGTGGGCAGCACAGCAGCAGCAGCAACAACAACAACGGGCGATGATGTTGCAGCAGGCTCAGGCGAATCACGCCCAAGCCTTGGCTCAAGCTCAAGCGCAAGGACAAATCCCACCCGCAGTCATGCAGGTCGCCGCGGCTCGTCAGCAAGGGTTCATCGATCCGGCTCAGATGTATGCCCAGCAGTACCAGGGTGCGCCTCGGTAGTGCAGCGTTCGTGTTCGTGCCTGTTTCTTGTCGGCTTCGCATTCATCACCGTTTTGGGGATTCCGGACTCATGAGCGCCGTTCGGGTCGATACTGTTATGATAGCATACCTAGACAGACGTTGTAATACACCTGTACCATCACTAAAGCAAGAACACAACCCCGTGGCCCTAACCCTATACTTACCTTATATCACCGTCCTCGGACGAAGCCGAGCCGCGCAGCTCGCACTGTTCCTTTCCCCGAATTTCGCGAAGAGCTCGTTCAGAGGGACCATGGCTGCTCCCATCTTCCGAGCGTCTCTCAAGTCTACGCCGGCCAACGGCCACTCTGTGTTTATACCGCAGATACGCAAGCTCGTCTTCGAGTACTGCGACAAATGGCCCTCGTCGCACAACACCCGCACCTTCCTTGAGACGCGCGTAGAGGACCTCGCGCGGGCGAACCCGCACGTCGAGATTGTGCTGAAGCAACGGAGTATGAAGGAGCCTATAGTGAGGGGGTTCTACAGTGCGTTTCCATCTGTTTCTGTAAGGATAACCTCTACTGAGCAACGGCTTCAGTGAATGGCCGTGACAAGGTCATCGCGTTGAATAAATGCGAAGTCCACGATGTCGGGAAGAAGGTTCAGCTCCTGTTGGACTCGTCAGGAGCGAAGATAAAACCTCTCAAGCGACGTATCGTGGAAAGTCAAACAGAGGCGGCTAGGGGTATCTGGAGCGGGCTGCATGTGGACGAGCCGTTCCGAATATGACCTGCCGGCGTTCAGTATAGCGGCTATCCGCTGTGAGTACTCAGTCCCATGCCCATATTCGACGCTTCTGACTCTGGCTTGACGTTCACAGGCGAGCCAAGCTGTCCTGTATTATCGTACATCCCGTTGTCTTCACGAAGCTCTGGCTGGTGGTACGGACGAGTTGAATGACATTCACATTAATACATCCGATTTGCTATCTAAGGCCACACCGAAGCCGAACGCCGTCTCATATCGAAGTATACATGATCCTCGAGCAGCATTGAATCGCCAATAAACAACATAACCGGTCCCGTTGTGACCTTCTGAAGCGCCCCGATCCTGGGGTCATTGCTCGAACAATCTGCTTTCTGTCCAGTCCCGATAGTCATGCCACACAAACCCGATTAACAGTCCTTCAGGCCTCCTGGACGTAATTGCCTGTTCAGCGCACGATAATCAGCAATGCAAACAGACAAACGAGCAGAAAGGTCAACCTACCAGGGAAAACGCCTTGCTGCCCGTTGAGTCTCCCCGTCCACCAATCCTCCGCGCTAGCCGTCTTTTCGACAATCTCTATCCTATCTCCAGTCTTGAAGCTTAAGTCGCCGTCGGCCTGCGCTTCAAAGTCGTACAGCGCCACCACGTACTGCGCCGCCTGCGGCTTTGGCTTGAGCGGGGGCGGTGGCGGTGGTGCCCTCTTAGCGGCTGCGGCTGCGGCCGCGGCCGCTGCATTGCCGGCGGACGAGGGCGTGTAGGGCGGCGGGGCGGCAGGCACGGGCGAGGGGGCTTTATTGAAGGACGCGCTGGGTGGAGGCGGAGGTGCCTTTTTAACGTAGGAAGAGGACGGTGTGCGCTGAGGCGCAGCAGATCGAGAGGACACCGTGGACGCGGAGGCGGTCGACGAAGCACGGTTGAGTGACGAGCCGGCCGACAAGCCGCCCTGGGCGCGGGTCTGTTGCACAAACTTGGCTGAAAAAAAAAGGAGGGGGGGGGATGTTCAGGACGCGCAAGAAGGCTACAGGCATAGTCACTGACATGTACTGATCATCCGCTTGGTGATGTTGAGGTTTTCGATCTGCTGCCAGGCATCCGTGCGTTTCTCTTCGTAGTCGGCGGCGATCTGCGAGCCGGGCACGTTCGCTACATCGAACTTTCCGTCGGCGAACTGCTGCATCTTCTCCAGCAGCATGTAGAATACGTTCAGTCTGCGCAACGATCGGTCCGGGTCTAGGGGAAAGCATATCGGGGACGTGCTCACTGCATGTAGAAGAAGGAGTGGAATAGCGGGTCGATGAACTGGGTGGCGAGCACCATGAACCGGGGAAGGTCCGTCTTCAGTGCGGTATTGATGTAGTCATATTCATTGGTCGCTACTTCGAAGTCTTGCTCGAGCTAGTGCGGATGCGATCAGCCGCAGCTCCCAACAAACGCTGCCCACCGAGCACAGACCTTGAACAGGTTCTTCTCGTCGCTTAGAGACTTCTCCTTCTTGTCGCGTAGTTTCGTCAAGGAGTTGTTGAATCGATCATAATCTATGAGCTGTTAAGAGTCAGCACATGGATGAGTACGCGTATACGGCGACACATCTTTACCTTGTGTTCGCGTTTGGTGATGGTTTTCCTGATGGTCTTGAGTACACTCTGGAGTTCCTTCGTGGGACCAGCGACACGGCTCTCTATTAGCTCCAATTCTGGCGCGATGGTACTTTGCAGCTCATCCATCGCTTCCTAATCCCGCCGATCAGCACGCCGTAACCCGGGACTGCTGCGGAGACGTGGCGCCTGACGCACCTGGTACGGTGCGACATTGCGTATCGTGTGTTCAGCCTCGGGGTGCTTGCCTATGAGGTTGTATTCCCCAGAGATGGGTTCAAACAAGGTCTTGAAATGGTTCGCGAAGCCAACGCCGGCAGTGAACAGAGCTAGGGAAGCACGGTAACATTAATCGCGCATGCGCGCTTCGATTCATGTGTCACTCACCGACTACCGACTCGCTGAAAGCCTTCGTGTCCTTCAGAAGCTTCTCCGTAGACTGCTCGAGAGTTTGGAAGGCGCGATGGTATTCCTCGAACTCCGGATCGGACGACTCTGCTCAGCGTCAAGACGAACACCGGAGGTGATCACAGATGGTGTAGCAGTCAAGCACAGTATCATTGCATTAGTGAGACCACAGATATCGGTGATCGAGGATACTCGCTCTTCGACATCCCGACCTTGGTCGTGACCAGATGCGGTGTCCTGCGGTCACAACGGCTGAGATTCTAGTCCATGATAGATGAACGCGACGACGAGACGCACCGCTTGATCGCCTTCGCGAAGCCCTTCATGTTGGCGATATGCAAAGGGGTAAGCTAGATATCGGAGGTACGAGAGGGGATATGCAGCCCAAGCGACCGCGGGAGAATGGCACTATGGTCAGACGATTGAGGACACCAGTGACATCGCCTTTCGCGCAGCGATAAATCCTTGGCGCTCAGCGCGCCTGCGTCATCAGTAGACTCATCGGCACGGGCGCCTACTCAGTAAACCAATGTGAGTCCCGATGTGAAGGCTGCAAGATACGCAGTAATACATATACATAATCAGTAATACAGATGTACATATCGTGTAGGTATTGAGATGAAGTCCGTCCCGGATGAATGATGCTGGAGCAGCAGCAGCTGAGCATCGTGTTCAGATGCTCGATAGTGTGAACGTGAAGGAAATGCAATGCCCTCTGTTCAGAATAGCATTTCTGCGTTGTGATCCGAGAATTCGTAGTTGTTGAAGCTTGCATTGAGGGCCGGCATACCGTTCTGGAACAGCATCTGCGAATCCGCTGCGGAGGGATGGAGAGTGGATGCTGTAGCCCCATAGAAGGGGAGCACCCTGCCTGACGCTGGGGGTATTGCAAAGCTGGAAACGTGACCGTCCGAGCCGCCAAACACAAGTTCCGTAGATAAACCGTCTGTAGGTTCCCAAGGTGCGGACGGGAAGGTATGTAGGTTGTATGACCGAGTCGGAGCAGGCGGATTCGCATAGGCCGCTTCTGCAATCCGCATCTGGTTGAAGGGCAGCGGCATGAGCCAGGGGGACGTAGAACATTCCGGGGCGATCGGGATGCACGGTTCGCAGCCATCCTACAAGGGGAATGTCAGCAATATAGATTGTCGCGAGAGAAAGAGGCTCTTACCATGGGAACCGCATTCGAGGGATACATGCTCGGGACATGATCTGAAGAAGCCCGCTCGAATCGCCCTGGCTCGGGAGACATTGAATGCTCCGGGGTATGGGGCATGGACGAAGAACGAATCGAGGGTGATGGCGATGGCGAGAGCTCGTCATCCGAGAATGCGATGCACGGGCCCGACTCCTGGACAATCTTGTCGAGGGCGGAACCATGCACGCCATGCTGTACGAATGAACCAATCTGCTTGCATCGCTCCCGTTCGGCCTTGGTGGTGCGGCTTCCTCGTCGAGGAGTGTTCTTCCGCGAGGCAGGGGAGTACTTGTAGTCAGGATAGAGCTGAGCATGCTTCTCCTTCTCGATATCCGCGAGGCGCTCAAAAGGACGTTTCTCCTCCGCCGACATGCCTTTCCAGACATGGCCGATTATCATACTGATCGGGATACGTAACTCAGTTTTATTGTGCGCAACTATCCAGACGTGGTAAGAAAGAACTCACGAGAGCTTATTGTTCTGGTTTTCGACGTCCGTCGAGACTTTCCGGGATGCAATGAAATGCGAGCGGAAGAGAATGAAGGCATTCGGTGGGCGTGGGATATGGTCTTCCTCGCGCTTGCGAGCATGGGACACTGCAGAACGTCGTACTGCAGGGAGTGATGTCACATCCTGGCCTTCCTTAGCTGTCGACGTCGAATTCTGGCGCGGGGCTCCGGGCCGAGGGCCTTCAGAGCCGGACGAGGCATGGGCGGCGGAAAGCCTCTCGGGAGCCGCTTTGCCGGCAATCGGATGGGCCGGTTCGCTCGAGGCATGCGCCGCGTCATAGCCACCTACAGGAATGGTTGCAGGTTAAGTAGAGCAGCGTGAGAAACGATGAAGGTCTCGTAGGTGAAGGATGGGTGTATATGGCGCATGGATTGCATGATGTAAATGAAATGTGGCTTACCATCAGGGTTCTGACCCGCAATGCGGCGGGAGTACCTGGTGTTCGGCGTCGCAGACATAAGGTGTGTTCGGAGAGTATCAAATTGTCAGACGACCGTACAAGCACGGGGAAAGCTTGCAAAGGACAGGAAACTTTGTGGGGGCGCAAACAGGATGTTTGTGATGCATCTTGAGGACGCCAGATACCCGCCTTTTGAGCCATTGCGGGCTGACCGACGCGATGAGCGCGACAGCGCCCTTGGGATACTTACCCTTCGCTATATTCACCTTGAGGAGGGCCAAAGGGAGGCGAGCGCGTCCCCCTCCCCATGCTTCACGTCGGCAAGCTCGGCATGCGAGGCACACAAGGGCACACATGGTCCTTCGCTTCCCTGACGTGCTGCGTTCCTCGGCCATCTCCTTGGTGCCGTAGCCATCGCCTGATACTGAACAAAGCCTTCTTGAGGGACGGTTCAGAAAGCGTAAGTGTTCTTACGGTTGAATGCATACCTGATACCGGAATATCGACGCCGCCCAACGCCTCTGCGCAAGCCTGAGGTGCCCAACTTCATGTTGGTTGTTGTCCCCGCATGCCTAGTGTGGGATACGGGAGCAAAACCCGAATTAAGGCATGATTGCGGATCTAAGATGAGTTACCGAAAACGGATATATAGTTTGCAATCAGTGGGCCGTGATGGGCCCAAGATGGGGCGATGTCAATGCAAGGCGCCCAAAAGAGGCCGCGAACCACCGACGCTCGCAAAACCGGGCCGTTTGTGAGCAACGGCTCATGCTCTGATCCATAGCATCGCCATATCTTGGTCGCCAAGCGCCTCAAGCGCATGCTGAGCCCATATATCGATGGTCCGCTCTGTTCACAAATGCGTCATGACTGTCCACAAGGGAGCAATAGACTGGGCCAAGGGAGGGAATGAAGGTCAGTAAAGGGTAGCGAAGTAAGTTAACACGTGGGGGGGGGGTTAACACATCAATCATCTTGTTCAGATATGCGGAGGTCCGCGCAAGTTTGCTCCGAAAGTATAATCGCGGTATGATGTGACAACGTACGATAGCGAAACATTGATCTACCTACGAGAGATGGACTTGAGTCAATCGTCAAGATCATGCTGCTCAATAGGCATAGCTCACAACGAGAGACGCTGACGTCGCTGGCCAGCCTCTCCCAGTCTCAGCATTGTCACGGGCTGAACGAGGGTCATCATTCGTCGTCTCCTCCGAGACCGCCCCATTCCTCTTCATCCTCGTCCTGGTTCCCACCTCCCCCTTCCCGCACTTTCGCCGCAGCTTTCTCCTTCCTTCTCCTGCTCCCCTCAATCATCTCCCTCTTCTTCTTCGCCTCTCGCTTGCCTACGATTGTCCCCTTCACGTCCACTTCTTCAGCTCTCTTTACCTTGCCCATCAGTTTTCGTTTCATTTTGGACGGCTTCGGCAGCGACGATATCCACTCAGGCACCGGTTGGCCGGATTGAAGGAGGACGTTCGCGATTCTAGATGCATCAACGGGCAGTTAACCATCGATGATCAGGGAAATAAGTGAAAGCATACGATTTGAGGTAAGGCGCATCCTCGTTGGTGAAATATGTGACAGCCTTGCCCTCTCGCCCCGCTCGTCCCGTGCGGCCTGCAGACAATTCATTAGCAAGCGAACCTCAGATGCATCGGTTTGTCATAAGATGAACCCACCTATACGATGCACATAGCTTTGCACGCTCGCCGGGAAATCATAGTTGACCACCTCCCGAACGCCCCTGAAGTCCATGCCTCTCGCCATAACCTCCGTGCACACGAGAACCCACACTTCGCCAGCTTTCACACCCCTGATCGTGTCTTCCCGCTGCTTCTTCGTCATGCCCGCGTGAAGGCAACCCACACGCGGGATGGAGTACAGTACGAGATTCTCTGCGAGGGATGATGCGCGGGGTTGGGTAGAGGTGAAGATGATGACAGGGGGGGTGTACGGCCGGTTGAGATGCGCGACGAGGGTGGGGAGTTTAGAGGCGTCATCAGCTACATAAACGAGGGACTGTTGTATATGCGGTAAAGGAGTGTCCCTGGGAGGAGTGGCGAAGCAGTCAGTCAAGGTGTAAGCATTGCAAGGGGTGTGACTTACTTCAGTCCAACGACGACCCGAACGGGATCCTTCATCATGCCCATCGCGATTTTCTCTACACCAGCGGGTAGCGTTGCACTGAAGACCGCTTTCTGGCAGGAGGGATGGGTGCATGCGGCAATGATGTCTTGCAGTTGAGGAAGGAACTCGGCATCTAGTAGACGGTCTGCTTCGTCCAGAACGAGATGCCTCACACTGCCGCATCGGTGAGTACAGGCATGGGCTCAGAGAGGGCGCGTCGATGACGCACTTCGACAATGAAATTGAATTGGATCCAAGCGCAGATACGAGGCGCAGAGGTGTACTGATTATGATATCTGTAGGTGTTCATGTGAGACTCGTCCAAGTGAGAAATCGTGGAAACATACCAACGTTATCCCGTACATTCTTGTCCACAAGGGTGGCAGCGGTCGCTTTTGAGAACAGGATGATCCTCCACTTCCGTCCCTGGGCAAGTTTGAGGCACTCGTTATGTATTTGGTGGGCGAGCTCGCGTGTTGGGGCAATGATGAGGGCGCGCACACCTTCGCCTACAGCTCGCTCCGCACCTCCGGACGTTGGTGGATCAGAGTCATTTTTGGATTTGGAGTGCGAGGGGGAGCGCAAAGCTGCGAAGACCGGAAGGAGGTATGAGAGGGTCTTCCCTGTACCGGTGGGGGATATGGCAGCCAAATCGCGAGCGGAGAGTAGTATAGGCGCGCCATATGCCTGGATACTCGTTGGAGTGCGGTACCCGCTCTCACGGAGGTTGGTGAGAAGGCGCGGAGGAACGTTGTAACGCTGTTGAAGATCCTCGAACGTTTCGGCCGGAGGTGGTACGTTGGACCCTCTGGTGGTTACTCGATGTTTGGCCGTAGCGCAGGATTCCTCGCCATCAAGACCATCTTCCGCAGTTCCGTCAGCGCTATTGTCCTCCGTTGTCTTCTGCCTCTTCTTCGAGCGCTCGTCTGCCTCTGCATCCTTCCGCTTCCCATTACCTGTGCTCTGCGCGTACTTGAAGAAATCCAATTCGGCTGGAAGTTGGCCATCGCTGCTTTTGGGAGTAGCTGAGGCGGTTTTCTCTTTCGTTGACGTGAATAGCTTGACGTCTCTCTGAAATCTGCGTTTATCGAACTGAGCGCCGCCTCGAGAGAGCAGATTGAAGGCCTCCATGAGGAATTTAAGCACAGCCACTTTCGCGAATTGAAACAGGCAGGTCTGAGGTGACTCTTGACTTTGGCTGGATTCCTCGTTGAGGAGGCCAGCACATGAAGCAACCTCCATTCAGACCGATTTCACAAGTACTTCAGGATCTCACACGACTTGTGAGCAGCCAAATTGTGACGATCGTGTCTCCGAGTGGCCACTAACTACGACTCTGGGTTCTTTTCAGATTGTACTCCCGGTCAAAAGGCATGCACGCGATACACGAGGAGGCATGCACGGACTATGATCAAATATCCCTGGCATCTCTGCAAGAGGTGGACGCAGATCTTCAAATTCCGCGTTCCCGTGTCCTAGCCTTACGAACCGTTCGCACTCCCCTAGTCCCCATCTCTCGACTGCCGAACGAACTGCTCTCCGCTATCTTCTCGATCTATGTTGCGAACCCTGCGCAGGACGAATCATATTGCAGCGTGGTTGTCACGATCACTCATGTTTGCCGGCATTGGAGACATCTGGCGTTAAGCTCGCCTACCCTGTGGACGCAAATTCCCTGCCACAACCCCGCCGCAGCACAGGAATTCATCGCTAGATCAGAAGGCATGGAAGTTGACATCGTATCGAGAACTATCCACCATTCCGGCTTAGAAGCTGCATTGGCTGAAATAAGACGGGCTCGGCACGTTGACGTACGGACCCATACTGCTGTGATACGACGTATCCAGAGTAGCCTGTCTCAGCGTGCTCCGTTCCTGACTTACTTCTCCATGGAGGACTACGGAGGTGGCGGGTCATCACTACCCGATGACTTTTTAGGGGGTGAAGCCCCCCAACTCCGGTCTCTGATTATCCAAGATATCGGTTTCAACTGGAGCGCTCTGCGGGACAACCCAGTCTTGCGTCGCCTTAGCCATCTCCATATCACATCCACCCCCGAGGATTGCAGAGCAGGATCTGAGTGTTTTCTAACGCTTCTTGCTCGGATGCCGTCCTTGCAAACATGCCGCCTGAGCGATTGCTTCATGAATGGGGAAGATATTCCATCAACGGACTCCGTCACCGATATCCTGATCCTCCCTCGACTTTCAAAACTAGCTCTATTGGGCCCTATGGTAGCCATATCTGGAATCCTTCACTACCTTCGCGTTCAGCCTAGGGCCGAAGTAAGCCTGGCATGCACTCTCGCCGGCTCTACTGGAGGCATGTTGTCGTTCTTCAATCACCGCTTGAACGACCCAAACCGGCCACCGTGCCGCTACCTCGAACATCGCTTGGTTGGGAATAGCTTCAGCATGCAAATGCATGCAAATAGGACCCTGCTTAGTGCCGTTGACCCCGAGCCGCTGCTGGACGTACGTGTGATGTTCCGTGAGCATCATGAAGCATTCATGGGCCTCCACAACATTGTCCCGTTGGCCGAGATCCACGAATGGGATCTCAATGTTTCTGCATCCTTTGGCATACACATGCTCGCCGCGGTATTCTCTCGCTGCGAGAACGTTGTTCAACTTAGGTTGACGAACGTATCCGGAATTCGGCAAGTGTTCGAATCTTATCTGGCGCCGTTCCGTAGCCCAAACGAACACGACAAGAAGACCGCTTTCCTGCCGAACCTTCGCAGCATCCGGCTGTCCGGTCGGTATCCCTTGGAAGGGGAAACCTTCTGGACCGTAGTTCCCGGAGTCATGACCGAACGCCACAAGTTGCTCGGCATCTTGCCTTCTATCACAGTCGAAGATCCAGATGGGGTCAGGGAGTATGCCTTGGAGACTCTGCTGGCGATGGCGGCACGAGTCGACATCGCGACTGCAGTCGACGATATCTTGCAAGTATGATTGATGCGTGGTCATTGTTACACTCGGGAAACGGTCCTGGTACCGCAGTACTGTAGTAAATGCAATAGTCGAATGCCTCGAGAATGATCGAGAGTTACTAGTAGGCAGGTATGTATATATTTCCGGCGAGGTCATGATAATGGAACAACCAGTTGCCGCGCCGCACGTACGCCAGACGGGCAATCATAGGCACCATAGGAATCAGGGATGTATGCGAGACAGGGCGAAACGCACAACGCGTTCGCGGATGCTTCGCCCTTTCGCTTGACGCGGTTCATAGCTTATGCTCTTTCTACTACCCGGTCGCCGTCGATTTTCTCCACGATATACGTCTCGCTTTATTAGAACCTGCCGAAACATGTCTCTGAAGAGTATTCGCGTGGAGAGAGTGCATGTACCAGAGAACATGCGAATCGACCTCACTCCGGAGGAAGGGCAACTGTGCACGCTTCTGGACGAGTGTACGGCCTCACTTAGAGAGAAACACAACATCACGACGACGTGCAGAATCGCTGGAGGATGGGTCAGAGACAAGGTCAGTCATGCCTACCCGCAGGGCATACACCCGACCGAAAATACCTATCGCATTCGCAGTTCAGCTACTAGGCTCAGACTGCAACGATATCGATATTGCACTCGAAAACATGATGGGCGTTCCATTTGCTGAGAAACTCCTAACATTTCTCGCCGAAGAGAAAGGCATGGATGACATCAAGCTGAGCATCGTGAAGAGTAATCCTGGCCAAAGCAAACATCTCGAAACGGCGAAGGTCAATCCAATTCTTGGGTTTGAGCTGGATCTGGTGAATCTTAGGAGTGAGGAATATGCCATCGACAGCCGGATACCCACCGAAGTGGTACGTTGAGGATGTTCGAATGTCGGCAACGTCATGTGCTTATACGAAACTTGGTCAGACATTTGGCACCCCACTACAGGACGCTCTGAGACGGGATATAACCATCAACTCGCTGTTCTATAACGTACATTCGAAGTCCGTTGAGGATCACACTGGCAAGGTCAGACTGCTCTCGTGTGGGCCTTCGGCCTGAGCTCATACGCAGTCATGGTGATAGGGTCTACATGATCTCCGCAACGGCGTTGTACGGACACCACTTCCACCCCGCGAAACATTCCTAGACGATCCGCTGCGAGTCCTCCGATGCGTTCGATTTGCCAGTCGCTTCGGCTTTGACATGGTCCCGGAGCTCGTGGCGTCAGCTAAAGACCCGGAAATACAGGTCAGTCGACCCTTGTTCGTGTTGGTAATTCAGTATATTCATGGCCATTCAATCCATCACCTTATTCAGACTGCATTCCGCTCGAAAATCACAAGAGAACGTGTTGGCGAAGAGGTCCACAAGATGATGAAAGGCCGACATCCACTGCTCTCTATTCAATTGATGGACGAGCTTTCCCTCCCGCCACTAATCTTCGACGTTCCCGCGTCCATATCTTCCACGTTTTCGTCCCAACCCGCACCCTATCACACGGCCCTGGCCGCGTCATCGGTACTGCATCTAATAATCGATGCACCGACAGAGCCCTCGTCGTCCGTATCTCTTCCTCCCGTTCACTCCGAGCTGCTTTCTGGGATAAGGACAGACAGCACAGCACAATCGCGATTGTACCTCGCCTGTGCCGTAACGCCGTATCGCGGGATAACATTCACGGATGCCAAAAAGAGAATCCATCCGGCTTGTGAGGCGGCCCTCCGGGAGGGCTTGAGGGTCGGGACGCAGAACCACTACCTGGATGGCATACCAGCGCTGTTCGGTGCCTGGGAGATCTTGAGAGGCCCAGTCGGCGGCGATCAGGCCACGCAAGACAGCAACAACGAGAGAGCCAGGATAGGTCAGCTGGTTCTTCTACAGCTTTGCGGTGTTCCATGCTAACGATGCAGATACAGGGTTGTTGCTGCGGGAGAAGACTGTGCATAACCCACATACGGGCTCACATTGGGCTACATCGCTCCTGTTCTCCCTTGTTCAAGACCTTGTGGAGTTGTACAATCCCATACAGGACCTGCTTGATGGTGCGTCCTGCCCGCCGCACTTCACTCATTTTCTCACTCGGGCTTGCAGTGGCGGAAGCATCCAAGGTTATCGCGAAGTACAATGACTTCGTAGCTCGCATCCTCGAACTCGATTTACCATCCGCAGTCGAAGCGAAACCCATCTTAGATGTTTGTACATTTGCGCCTTTTCCATGCCGTGTTTAACGTATGCCGTATCTTGTGTTTAGGGTCACGAAATCGTTCAAATCCTGGAAGCTGGCAAGCCGGGCTCGTGGACGGGCGGCGTCCTCGCCCGCGTTACGGAATGGCAGCTCGAATTTCCCCAGGGAACCAAGGAGGAGTGTGCACAATGGTTGACAGCGGAGAAGAAGGCCGGACGAATCGATGTCCAAACTGCTGGAGGAAGCGGGGGAGGAAGGGCAGGCAAGGAAGGCAAAAGGGCGAAAGGGGAGAGGGACGGTGCCGTTAAGAAGCCGAAAGTGGATTGAAGATCCTCTGCAATGCATGGCGATGTGCAAATATCCGGATGACTCGGGGCGAGAGGACCGTGGCGTCGGGTTTTTTGCTTGAACATTTCTAAGCATTCCGAGAAAGCTCCATATTGATGCATGAAAGAGTGGACCTGTGGCTGGTGGCGAGGCATTCGGTCTGCAGTGCTTTCTTCGATACGAGTGGTTTCAACGGCCTTGGGACAGATGATCACCTCGATCTAAGCCTCCGTGTATTTTCCTGAGAAACTCTACATTGATGAGAATGGTTCAGGGATATACTAATGCACAACATGGTGGTGGCACAACTACAATCCGACGTCGATTCCTTGTTCCGCGATACGTGAAATCGCATGGCACAGGGCATTAGAACTTCCGTCGTACGCCACGGAGATCGACGCCTCGTAGGGAAGATCTGAGTCGTCGAGGTGATCAGGTGCACTAGACAGATTGGCAACCTGTACGCAGGCCGTATATAACGCCAGGAGTTCCGGAGACGTAAGTGGAAGGCGCTCTGGATCAGGTGTCGCGAACGGCACCAGCTTCACCCCGCCGGAAAGTAGTATGTCTTCTGCCAGGTCGTATCCTTGCACCATCGTGTCACATCTATCCTTGCTCGGGCCTGTTGTTGCTCTGCATGCAAGTACTATTTGCTCAGCTGAGCTCCTAAGTTGAGGCCACGAGAAAATATGCTCTGAGCCTTCTACTGTCGAAATAGGCGCACCACATACGAGTCCTTCACGGCACTGATGATGCACTCGCGGTAGTAGTACAAATACAGCAGGACCTCCTAGAAATACACAAAAAAGGACAGAAAAAAATATGAATAATCTAGCAGCGTTTCCACCAGCAGCTTGACCCGGGGGGGGGAAAGGTTATGACGGCCCGATCGCGTCGATGTCGGCGGGCACCTTGCCCTTGCCCTTGCCCTTGCCCTTGCCCTTGCCCGTCTGGGACTGGAGCAAGAGCGGGGGCGGCCGCGGGCGCTCGAATATCTGCGAGTCGGTCGACTCGCGAGGGGCCATCGGGCGCGGGCCACTGATCACCGGCTTCGGGCGAGGGTTCGACGGCAGGCCGGGCCCGGCGGGTTTACCGGAGCGCGCGGCGAACATGCCCCCGCGACGGACGTTGAACGGCAGCGGGCTGCTCCGTGCCTGCGAGGAGGCGTCAGACGTCTGCGGCTGGCGGTTAGCCCGGGCCTTCGCCGGGCGCGATGAGGGGGACGTGGGCGAGAATTGCGAATGGAGAGGGGAAGGTCCTGCGGTTTGGTTTTGGGTCGGGGTGGTGATGTAGACGGAGCGCGCGGGGCGCGCGGAGGTGCGGGCGGCGGTGGCGAGGATGACGGAGCCTGCTGCGGACGAGGACGAGGAGTCGTTCTTAAAGTGGTTCGGAGCTGTCAGGTCTGGTGATATTGCCACCCGTTAGTCCACGTCGTCGGGGAGACCCAAGAATAGCGTTAGAATACTTACTGCCGATGAACGACGTGACGTCGTACTGGGTGCCCTGCGAGTCGAACTTGGGGCTTCGGCTCGTGGGCGGACCCCCCTCGCCGTCCAAGCTGTCCCGGTACTCCAGCGGCATATCCGACAACTGGCGCTTGTGCTCCGCGTCCACTATGGGCATCCGGGGAAGCGGCAGAGGCTCGTCGGAAGCGATGCTCGGGATGAACCGCCTCGCCGTCACCTCGCCCGACTCGGGCTCCGTCTCCTCGACCTCCTCCACGTCTTTCTCCCGCGACTTCCTCTCCCACGGCGGCTCCGGGAAATTGCTGAGCGAGAACGTGCTCGGGACCTCGGACTCGACCTTGGAGCGCGACGAGCTCCCGCCCTCGCCCGACCCGCCCTCGCCCGACCCCTCCACGCCCTCGCTGATCCCGCCAAGCTCGCGCGTGTGCCTGTCGAACAGCCGCAGCTGCGCGATGCTCCGGTCGAGCTCCTCCTGGTGGCGGAACAGGCTGTCCATCCCCGCCGACGAGCGCGGGGAGTACACGCTCTCGCTGAGCGCCGTCGTCGGCCGCGCCGTTGTGCGCAGGAGCGGCAGCGGGCCGTTCATGCCGTATATCGGCGTCGGGGAGTCGGTGGACGCGCGCGCGCCCGCGGCACCGGCGCCGGTGTCGAGGCGTGGCGGCGCGAGCATGTCCGGCATCGCGGTAGCCGAGGCTGAGTCGCGGCGACCGCTCGCCGTCGTGGCTGCCATGGACGTCGTCGTCGTCGGCGCGGGCGACGGGGAGATGTTGAGGAAGTCGTCCCGCACCAGCGCGGCGGACGCGCGGCGCGAGGGCCCCATGTCCGGGTCGAGCTCGTCCGATTCGACGAGCGAGGTGCGGTTCGCGGGCGGCGCGACGAACGGCTGCGCGGTCGCGAGGTCGCCCATCTCTGGAGGGCTGTCGTACAGGACGGAGGTGTAGACCGGGTCGCGCCACTGCGCGCTCTCCTTCGGCTCGGTCGGGCTCCCATAGGACGACCGCCGCTCCGCGATGGGCGAGACGCCTTTCTCCGCGTCGTCGTCGGTGCCGGGGTAGCGTAGGCGCTCGCGGTCGTCCTGGTCCTGGTCGTCGGCGGAGCGGAAGCGGGTGGTGACCTTCATGCTGTTGAGCGCCATCCAGGCGGATATGCGCGACGCGGAGGAGGCGCGCGAGAGCAGCGACGGCCGGGAAGGGCGCGGATCCGACTGCGACATGGAGTGCATCTGCGTGCTCATATCGGTGTCCGGCTGCGCTGGGTCATGCACGACGGTGGCGAGGCTGGGAGTGGAGACGTTCGGAGGTGAGAGTTTGAAGGTCGATCCGCGTTGGATGGAGACGGGGAGGCCCTTGAACGAAGGGGAGTCCGGACGTTCGGAGCCGTCAGATTTGCGTTCGCCGTAGAAGGTGACGATCATTATGTAGAGGATCAGGATATAGAGTTCTATGGCCTGCAGAAACCGTCCCAATACGGTCTCCGAGAACGCGACTGTGAACATGGTCAGCGTCCAGTCACGACGGCCAAAGTGGAGTTCTCACAATAAACGACGTTCCCGATGGCGATGGCCAGGCTGAACGAGAGGGCAAGGATGACAGCCGCGTAGCGCCTCAGCGTTCTCCACCGCGGCTTGACGGGCGATATCGATACGTTGAGCAGCAGCTTCGCGATGAACAGCGCGGACGCGACGATCTCCACCGCCGACTCGGTGTCGTACAGCGGGCCGAACTCGGAGAATGCGCTGTCCACCCTCCACACCACCTGCATGATCGGGATGGCGTTCGCGAGCAGGAGCAGACTCCACTTCATGGCTTGCCCGACGAGCCCCCAACGCTCCCACGACCCGCTGTGCAGTCCCTCCTCGTCGGGCTGCTCCTCCTTCGACGGGCACTCGGCGACGAACGTCCAAAAGAAGAGAAAACGGAGGCCGATGGAGATGGCGAAGCCGAACTCGCGGACGATGATGAGCGGCTTGACGGACGCCATGTCCGTGCCGAGGTCAGTGTTGACGACGCCGCGAGCGAGGATCTGGCCGAGGTCGAGCACGCCGGCGACAAAAGCGATCAGTGCCGACGAGAGGAGGTAGACGGAAGGTCTTTCGAGATGTCAGAATGTGGCTTGGACTCAGGAGGAGGAAGAGCAACTCGCATTGTAAGCCGTCTTAGTACCAGGAAGAAGGTCAGGACGCCGAACGCGAGAAGTCCCACCGAGAAGAAAGGGATTTCAGCGAGGATAGATTCGACCTGGCCGATAGAAGGATCAGCAAAGACCGTATCGTCGTGAGGACAGGGCAGGTGAACGACGCGCACCGATACATCGTTGCTGAGACTGAATATCGACGGTATAGTATACAACTGCGCGGTACCCTCGTACACGCGCATTTCAAAGGTTTTATAAAACAGCAAAGCCTCAAGCCTCAAGCAGGGCGAGCGAGATTAAGACAGTCGGACTCCTGCGACTTGGCGGAACAGAAAGCGTTGAAGCAGAAGAGACCAGCTGAGGCTGAGACGATGGATTGGTTGGCTACGTTGCGCACGGCCCTGAGGCGTGGCTGGCGAGCCCACAAAGATCGGATCCCAGGTCAGAACGAGAGCAGCAATCGGTAAGGAACGTCGAAAGCGAGGAGCGCGAGTGCCCCTGCGCGCGTCAAGTACGCGAAACGAGTAGAACGCCGGAAGTAAAAACAGGAATATAATGGAAGAATGAGGAGGTTCGAGGGGGATAAACAGACGCAAGAGGGGTCATGCCTTTGCCGGGCTCTCCGCTCTGTCCGCGCGCCATGGCAACCTCAGCATCCGCGACGAAGGTTCCGATGAGACACCGCGGTTCCTTGGTCTGTCTCCGCCCATTGGTCGCGACCGCGGGCCGCACCTCCGCGCCCGAGGTGGCTGTGCCCACTACCGGAAAAGGCAGGTTGCCGATGGGAGAGTGTTCCCCAGTGTCTGATCATCACACGGCGTATCACCGTTTCAGACCCGAAGGACTGCACATAAACTGACGATATCTATGGGCAAGCTTTGCTACAGAAGAGAAGTGCATGACCCTATCAGGGCACCGTGCATCAGCACCAACAATGCACCCCGCATCCAAAAGATCTCTACAGCTTGGCCAGCGTCGGTTCCCAGGTAACGCGCTCGACCTAAAGGGCGTATGCGCCGATGATCAAGATGGGAGGTATCATAGACAGCGAGGCTCACCATCTCCGGGACCAGTTCGCTGACGTTCCTCGCGCCGATAAGGCGCATGCCGGTTACGATCTCTCGTTCGAGGATCCGGATGATTTTAATGACCCCTGGCGCACCGTAGGCCTATGTCATACGTCCTCATTCAGGCGCAGTCCGGCGATAACGACGAGAATCTAGAGAACCACGCACGCTCTGGGCATACAAGAAGGGCCGACCGAGGCCTACAGCTTTCGCACCCAAACACAGCGCCTTCAGCACGTCTGTATGCGAGATATTATTAACATCCAGCGCCGTGTCGCTAGCAACAGAACCGGAACGCACCGGTCCCGCGCCGAACGCCGCCGTCAAGGTAGACTGCGGATTCAATTGTCGACATATCAGCATCATCATCATCTCTCTGTCAGTCAAGAGTCCGAGGAGACGGCGCAAACCTTCGAGCTTGTCAAACACGTCCGGCCTCTGCTGGCGGAGCTGGTACAGGACTTCGATGGACGGGAGCGCGCTGTAAAAAAAAAGGAAGCGACAGTCAGGAAAGGGGTGGCGCCAGAGTGCTCGGCTATACCGGCGAAGGAAAGGCAACGCACTACTCCAACTGCCGTCCGCCGTGGTTCGAGATGAGGATCCCGTCGCAGCCGGCTTCAGCCGCGAGGACTGCGTCCTACCAATACCCAGGTTTCGCGTCAGACCGGACTCGGAGGCGATCGAGATTTGTATACGCACAGCTACACATTGAATCCCTGTACATTCGAACGTTCAGTATACACGCGAGCGGTACGAAGATGCGCGCGAACCTTTGATCACGATGGGCAGCTTCGTCACACTTCTCAACCACGGGATGGTCTGAGCGTATCACGAAAGTCAGATAGCATCTCTAAAAGAATAAAAGATCTTTCAGGCGCACCTCCTCCCACGTCATGTCCATATCGTCGTTCGCGATGAGCATCCCCGCAGTACCGGCGATATTCCCTACCTGCACTTCCTCCAGCACGTCGGAGTCCTCGGGCGCACGCGGCATCTCGCCCGCCGTCTTCGTCTCGGCCTGGTCCGAGCTGGCGGCTTCCCGCTCCTGATCCTCCAGCACGAACGGAGCCGCGATGTCTCTCTGCGGGAGCCGACGTCAATGCCTGTGGGACGGAGAACGGAGAGCGCATAGCGCGCACCTCCCGGTTACCCGCGCAGATCGCGTCCACCGTCAAGAAGATCGCCTTATACCCCAGCCTCTCCACGTTGCGGATCCGCTCGAGCGCCTTCGCGTGGTCCCGGTGCTTGTACAGCTGGAACCACAGGACCTGGCTATCGTCCTTCCTCGCCTCCGCGATCTGCGCCGGGCTGAGCGACGCGTTGGACGAGACCATCTGGATGAGCCCGGTGTACCCGCAGCCGCGGGTGATGTTCGCCTCGCCGGCGGGGTGCCCGAGCTTGGCGAGCGCCGCGCCGGAGACGAAGACGGGCAACGTCGAGCGTGTACCGAGCAGCGTCGTGGACGGGTCGATGTGCGCGAGGCGGCGCATGACGCGCGGCTGGAAGAAGAAGCGGGAGAAGGCGGAGAGGTTGTTCGCGTGGGCTGCGGAACAGACATGCCGTCAGCCTTATCGTTAACGGGGGAGGGGGGGGTTGAGAGGGTGGAAGGGACGCACAGATCTCGTCGTCCGCGGCGGACGAGTAGTACGCGTACGCCTTGTAGCTCAGCACGCTCCGCGCGACGTCCTCCATCTGGCGCAGACTGAGGATCCGGCTCAGCGGGGGTTTCGAGCGCTGGGCAGCCTCGATACGGAGCTCATCCTTCGTCTTTTGCTGCGCGCGTTCCTTCTGCTGCGCCTCGAGCGTGCTCGCGGCCTCGGTGGAGACGGGCCCGAGGTGCTTCGAGGCGGGCAGCTGCGAGAGCGCGTCGGGTGGGTGGATAGGCTCGTAGGCCGCGGTGGCGTCTTTGCCGGCGTATTTGAGAATGACCGCGGCGCCGCCTGGATGTTCCTGATATGCGAAGAGGACGGGTGAGCGGGACTGATAGGGTGGCGGCGAGGAGGACGAACGGCGAGGAACTCGGTCACATCGTACACCTCGTTCTTGATGACGACCCAGCACGATCTGAGGAGGAGCCTCGGTCAGATGTTGGTTGCTCGTTCTCCGCTGTGCCCACTCACGATCGGCTGTTGTGCTCCGCGACCTGTTGCAGCGTCCAAGGCGCCATATCCGAGCGATGCTAGGGGATGACGAGCGGCGTATAGAGACGCAGATAGTACGGCTGAATGGGCGGGTCCTCGCGGCTTCCCACTCTGTTGAAATGGTAAGAAGTCGGCATGGGATCTGCAAGATCCTGCGTAAGTATAATGCGTGCTGGTAGCGGCCAGGCGGTCCGGCTGAGGGGCCTCGAGGTTGAGCCAACGCATCACGATATCGGTCCGCGGGGCCGAAACCTATGAGCCAGCCAATAGTATGGCAGACATTGGTACTTGCTACTACATGTAGAGGAGCAGCAACAGGGAGGGAGTAAGGGTGTACATGAGGGTGCGAGGATATCGGTTGTAAGAAAACCTAATACAAGACATAATCTTCCTTGATCGGAAACGAGGCAATAATTGTGAAATCGATTTCTCGCAGTCGAGAGGCAACTCAATCAGATTTCCGTGCGGGGATACGAACAACGTGGGGGACACCCAAAGTGTAGTCTAGCCCGTAGCGGTTATGGTCGTCCTTGACGCAAAGCATCGTATCTGGAAAAAGGTATTTCAGGTGAGGTTTTAATTTGCACGACCACCATAGCGCTACACCCACAGGTCACGCCTTCCATCATGAGATACGTTCCTGCCGCCTGTTCAAACGAGTCACGCCTCCACATCTCGCGACTAGGGTTTGATTGTACACACCGTGAGCGCATGCCACCACGCATGCCCTTCGAGCAGGAACGCGTTGGGCCAACCCAATGCATGCTTCCAGACGGTGATTCTTGCACAGAATTCGTTATCGATGTTCCAGATTCCAAACGCGAATATGAACAGGAGACCGCCGGTCCAGAAGATCGACAAGATGCGCTGCTTCGTCTGTGGTGGGATGACGGACGGAGCAGAGTGCCGCAGCAGCTGGGTACAGCGGAATCCGATGAACAACATTGTAAACGCGAACACCGATTGGAAGTAGGGCGGACTCCGATAAACTAGGCTATTAACACAACGTTTAGTATAGATCAGCCCCTCCGCGAGGCGCAAGAGACACCTACTAGGACGCCGTGAACGCAACGTTGATGACAGCGATGGCGATGGCCAGCCAGCTGTGAATGTTCGCAAAGCCCTTTCCAGTATCAAGGAGAAGGAAGATGCTATAGCTCGAAGACAGGAGCATCGGCAATTCGTCGGCCAGCTGCGCCTCATAGAGCAGAGTCGCGTGGAACGCGAACGAACCAATACCCACGATTGCGAGGAACTATGCACAAGGAGTACAAGTTGTAAGTGTCGCGCATATATGCCGCGCGGAATCGTGGCAACGTACAACGAACTGCAGGGCGTAGCGCAACGGCAGGCCATTCTGGCGCACCTTGTGCGCGCCCCATGCGGCGAAGAGTACGGTGACCCCATTGCTCAGCGAGTTCGCGAGCTCAGCGAGGTAGTGAGAAAACTGGTAGTTTTGCTACGTGTAACACCCGACCCTGCCCGTTCCAGGTTCAGTCTCGTGGGCTCGTTCGGAATAGACTGACCTCACACCAGTCGATAGTGGAAGTCGCGGGGCCCCAATATCCCGACATCTACGGTTATGTATCCTCTCCAGTAGGCTTGCTGACTAGACAATGCGGATGAAAGGCGAGCTAGCGAGGGCGCATACAGCGCGGGGAATAGATGGCCCACAAGCCTTGGCGCCAAACTGCGCTTGCCAATATGTATGTAATCCGATATTCACGGGGTCCGGGATGCCCGGTGAACACGTTTCGGCGATCGGCCGCTGACTCCGGTAGGCCAAGTTTCAACTCCTTGCCTGTGGATCCTTGTTGAATCCTGTTACCACCTACAGATACACTCTATTACGCTCAACATGGCACCTGGAGCTGCTGCTTAAAGACCTGATGCTTGATGTAATCTGCGTTACTCAGGGCTTCTCTCACGGAAGCTTGTCGTTTCCATTAAACCACGACACGCTCATTGTCACCATGCCTAATAGAGCCCAAGCAACGGTCCCGCTTTACCACATACAAATGATTGGCGCCCGTAGAATTTCCTTTCTCGCTGTCATATAAGAAACAACGGGTTCACCTCGCACGGCGCCGGCTTTCCTGCAAACGCGATGTCACTTCCACTGGTGTCGGACGCTCAGCACATGGAACTGAACACGCTGGCCCCCGCCCCGAGGGCCAGCAAAATCAGTCTCCGTTCCGATCTGGTAGACGACATGGAGAGTGATCAGGCTGACAGGTTGATATAAAAAATCAAAGTTGCGGTAAACCTATGTGCCTCCTCCATCTCCAGGTTCGGAATAACGCGTATGTCCACAGGAGAAGTGGCTCAAGTCGGAGCTCGAAACTCTGGTGTGTTGTCAGGGTCCTTGCTACTGAGTAATACTAACACGAGGTTTACAGAACGATGCAAGGGATATATATGCCAACGTCAAGAAACAACAAGTTCTCAAACGCCAGGTATCTCCTCGTCTATATATTCATTGACATGTAACTGGATCAAAGCTGTTCTCTCGCAGCTTGAAGTGTATGAAACAGAGAGGTTTTCGCTACAACTCAAACATCTTGCGCGCGAGACGCGATTCAGCTTTTCACCCGAAGCCATAGAGGTACTCACATTGCTATCCAACCGTGCTTCTCCCGGTACTAATCCTCATAATCGGTATCTCCAGAGTATCTTGGAGGTCTGCACGGACGTGGGGAACACCACGGCCGTCGTTGCCGCATTCTGCGCATCAATATCGGTTTCTATCCTCTTCGGTGCCGTCCGCGGAAACCTTTTCTACTTCTTCGCGTCCTGGTGGTGTGCAATAATCGCGCTCACGTCGGGCTTGGGTTTATCCGTCTTGAGCGCGCGTCGCCATAAGGTTTCGAAGAAGGCAACCAAAGCGGATTGGTGGCGCGTCCATCTGGGCGGTTTCATCGTCGGTCTGTGTCTCCTCGCGGCTGTAGGGAGCATCGTCTGCATGTGCTACGGGGCGATGACTCTTGATGTTTCGTGCGTTGTTGTATGCGCCCGCTGTCACGGCTACCGAACTGACCAAGAACATATTTAGCGCGGAGTTGGCGCCAACGTTCTCTCAGCCAGCGATCAAGGACGGACCATCCATCCCGTCCGGCGTACCGATTGCATCTCTCATCGTCGCGAGTATCATCATCTTCATCATCTGTGGAGGCGCGTTCTTTGCGATATTCGCGGGTCCGTTCAGATTCTCCACTAGGAAACATTGGGAGAAAGAACTGCTACGAAGCTTGGAAGCAAGTTGACGCTATCGCACCCGAGGATTCCCCTGGGTGGTGGAAGCAAAACAATCTTTCATACGTGTTAGCTAAAGAACTATCGATGTGTGACTTGCATGCCGTGAATCTATTCTACTAGCCCGATTATCCCCCGTTGAATTTGCATGATTCAATCGACCGCGACATCAATTATTCATCAATGACTTGAAATCTCGTTGAGTGGGTGTGTGTAATGGAAGTCAGGAACAGACGACCATGGTGTATGACTGAAAACCATCGCTAATATTCTTAATATCAGTGTGATGAAGTCGTACATAGAGCCTAACGAATGCGAGGACTGGGTCTTGTTTATTGACTTATTCGCCGCGCCTATCAAAAAAGCGATGAATTAAGGTCTGCCTGTGGGAGACTAGTTCGGACTGGAAAATGACGTCAGAACGGTCAGACCGAGAATGCGCCGCGGCACCGCTCATCGTGTTCACGCACTTCGCTGTAGCTTCGACCCCTAGCAGCTCAGCTTTTCATACACTCTCCCTTGGCTTATCGTCATGTCATCCTTTCCCGACTATTATACCTTGCTGAATGTCCCAAGAACGGCAACCACAGACGAGATACGACAGGCGAGTTATTTATCAGCTCCGCAGTTATCCGCAGGTTCACTAATATTTGGCGTCATCAGGCATACAAGAGAGAATCACTCAAGTAGGGACAAACCAGTGAATCCAACACTGCGCCATTTTTATGACTTTGCAACGACAGGACCCATCCAGATCGTCTGACGAGGGCGTCGCCTGCTGAAAAGCAGGCTGCTACGGAGAAGTTCCAAGCAGGCAAGTCTGCCGGTCCTGCTCTACGGCCCTTGTCTCATTATCATGCGACGCTGCTGCCCCTTACATGAACAGTGCGTCTATAAATGCTCGCGTCTCCCTCCATATGAGCTCAATGGTCACAGGTCGCGGACGCGTATTACGTACTCTCGGACTCCCAAAGACGAAAGGAGTACGACCACCTCTACGGCGCACGAGCAGAGTCAGAGAAGACGGCTGAGGACCCCGGAGCATCCGCAAATTTCTTCTCAACGTTCGCCAACATGTTCGCAGGGGCAGGGGCAGGGCCGACCCCCCAGCCAGATGCAAATGCTGCCGGTCAACGCCCCGATGCTAACGGCGTCTTCACGGATGTCTTCGAAGAGGTATGCATGCTCTCAGGTGTTGCATCCCAACGTTCTTTTATACAATGGAATGGCAGTTGTTACGTCCGGAGGTTGAACGGCATGCGAACTGGTGGTCTTATCTTGGCGCTGCAAGCGGGGCCGGCATAGGATTCATTATAGCCAACATTCCCGGACTCATGGTTGGCGCTTACGGCGGGAAGAAGCTCGGCCAAATACGCGACGCGAAGGGCAAAGCCGTTGGTGCCGTGTTTATGGAGCTGGGTAATGACCAGAAGGCCGAGGTACCGTAAACCTATGCATCGACCCGTTGGTGGATGGCTGAGACTCCTTTCCAGATTCTGCGTGCGCTGGCAATGAAGGTGCTCGGAACTGCCATGGCGTAGTACAATATACGAGGCCCCAATGCTACTCATACCCATCGCTGCTTATTTCTAGTATCTGCGGATTGTACGGATATGTATAAGTACAATATAATATATCTTTGAATACGAGCAAAACGCTAGATTCAACCTAAAAAATGGGACGGAAGGGCAGTAGAGACCAGATTACATGTTTTACACCCCATATCAGGGAGGGACTTGAGAAACTGGAAACATATCGATGATTTGATGCATTTTTGCACAGGATGACTTGATGCTTCATGGTTGAATGCGGCTTTAATGCCAGAGCTCACCGGCGTCTCCTTCGGCAGTGTCGCGCTGTGAGCTTACGCTCTGCAGAGGGGTATAGTCGTTAAGGCCGCCCGCGCCACTGGCCAACGCCAGCGTGATCGCAGCCAGCGCCTTGTCAGCGCGCGACGCCGTCGGACCGGGGGATGCGATACTGGGCGGCAAGATGCCGTCCGGCGACCCTCCGCGATGTGTTTTGTTTTGAGTTGCCGGATTGGGGTGCGGAGGAGCGATGGACGGTGGCAGGGAAAGCGCGGAGATGGATGGATCCAGCGTGTCGTCTGATGGGAGGCGTACGGCTGGGGTGAGCACCGCCGAGGACGCGGGCGAGGTAGATAACGAGCCCGGAGAAGCGCGGGGGTCGTATGAGACAGCTGTATGCGCCGCACCGACATCAGGTGGGTCGAGTTCCATTGCATCCGGCGAGCTTTCGTGCGCATTGGACGATGCGGATGTTGGATCGCTGACGAGACTGGTATCTCCAATGAACACCACATCTTCGTCATCACCCCCTTCGTCTTCCTCGCCAGCCGCGTCTTGCGTGCGTCTAGTCTCCGACCTTGAGCGTCGTTGCTCGCGCAGCTCCTTCGCGTACGCGTACGGCCCGGGTCTGCTCCTGGTCCCTTCCATCTCTCGCATACGTTTGACCAGACCCTCCTCGCTGTCAATGACAGCTTTGTGAAGCTCGTCGAATGCCTCACATCGCATCCGTAGCAGATCGAATTCCGTGAGACTCGAGATCCCAGCGTCGTTGGTGAGATGGGGATTTGCCGAAGGGCAATGGGACGCGGACATCCTTTGCAGGTTGAAATCCGCAGATCGGAACGGAAGCGGGGTACGCGTGGATGAAGAAGTGAAGGACTGTCTCCTCCGGTGCAGCGGGGGACGAGGCATCTGCGATTGCAGTCAGCTGTGCTGTCCTACTCAAGCAATCGAAGTGTACACCCACTTCGAGAGATATTTTTCTTGACTTCATTCTTCTTGTGTGGTCCATGTCTTCCCTACCGTTCGACCTTTTCGCCACATGGGCGACTTTGCCGAGTCGGCGCGGAGGATCTCTGGGGTCGTCGAACGCGTACGTCCACGACGCAATCTCGTTTTCGGAAAACATGTCCGGATTGGCCGATCGTGAACGGCGGCGGTGGGACGGAGAGAGTAGCATCATGCGTCGGGTACGGTGGTTGGATTATATGCGGTTAGAGCAGGGAACGGAGGCTGAGAAGGACTAGTGACTCTTCTCTGAAAGGCATGCGCGGCGCGCCAGATCTCCATGAGGTCAGTCATGAAGGTGTAAGCGCGGGAAAAATGGCTCATTTCGCCGGCCACGTTCGGAATATAACGCCTTCTTCGTTGGCTATTAGTGGCATTGTATTCGTGGTTGGCGACAACAATACACCGATGCGGTACATAACAGGTAGACAGACAATCGACAACCCTGGGGAACATGTGAGCTCTCGTGTTTCGGCTGAGCTGCTGCGACGCCGCGACGATGGAATTTCATGCGAACAATACCGACAGATAGAATGTGTTCATTCATCCTAATCGCCTCGGACAAGCAGAAGACGGGAGCCTGGCTCTGGATGGCAGACGATCATGCGCCTGGAGGAATTGGGTTTGTGCATGCTCGCGATGCATTGAGGAATATATGACGTACCAGCGGGATCGCTCACTCGCCGAATTATGGCTGTCTGGCGGCAATGGCTGTTCCTTAAGCAGGGCTTGCACCTGGTACAATATAGATGACCAAACGTCCCGGTGGTATCGCATATAACTCTCACCCAACGGAGGAGCCGACCTCCACAGTCCTGCAAGCGGCTTTTCACGCAGCGGTGGAAGAAATCATCCTCCGCGTTTGTTTCGCTGATGCGTTCCAACCGAAGACATAACGTCATTGTCCACGGAGAAGACAAGAGGTACCTGACTGGAACGAGGGTGAGCCAACCGAAACGCGAGCATGGAACTGCAGCATTACCTGCGCTCGGAGCAGTCCATCGAAGCAACTCGGAGAGAGCAATGCAGACGGATGGACAAATCAGCAGTGCTAGAGCCATATCTTCACAGAAAAAGTGTTGCGTGAGTACGAGGAGCAAGATGTCCCGGAGATAGTCCCAGGCTTCGATGGCAGTCAGAGCTGTACATGTCTTTAATCTGGCGGTCGCTATCACGTAGTTCGCCAAGCCACCTACGAAAGGAAAGTTAGAGGTTATCAGAGGGACGGGAGAACAATGAAATGCTCTCACAAGCAAGCATAAGGTTTTCCTCCTGATGTCGTATAACAAGCAACCAAATGGCCTCGTCATCCCAAAGCACGTTCACCTCGCCACCGTCATCCATCGAATCAGAACGTCGCATATCCTCCAGCATCGTCAAGGCATTCAACATCGGCGTCCCAAGGCGTCCAAGCAATTCGCAAGAGCGTTCAGCAGTCAAAAGATCCATGACTGAAGCCAGGAAAGTGGAGATAGTCCGACGATTGAAACACCTCCGACAGCGACCATTCCAGAGAATGGTGACGAGGTTGAGGATATGTGAGCAGTCATCCAAGTCGGCTTCGGTTTCTCCCCTGGGGACCTTGAAGCACGAGCTACACGCCACGTTGATAATTTGTACTTCATACATCTCGGAAATATGGCTCACTTGTGTATATGCGAGAGTACTGTGACGGCGGCCACCACAGACACACCAATCAGATGCGCTTGACGAGTAAGAAGATGGCATACCTTGGTCCAGACGCAGCCTGAACGAGAATCTATCGTCTGATAGTGCTGAGTCAATCGCCACACTGACAGTCGCAGGAGCAACGAATCCCAGTGCGTCGATAATTTGATTGCGGACTTCAAGCCAGACGTCATTGAGAGTCTCCCGAAGACCATATATGAAGCAACGTACCGAGTCTGTCGGGTACCAACGCCAACAGGCTGCAGAGGAGGTTCGCAAGCTCTGTTTCTTGCGATTTCCCGATTGACGATTGTGTCTCTAGACTTTCGAAGATCCGCGCGCCCATCCGGCATGCACGGTAGAGGACTTTATGGATTGATTTCAAGTCATCAGATGATTCTGATTTGTCTTGAGCACCAAACACCGATACGGCGCGGCGCAGGAGATGCTATATCACAGCGCCCAACAGCCCGGTTAGCAGAGCAAACGCAGGAGTATCGTCAAAGTGTACTCACAATCAGGGCATGAACGGCCGATGAGGGGTCCAGTGCCAGAGCTTTCGCAATGGTCGCGAAGTCGGGAGGAGCGGGTTCTGCTTCTTCGCTATCGCAATGGTAAAGCCACGTGCTGGTCTAGATGATAATTGAGGAGATGCAGGATTTCGTTCTCCACTACATACAATGTGCACGATGCAGCTTGCCCCGAGAAGCCGGCCGTCGTTCCATTGGCGCCACAGCCATGGTACAACCAGTTCGTGGAAGATAAGTGCAGCCTGTTCCAGCTGAAGGTCCTTCGCTGGTGATAGGAGATCCACATCCGAAGCTGCTCCATCCACCGCAAATACATCGGCGAGGAGCGTGAGTACAGCCGATAGTTTGGTAGGTTGAAACGGCGCTGAGTTCTCTTCGCCCTGTACGGATACGTTCTATATCAAGAAGTTTAGTGCAAGCGCATAAACTGGAGACTACGAGATGCGTACCGCGAGCAGCGCAATAAGCATTGCCGTATGCGCCTTGTTGAACCCGAGAGGATGGTATGATGCTTGTAACTCCGATAGCTTGGGAGCATAATGGAGCAGGACTTGTTCTACTTCTGCCCTTGACCTGCTTCAAACGTCATCATATGAAACTATAATACAGACCCTTGATGGCTTACATTTGATCATACAGTTCATAACTGTTACCCAGTCGCGGTCCTAGAACAAATGCGCCATACGAAAGAGCGAGCGCTATTCTACATGCTGCAGGAGACGCGCTCTCTGAAGACAGACAGAACGGCACGGAGGCCCATTCGCCTGAAAAAAGCATGCAATCAGCATCGAGATCGCAACAGAACACAACATACGTGGAAGCTGGGTTGCAGCACGGAACATGCCGTCGTTTCTACGCTGATCCAGGCCGGAGAAGGTCACGGTCTGTCCATTCCTATGGAATATCAGGTTTGTGATCAAGTTGGCCAATTTGACTAATACGACGTCAACCCAAGATACGACAGCGGAGGCACGATGAACGTTTGTTTTTGAAGCAGCAATTTTCTGGAATGCAATTCTGTATTCAAATAGAAGGTGGAGGGTTGGAGGTGCTACTGAGGGGATCGGAATGAATTGTGAGAGTCGGTATGCATATATGCGGCCACTATTGCTCACGTAGCTGGCGCAGATCGGTCACGAAGGACCTTGTATCATCGGGAGTGCATGGATTCGCTATGATGGTGAACATTCTGTCTAATGAGATGAGCAATGCATTCGCTACATCTTCAAGTCTGGATTCGTGGGCTGGGAAATCCTGAAACTAATGTGAGAACTCGCGAGATTGCCACGGTAGGAGACTCGCCGTGTGTACAGAGCGAACGTCCATTTCTGCAAGCATTTGGATTGCGTCCGGCACCGCTGTCAGCGTTTTTCCTGACGCAACGCCAGCATAAGTGATAGGTGACCCAAATTCCGCGTCGGATCTCTGCGAAGAGTCGAAAAGACTGTTGTGTATGTCGGAGTCCGACTCCGGTTCCGTATCGCTTCCAGACATATACGATACGATTCAAATGTAGTGGAAGTGACGCGATGTAGGCAGGGTATATGCGCTATAGTGCTCGAGGCCATGCTAGAAGTAAGCACGTGCCTCACACTAAAAATAAATTTCCCCATATCTTGCGACCGAGTGCAAATGCCAAGTTATAATCCGCGTATGTCTTTGAGGAACGTTTCTAATCGAAATTTGGTTTCTAGTTTATCTTCATTACGGGAGAATATAGCATCGAACACCTCCGACGATTCGGTGGCCTACGGAGCATCAGCGACGAGCCCGACCACCGATATAACACGTACCTCCCCCGAGAAGAACTCCAAGTCCTCCCATGGCTCGTCCTCCTCTGCTCTCAAGGCCATCAGCATCTCTCGCCTACCAGCACTGAGGCCGCCCGATAGTGAGTTCAAATTGTTCTTGTCGTCCGCGGCTTTCCTTGCAGAAACCTGAATATCCTTAGCGTCCGCGGCAGGCTTCCGTTCCTTCTTCTCGACTGGTGGCAGGGGAGCTTCATCTGGATCGGGGGGAGGTCCATCGTCTGATTCATCATCCGAATCCGCACCACGTCGTCTGCTTTTACGGTTCATGACGTCTAGATAGGTAAGCGTTGGTCGCAGTTGATGCGTCTCCGACACCGGATGCAAGTGTAGTTTTCCTATATACACCATTCAGCTCAGCTCAGATAGATCACATATCAGTCAGAGGGGTATACCGTCTCGCACGACCCCCAGCATGTACACCCCTCGCTGCCCTATCTGCTCGCTCCTCATGCGCACCTCCGATAACCTCGGCTCACCAACTGCCCCACTCGTCTGCTGCTCCTGGTTCTTTTCGCGGTCATCTTCGACCCGAGCATGACCAAGTGCTTGCCCCTTTTCTGCGTTCCAAACTTCCTGGCGCGTGTCCACCGGGACATGCACCTCTAATCGTTTTACGCCTGGCTTTATTCTCGCTCGGATCCGCTTGCCGCTCGCCGCGGCTGATGGAGGCACTTGCAGCGGCCGTGTGAGCAGCGGATATTGATGTATTTGCACATTTGGCGCCAGGGAGTCCGAGTAATGAATAGGTAGCACGGTTACTACTGGATCTTCGTCGATGTCCATGGGGGAAACCCAGAAGGTGCATCAACTTTCGGTGTGGCTGTGTTCAGCCTACTCCTTTCAAGTTTCCGCCTTGGACCGGGTTTGGTGGCCGAACAGAAGATCTATTACAATCATTTCTGATATTCCGTCTGTCGAGTGCTCATCGGACGAATTCCCAAGGGTATTATCATATATATGAGACTTGGTGCGATATACAAAGCGAATACAAGTAATTGCGAACGAATATCGAAACTTCTCTTGCAGATGGTATACATTCGTGCAGCAGCTATGAGTCATCTCAGAGATTCCGAAGCAGTGCGGCTGGTAATAACGATTCTGAGGTTGCCACGGGTAGCGGCGGAAGAGGAGGCTCTGTCTCATCAAATTTGAGTGACTTCCCAAGGTGGAGATTGGGCACATCCTCGTATGGAGTAGCATCCATAGGAGAGCGCGTCTTCGCCAATTCAGGGTCGGTTCGCCAGGAAACGGTTGACAGAGTGCGAGTGCGAGTGCGAGTGAAATGTTCGTCCGATGCTCCCGGCGCGATGATGGTTTCCGCGAATCCTTGCTGATCCGCGTTCCTCCACGGACGACGACGGGGCGTAACGCTGGAGATCTCCGAAGTAATTGCAGACGCAGATGCCGTCGGTCGGTGCCGTTGTCTGAGGATGGGGCTCCAATCTTGCCGTTCACGGAGAGATGCCTCGCTTTCGCGACGACATAGGACTTGGTCAAAGCTGTAGAAAGCAAGGCAGGACATCACAACCCCTGTTCGAAGCATAAGAACAGTCTGACAGGGTCACTGGAAGGGATTTGGAAAGTCTTACAGTCCAAGGCAATCCACCCACTGATGCCCCACAGGTATTCGCCATATACACCAACGGTAGTGAGGATCGCGGTCGTGCACGACAGTGCGGATGCAAAGGCCGTATAATAGAGCTAGTACGTGTTAGGCTTCGGAGATAGAACATAGGTCCAATAGGTTACCTCATTGCGTAGGGCCTTCATGAATGCCGTCATCTTCGGTATCAACTTGCTATAGCGTGTCCCAACGGGCGATGCCGTAGACGAGCTTGATGCCGGAGAGCTGCGTTCCATTGCCTGCGGACTCGGATGCAATCCCGGAGTTTGCCGCAAGGGTTGGGAAAGCGGAATCTCGAGTTTGAGGGAAGGTTTCCGTGAGGGATTGAGAACATCCGCTGAGACGTGTTCACCGAAGCCATTTTGAGCCGGATCGTGGGGCGGGGAGGGAAGGCTCCCGTAGCCCGGGTCCTTAATCGGCATATAGTCCCACCAGCCCCTTCCCTGACCGATGGCCGGTGAAACGGCATCAAGACTTTTCTCACTGGGCTGACGCGTTGGGTAGAGAGATATCCGGCCTTGACCTGCAGGCAAGTGTGTGGATTTGCGAATAGCGAGCACGACTGATGAAGGAGTGTCAATATCTCGCCACGGGGCCTAATATGCACACACAGCAACAACTTATGAAGACCATCTCCATCGATTGCAGGCCGAAAATTGCAGGCAATATGCTCGTAGTTTGCCATAAGGCGCAGCTTCCTGTAGCATAATCTGTCAACTGCCGATGCCAATACGGTGGGGAGAACCATACCAGCCAAGTGCCTCCCGCCCTTGATGCGTGCCAATTGAAGAGTTCCTAAGCCAACCGTTCCGAGAAAGAATACAATCTCCGCCACAAGGACCGTTCGAGACCTATCCATACACCGGTACGCTTTGTACCCGTAGACCCCTTTCACCTGCATAATAATGCATCAGATGAGACCTTGGCAAATCAAGGTTATACTTGCCAACAGAACATGGGATATCATCATTGGAAGCAACACCCCAACCACAACCCTGATCAAAACACATTTATGAGTGAACGTGCGATGAAGACAATAGAACATACCATTTGCAATTGATATCTTCGTCAAAAAAGCCCACGAGTAGCATGGCGAATGACACCGGTGCCATGAGTTGGCTCAACAGCAAAGTGTAAAATAGTCCTTTCCTCTGAATGACGCGTGAGGCTCGTCGGATGTAGCCGATGGCTGTAAAAACATTGTTGACAAACAACATGGCGAGTACGCCCGCCACAAAGAGAGTGATAAAGCTCGAGCGAGCATCCCGAACAAGAGGTGGCGCTACGAGCGACCCATCGACAAGAGCTCGATATTGAGGACCAGCGAACGAAGAAATGGGCACATTCTTGTAGTAATCGGAGTAGTCGGATATGAGAACAGTGGTAGATAACTGAACCTCGACAACGTTGGGTGCGCTGGTCACAGTAACGAGAGGAAAAGCGGTATGAGAAAACGTTCTAGACGTCGGGTGTGTCGAATGAGCGAAAGTTGTCGTTGGTGGATCAAAGGAATGGCGCCTCCTGAGGCTACGTTGAACGGGATTCATCGGCGGGTCATACACTGAGGGCGGAAATGAGAGAGGCAGACACCCGACCCTCCATATGTCGATCATGGACTACCGTCATCGCAGCCGGCGTAGTCAGAACGGTTGCTACCACTCTCCTACACAATCCGTCAGAAGTCTAGAATGCGCACAAAGCCGATGGCAAGAGGAAGACAGCCTGGAGCGCATTGCATTGATCCGAACCTGTTCCAGTCGGAATCGTCGACTCTTCCAAAGATGGAAGTATCATGCCCGTAAATGTGCCCCAATGAATCACACGAAGGTTATAGCTTGATACTGAGCAAGGCAACCGAGAACGTTGCTATGAGCCAGAGAGGACACGCGTAATATAGGTGAGAGCGCAAGGATCGCCCGGACCGTCTGTGAGCGTAAGTGGTCGTCAAGTGTGGTGGTCATGAGATCGGCGTCGATTCCAATATTCTTCTTTCCCACGATTTCAGCCACGATCGTCTTTGCAATTTACCGTTGTACACAAGATTTACATACAATCGTTTTTCTCTGGAATGGCCTCTGACACTCCTGCAAGGACATCACCCACGATCATAATTACTGGCACTCCAGGCACCGGGAAAACAACTACCGCGCAGCTTCTGCTGGAAGAGTCGCCTATACCCCTTACGCACATCAACGTCGGCGATCTCGTTAAAGAGCGTGGACTGCACGAAGGATTCGACGACGAATGGGGAAGTTACACCGTTGACGAGGATAAGGTGCGTTCCCGCTGTTGCCGTTGTCAAGAGAATGCCATGACGGATGCAAACCTGAAGGGTGCTTTAGCTCCTGGATGAACTCGAGCCGATCGCGAGCCAAGGCGGCGTGATCCTCGATTGGCATACATGCGAACTTTTCCCTGAACGATGGGCTGACCTTGTCGTTGTACTTCGATGCAACCATACGCAGCTATGGGATCGCCTCGAAAAACGGTATGCCTTGCATTGCTTCTGACAAGATGCTCCGGGCTGATCTCGTCCATTGAGTAGTGGTTACCCATTGAAAAAAATACAAGAGAACAACGAGGCAGAGATTATGGAAGTCGTGGCCGAAGAAGCTCGGTCATCGTATCCGAAGGAGATCGTCGTGGAGCTGACGAGCGAAGGCACGGAGGATTTGGAGTCGAACGTATCTCGGATCGTGCAGTGGATCCAGGCATGGAGAGAAACCCACCAGTCCGCAGGCACAGAAAGCTAGGAACGGGATACTCCTCTGCTATATCGCCTTTACGACGTCGTTGTTGGTAACCCCTAGTACATCAGTACAGATTTGGGGTATCAATCAGTTTTCAAAAGAGGCTGGCGTCGGAAGACTACAGTGATGGGGTATCTCAGAACAAGATCATAAGCATAATTTAGCACTATATCAGCGTCCAAGTCGGCATAGCCCTATAATAATATCCAGCTCGCCGTCAAAAATGCTCCAAATACCCATGCCATCATCATCCTGCTGGCTGTTGGCATGGCTGCGCTCACAGGGAAGAACCCGGCCAACGATCCGCTAGCACTGGGCTGCATAATTGCGGTCGTAGTGGAAAGGGCGGTCATCCTAGTAAGACGACGTTAGCCAGATGTAATGCCGCGAATCTACACATTGCCGTACGTGGTCGTGAACGTGCTGGTGCCCCCAGGCGCAGTAGCGGTGACCGTCGAGGTCGATTCGGACACGAAAACGACTGTTACTGTTTCCTTAGAAGTCTCCGCTTGTGTGATTGTCACCGTTTGGCCGGAGAGCGTTGTTGTGACCACAGGTGGCAAGCCGGTCGTAAAGGGCCACGAAAGTCCGGAAGAGCCGAGGGTAAATGTGTACGACTCGCCAGAGCCGGTGCTGCCATTGGTCGGGGCACCCGTCCAGGGGTTGGTAGGCGGAGGTGAAGACACCTGAGGTTGGGGGGAAAGCGTGTTGAGAATCGAGAAGCAAGAGTCGTTGGATTGATGAGCGGATTGGATAGTTATCGGAATGGGTGTAATGGCAAAGAAGGGTGTACTGTTGAGATGGAGGCCTTCGTAGAAGGTGAGCTGTGCGGATCCAATTTGTCATTTAGCACACCTCGACCGGCGTTGACAAACTCACGTTGTAGTCCCCCGGAGTGATGCACCCTGGTACGTTGAAGTTAAGGTGCTGCGAAGGATATGTCAGTTGATCGCTTGCGGTAGCTCTGAATTCATGAGAAGGGGCGTCGAGCTCACCTTAACCGTGCTGCCAGGCTCCTGGGTCAGAAAACCGGTCCCATTAGACACTGTAGCGTTGATGTTGGTTTCGCTGGAGACGAGATATATCGACAGAGAGTCGAAGCGATCCGCGAGACCAGAGCCTGGAGTCGCGGCTACAGATGCGAGCTTGCCGTCCCCGGAGCCGGAGACGTCCACGGCTATGTTTATATCGCTCCCCACATGTTGAACACTGCGGGTTCAGTTCAGTTCCTGTCGTGGATGAGTGTATACGTGTATACGTGTATCTCGCACCTGTTTACAGCCGGCGCATCCACGATGGCCAATCCATTCGTAAAGATCTGGCCATTGACAACCTGCTGAGCAAGAGTTTCTTGCACCCAGAAGGCCCAGAACAATAAAAGAGCGGCGAGAAGGCGAGGCGCAGCAAGGGTAGACATAGCGTTGGTACAAGAAAGGTGACCAGCACCGGAGGCAATTTGCCCGTGAGGACCTGATGCCTCTTGAAACTCGAACTTGAGCCCGCTGTAATACAGCCGAGATGGGTGGACCAAGCAAGGTACAGGGAAGGGTCACCGCCACACCATATTGTGCATTACCTCCGTCCACTGTGACAACAGTTCCCGTGCGATCAAAACCGTACTGCCCGACCCCGCATACGCTCCTGGACGCACATGGCAGTAGAAACGACAGCGTTGCCATCATCCTCAGCAGTTCCGGCGGCCCCGACGAAACCGCTGTACGAGGCTAGCACGCAGTACAACCACTGGCGCTTCTCGCCCGAGCAGCTCGCGCATACAAGGGAGACCCTCAACGCCGCAGCCGTGGCAGCCATCAAAGACACATTCGAGGCTGATTCGGCATGTCGGACTCTGTTGACTGCATGTGATAGCGCTGTGTGAGCTTACGCGTCGCCATGGTCGTCAGCCGGGATCATCTGCGGATATCGCATTCTTAGCTGCGGGGGAGGAGCAGTTACTCGTGAAGCTGTACATCAGTAAGATACCCCAGCTATGCGGGCACTTTCGGTTTCCGGAGGAGGTGGAGGCTACGGCTGTCAGTTATCTGAAACGATTCTACCTGAAGAATACCGTCATGGACTGGCACCCGAAGAATGTGATGTGCGTGGGTTCAATAGTTGCACCGAAACATTCTCGGTCTGGAATGCTGACGTTCTCTGGTCAGGCTGACCGCATTGTTCCTGGCAACGAAAACGACAAATCATCCAATTAGCATCGAGGCTTTCACCACGGCCATCCCTCGGACAGCTCCTTCAGATGTCTTAGACCTGGAGTTTCTCGTGTCTCAGAGTCTGAACTTCGAGTTTGCCGTACACCATGCGCATCGCGCGCTCTGGGGCCTTTGGCTCGATGTACAGGTATGCACGGGTCAATGAAATCGAATGTCAATGTGCTGAATTACTGCAGTCTCTGCCTGACGTGCCGCAAGCCATCACAAGGGACACATACGAAGCCGCGTTAACTCATGCTCGAGCAGCGCGCCTCACGGACGCAGAGCTCATCTACACGCCTTCGCAAATCGCTCTGGCATGCCTACATTTGGTTGCGCCCGAGACGGCTGCCCAATGGGCGCGCTCGAAGGGTAGCGAAGCCGTGCTTGGGATACTCGGTGCCATCGGACAGATGATACGGCGTGATGGCACCGTCCCGCAAACGGATAATACGATGCGCGAGATCGATCGTCGACTGAAAATATGCAAGAACCCGGAGAAGGTCGTGGGGAGCAAAGCTTACATTGCGAAACAAGAGCGGGCTGCGAGGAAGGCGGAGGCGAAACGGGTGCGCAAAGCGCAGGCTATCCAGAAAGCCGTCGACGAGGGGGATCCGTTCGGGAATGAGCTGGCTGGCTCGCAAGCTGGTGTGGACCCGGACGACGACGACGATGATGATGACGAGTAGATGGCCTCCAATGTACATATAACGATGCGCAGAAATACGCAGCTGTTTTCCCTCGCGGGTTCGAGGAACTCGCGAAACGGCTGTCAAACCCCATCCGGTCTCATGCTCAGAGAACGTTGCACGTGCTCTCCGCCCACTTGCATCGCCGATTCGGCTTGCAAGCTGCGTACCCGGTCTCTCTGTTCCAACCCCACAGGCCTCCTTCAGAGACTTTCTTACTGCTCCCAAAAGCCGGCTGGTATTCCGGTCGACGGACACGCGCAGTCTAGGAATTTTCTCCGGTTTCTGGCTCGACGTGGAGGCGTGAAGCGACACACGGACCGGTCACCCGCCGCACACCATGGACCCCGACGACGACCGCGAAAGCTGGAGCGACGCCCGCGAGACGGTAGAGGCCGACGACCTCAGTCCTACCACCAACGAGACTCCAGAACCCGCTCACATGTCGGAAGACCGCGACGTCGACGCCGATCAGGAAGACGTGACGATAATGGGAGACAAAGTTGGACCGCATCAGCAGAAGGATGTCGAGCGGGTCCACACACCGCTCTCGGAGCTCACCGAGAGCCGTCGCCCCTCTGACGCCGCCAGCGTCCAGAGCGTTCCCGCCGTGCACGTCACGGAGCCTACGACACCTATCACCGAGTCCGCGTCGCCCACGTCGGTACCAGCGCAGGCGCCACCGCCGTCCCCGTCCCGGTCGCATGTTTCAGCAGCAACCCAAGACACTGATCGCGCCGCGCGTCGACGCTCCATTGTAGACGTGCGTACGACCGCTTTCTCGCGAGTCCTAGTTTACTCATTCTTGCTCGAACAGAGCCGTTCGTCCAACCGGTTCTCGGGGTTCCTATCAAACATAATGCATAGACGGGATGGGGTGACGAACCCGGCCTCTCGCAATCGCCCTCGACAATCCAGGACGGTTGAAGGCTCCACCTTGGACTCACGCGTGTCTGGATCACGCCCGACAACGCCGACAGCGATGCGCAGCACGACGCCCCCGCCAGCGTTACCGCCACCATCGTTGAAAGATCTTGGTCTCTCCCTTCGGAGCATCACATCTGATCTATCGCCAGCCCATTTCAGCACTCCTCCAACCAACGGTGCATTCTTGGCACCACATTATCTCCTACTATGCCATGCCCAAGGACTTGACGTCCTTCCATTGACGTACCCACCCACCCCTCAGCCATACGCTCTCATACGGCGTGTGAGCTTCAAGAGCGTGGTTGTGATGGAACATCGCGGGGTGCTAGTTGCTATCGCGGGGCGGAGAGACGGGGTGCGAGTATATGCGCTGGACGAGGTGAAGAAGGCGATTGAATGGCGTATGGACGTGGAGATACGTAGGGAGGCTGAGAGGAAACGCAGAGAAGAGGCCAAGAGGGCGACGTTGGTGGCCAGGAATGAGCAGCTGGCGGCTGAGAAGAGTGGTGCCTTGGCGAACCAACGGCCCACGAAACCTCGTAGTTCTTCGATCTCCGGCCCTGAGAAAGCTTCTAGGGCCAAGCTTTCACGGAAGGCGTCCGCGTCATCCGCTTCTACTATTCCTGTTCCTCCGACACCTCGACCCCCGACTCAGCCAAGACGACCAAAGACCCCTCCCGCGCGTCTACGCTCTCAGACTCCCCCACCACGATTACCCTCTCATTCTCTGCCGCCAATACCTCCTGTACCATCAGATCCTCCGCCCGCATATCAGACTTCCCCGCCTCCGCCTTCCGGTCCTTCCACATTACGCCCGCCCGGAGCTGTAGTTTTCAGTCGTCGTAGGACTTCGGTAAGCGAAGTCATGCAGGGTCCGCCGAGACGTGCAAGCGGCGAAGCGGAGCGTCCGGATAATAGAGACGAGAAATCCGGCGATTGGGCCGATGGTCGCCATTCCAGCGATGATGAAGCGATCGACCTTGTTGCGGCGCCTAGCGGGAGTCAGCTCCTCGATGAGCGAACTAGTGCACAAGCGCAAGGGCAAGGTTCTCCGGCTTCGCCACCGCGAGATCCGGTGTCCACTATCCAGCTCACACCTCGGGAACCCACCACCAGCAGTATCCGCCGAAATAACCGGCCTGCCAACTTGGATCTTAGTGTCACGCGCATGAACAGCATTCCTCCACCGCAGCCTTCTCCCTCCCCCACTTTGATGACCCTCCGCCAGGCCCTCGCGCAGTCTCCACCTGTGACTATGCGCGGCGCGTCGACAATGAACTCGTTGGCCGCCCAGATGGGTGGGGATGAGGGACCAGGCACTCCCGATGCAGAAGGTGATGAGGATGACGATCAAGCCGCCCCCGTCGGTGGTGAACGCATTTCGCTGGCACAGGCTCTGTTCGAGAGCAGGAGGCCGGACTTGCCTCCTGCGGGTACGCGTCGACCTCAGCAGCCCATTCTCATCGGTTCACATACTGTTGCTCCCCCTGACGAGGACCCGCCGGCAAGTCCGCGCAGTTCTGACGCGCACTCTTTCCAGACCAGGAGAAGCGTCGGTGGCACCTCGACAGCTGCGGCAAGGCGAAGGCGCAGGTGGTCGGTTTTGGATGGCATCTTTTCCGGGCCGTCGAATAACGCTCAGCCGCCGGTCGCTCCTGCGGCGGAAACCAGATCGGACGCAGTACCATCTGCGACACGTCCTCAGTCCCCGGAAATGACGCAAGTGCCTGACACCAGCACGAATGGACTCCGGCGGTACATGTCTCACACCAATCCGACGCCTGTTTCTGCGAATTCTCTTGAAGCTGCACAAACAAGGGTATTTGCATCATCGTCCGCGGAGGCGCTCCCGTTACCTCCAGCCCCCGCCATCCCAACAGCATCATCGTCTTCATCGCATAGCAGGATAACTCGGTTCCTCAACAGCGCTCTTCACCCGCGGCGGGAAGATAATGCTGCGGCCGCGGCTCTCAGGTCTCATGCTGACAAGAACAGCGTGATCGCTCCGCAACATACCGCTCCTGCGCCAAAACTGGAGTATGTCAAGCTCCCTGGTACTAAGGGATCCGTTCTCATCAAGGCCGTGGAAACGGCCAAGAAGAGGTGAACGGTCTTTTCTATCTGGTACTCAGTACGACTGACAATAACCTAGCTTCTTGGCTATTCTCTGCGGAGACAATGGCGAGAAGGTCGAGCTCTTCGCCGGTACATATCGAACGGCGCTGGGCTTGTCTCGCACGTTCATTCTGCCAGACTCTCCTCGATCACTGGAGCTGCAACTGCAAGGCGATGACCTCGTCGAGGTGTTCCTTGTATTCTCGCAGAACGTGTTTGGACTGGAACCTGCCACTGTCCGTGTTCGGGAGGTCAGGATCGGCCGTGCTGAGCGTCGTGCTGCTCGACGTAGGGCCCGAGAAAATCGCACGAATGATACGGACGCTGATCCTGCTGCCCCCGGCGAGGACGAGACTGCTGATACCGGTGTCAACGTCACGATCGGGGTCGCTGTCGAGAGTCCGTCGCCGTCGGGAGACGATGTTCTTGTCGCGGATGCAGTTCCTTCGTCTGGACCCCCGGCTAGCATGCGTCCGCCAGAAACGCCCACGGAAGGGGCGCCGGGAGACGGGACCACTACACCCAACAATGGCTCCACTCTCGCGTCTGAGGAGTTGCTGGCCTTAGCAACAGCTCAGATGGGCCCTTTCACGACCTTCCAGCAGTTGTCATTTGCCCCGCAATTCCCCTTAGCTGCCATCGCTGATGACTACATCATCCCACCAACCTATCCCGCCTTCTTGAACTACAAGCGGAGTCACGAACCGGACGCTGTCGAGGGTCCGTCTGCGGATGGTATACTTGATAATGGCTTGCGCGATCATAGTTCTCCTCCGGGTCTGCCGGTCCCTGCTCCCGAGGCTCCGTTGAAGTGGTTTTATCGTGACCCGACGGGTAAGGTGCATGGTAAGTCAAGCTTGATCACGTCCGAGATTTCGACATTTTGCTCAAACGGTTTGCAGGACCATGGAAATCTACTCTCATGCAATCGTGGTACAAGGACGGTATGCTGCCTCCGGACCTTCCCGTCAGGCCGGAGAGTCAAGAAGAGTACATCCTACTCAAGGACTTGCGGCTGCAAAGCGTTGACCCCTCCCATCCGTTCCGGACCCCTCCACCTCCTCTGAACGTCGCCTTACCCACGGTCGAAAACGCCAAGCCTCTACTTGCCCCGATCTCGCTGCTCGCTCAGCCGCGGCACTTCGGACCTCCAGCTCTCTTCTACTCGTCTCGAGGCGGGCACAGCACCACCATCGTCGACGCACGCGGCCGGTCTGTGATCAAAGGCCGCTTCCGGTGGAGCGATGACGAGGAAGACACGTTCACCATCGGCCGGCTGGGCGACGTCCGTCGTCTCGAGGCGTTTGACCTGCGCGAGCGTTCCGTGCTCGTCGCGATGCGGCACGGTGGGCTCGAGGCCGTCGACCTCGCCGACGCGCTCCTCAAGCCCGCGGACGACTCGCGCCCGGTCCTGCCGCAGTTCAACCCGCCGGACGCGAGCACGAATCGGCGCCGGCCGTTCGTGTGGCGGATTGGAACGCCGCTGGCGTCGGCGAGCGGGGGTGCCGCGCCGGTGGCTTCGCGCCCTCGCAGCGCACCTGCGACGCAGGGCAACAGGCGCGCGAGCATGATGCCCGGCAGATCGCCGGGCAAGAGCGACTTCGGCGCCGGGCTGGACCCGGAGCACGATCACGGTCTAACAGAGGAGGTTTTCTTCATCGGCCGGCGGGAGGACGACGTTTACCTCTGCGAGCGCAAGGCGGGCTCGTTCCGCGTGCTTCGTCTCGGGCCCGACGCAGCATGACGACGGCGATGGAAATGGTCCCCGCTTTCCCTAAGTATGACCGTAGTTGAGGACTATAGAAAATCGTAGTTTATATTCGTGAATCGTGTTGTTACATCCCAGAAGCATATGTGCCCCATGATGCATCCCTCCTCCACCCTTCGCATACCCCCACCAACCTCCGGCTCCGGTGTACTTTAGCTAAGCAAAAAGTAGAGAGGACGCTTAATAATCGATCACAGCTTGGCCTTATTCCGCAACACCATCTTCTGTATCTTGCCGGTGGAGGTTTTCTGGCGTCATCGGCGTCAACGAGGGACAGATCGTTGAGTGTGGAGGAACGGAGGCAGCTTACGGGCAGCTCGCTGACGACGCGCACCCACTCGGGGCAGGCGAAACCCGGCAGGCGGCTTCGCGCGTGCTTCTTGAGCTCGACCTCGAACTGATCGTGCTTGCCGAGCCACGTCTTGACATGGTCCGGCTTCAGCGTCACGAACGCCATGGCACGCTGATATCCGGAGTGGTGAGCGCGACCGTCGGAGGCAGCAGGCAGGCGATCGGAACGTACCTCGCCCCACTTGGGATGCGGACGGGCGACGACGGCCACTTCCAGGACGTGCGGGTGGGTCGACAGCTCTGCAGGGCCATCGCGGATCAGTGATCACCCAAAGCGCGCAAAAAAAAAACCCCGTGTGTGGTCGAGGGAGGGGGGCACCTTGTTCTATCGCGAGGCTGCTGGCGTTTTCTCCGCCGGAGATGATGATGTCCTTGCTGCGATGAAGCCGTATTCAGGTCACGGCAACGAAAACACACGGAGACAGGGGCGACTCGACAAACCTTCTGTCTAAGATGGCGATCGACCCGTCCGGGTGCATCACCGCAAGGTCGCCCGAGTTGAAGCATCCGCCACGGAACGCTTTGCGCGTCGCCTCAGGGTCGCGGAAGTACTATTCGCGATTACGTATAAAAGTCAATCCTTTGCATTGTTTCACCGAGATTTGCAAGGCGCAAACGGACGGACCTCTTTCATGGTGATGTTACCCCTAGTGACGATCTCGCCCACGGTCTTGCCGTCCTTGGGCACGTCGACGAGCGCATCGTCCAGGCTGGAGCCTTCTGCAGGCGGGTATACCACACGCACTTCCAAGGCGGTGGCGAACTGATGCCTAGACTTGCCCACCTCAGCTTCGACGTCCATCATAGCGAGATGCGCGCTCACGCACCCTTGTCTGGCCATGAACTTCGCCCGGTCCTCTAGCGAAAGCGCGGCCCATTCCGGCTGGAAGTAATTACGCGTGAACGGCCCGTAGGTCTCTCTGTTGACCTACCCGCGTCAGCTTGTTGATCCGGTTCAAGGTAGCTCACGATCCAACGATACGGGGAAATTTGATACGCACGTCATGCCGTACACATGGACGGGGTTGATGTGCAGTTTGGTGAGCTCGCCGATAAGGTGCGCGGTCGGCGCCGAGCCCGCGACGATAGCGGATATGGGCTCGCGCAAACGTCGCGCCGCGGGGTCGTTCACGATACCAATCTATCGGTGCTTGGGTAGGTAACATGTACACATCGCCGAAAAAGGTAGGCGGGTACCTGGACGGTCGGCGCGCCGCAGTAGTGCGTCACGCCGGAGTGGAGGAAGTGTTTCCATATGAGGGGGTAGGAGACCGTGCGTATGGTGAGCTGGATGAGGCTAGGTAAGCCGAGCGATTCCCATAATGATACGGGGAGGGGTATTTGCTCACTTGGGTGGCCATCGCGAAGGTCGCCGCCCAGGGGTACGTCCATCCGGACGCGTGGAACATGGGTAGAATCCTGTAGGCTCGCGTGGTGAGCGCGAGGGCTGGCGCGTCCTAGTAGACGATACGAGATTACCATAGGTACGTCGAATCGATGTTCATCCTGCGTATTTTGTAAATTTCGTGAGTTGAACGGGTCGACCGTAGCGGCGGGGGATGCATCATTACCGAGTTTCGAAGGCATTTGCGATAGCAGCCAAGTATGAGCCTGTCCCGAATTGAGTTAACCATCGTCATTAGTACTGCGAGGACGAGTGAAAGGTTACCTCTCAGGGTAGTAAGGACGCCTTTAGGCTAGTATGGCAACGCCTCGGTAAGCGACATAATGCTGAGCGCGGAAAGGGAGTGCTGCTCACACGTCCCGTAGTACCAGATCTACCAAGGTGAGCATGTCAATATGGTGATAGAACCAAGCAACGCATGAACCCACGTATAGCACAACGCGGCGCCCGCATCCTCGTCGGTCTCCACTTCCAGTCCAGGCCAGCCTCTCTCGCCGCTCGCCCTCCGGCCCTCCTTGAGGAATTCCTCGTAGGGGTCGCCTGCGCGGCCGCTATCATGACTGACGACGACCTGCGCGCCAAGAGGATTGCCTTCGGGGCCGTCGAGGAGGTGGAGGTATTCGCGGTCGATGAGGATCAGCCTCGCGCCGGAGTGCTGGAGGATGTAGGAGACCTCGGGTCGGGTGAGGCGGGTGTTGATCGGGGTGATGATGCAGCGCGCGGCGAGGGTGGCTTGGTGGGCGTCTGGGGTAGGGTGTGTTTGGTGATTGGGTGCAGGGGGGTAGTAAGGGTGGGTTTACCTGCGATCAGAGGGCTTTTCTGGGTCAGCGGTATGAAGGTATTTGAGATGTGGAGCTGGCATACCAGTTCGGGGCAATGACGGCGACTCTATCCCCTGGTTGAATTCCTCGATGTTTGAGGGCATATGCAAGGTTCTGGATCCGCTGAGCCCTGTAAGACCGCGTGAGCAATGAAATAAGGGTTCGATAGATATTTCATCTGGACATACCAAACACCGTATGAGTAGAAGACGGGTTGCTCGACGTCAGGATGCGCGATAGCGAGCTTGTCGGGGTATATCTGCGCTGCCTTCAAAACGAATGCCAGTGGGTTCTATCGATGCGCGCACGCGTCAAATGTGACGCCAGAACGCGGGTCATTGATCTGCGCTCACCAGAGGATGCTTGTGCACTGGCCATCCTTTCGGAAATGCCTGTCTAAACTCGGGATGGGGAGGTGGGATGCTCTCAGGCGTCGGTTCAAACCGAGCTCGAGCGGCTTCTGTCGTACATAGAGCGCGGTGAGCGGGTGCGAACAGCGTCTAAACGAGGAGCCTCACCGAAGGCGGCCATGGTCCCCGGGAAAGTCGTGGTCTATCTTCCGGACGCAAGGTCATCTGAGGAGCTGTGGGGACGTGGTATATATATTATAAACCGATCGAGCCTTTGAACACGGGGCCCCGCACTAGGGGCCGGGTCGTGCGGGGCAATTTCATATTACGCCTGACACCATCAAACGCCGAGTCCTCTCATGTCCTGTGCGACCGAACCCTATTTCTGCGTTTCGTCGACGTCTTCAGCGTCATGCTCAGCGCCAACGACGTCTTTGAGACAACCGCCGTGAACGGCATCGGGGGCGCGCCGTACTTCTACCGTGCGGCGTTTGGCAACACTTGATTCTGACCTGATTCTGACCTGATTTGACTTTTGTGCACCAAAGTGGCAAGCCCCTGTCCAGTTGCGTCTATCTGATTTCACAGTCCTGCCTAGTATGGCAAGTGAATCAAGTCAAATCATCTGATTCTTGCAGAAATCAAGTGTTCCCAAACGCAGCCTTGTGTCACAGACACAGCGATGCTTAGGCCCCGTTCGGCGACGCCTGATTCTGGAAATCAGATGATTTGACCACGCATGCATACCATACACGGTTAAGTTGTGAGACAAATTTAACATAATAGAACAGGGGCTTGCCATATGAGGAGGAAAAAGGTCAAGAACTGCCAGAATCAGGGCAAAATCAGGGTAGAGTCAACCCCAACCGAACGAGGCCTTTACTATGTAATTACGGGCTGGGAGATACTTGAGGCAAAGCTCAGGTAATATTTGCGGCCTCTCTGCGTAGCGGCCGGAGCGCAAGCTTTGTTGAAGCCCAAGGCATGGACCATCACTGGATGCCCGACTGCACCGTGTTGCATGAAGGCGGCATGAACAAGCCGAGGATACGAATATATCACGTAGTTTGGTAGTTGACCGTTGTACAGGTGTCTGAGCCCACGCCTGTCCAAATCTGCTCAATAGGCTCTCTATCGCATCCGGCGAGCACTTACATACATACGACGCTCGACTTGATATCTGCATCCTCCATCTTCTGCAAAAAGCAACTGCGGAGCTTTGGGGCACAGCATTGCACCCGACGCAGCGAGGCTGCGCGCGCCGTCTCTCATAATGTTGATGATGAATGAGCCCCTCGTTCAACCTCAACCACCACGACCATAACCACCAGGATGACAAGCGATCTCAACGACTCGGCGCCACCACCCACCTACACCCAGCAAGTCGAAGATCCGTCTGACCTGTTACCCCCACCTGAAGCTGGTGACATCGAGCAAGAGCAAGCGGTCGATTCGGACTTGCAGCTCCTCATCCTCCCCGCAAGCGACAGCACTTCCTTCCAATCTGGCTATCTGGGTGCGGCCGACGAACGCGCCGCGATCGAGGGCGAGGTGCAGCTGAAGGGCGTCGTGGGCCCCCGTCGCTGGGACAAACTGTCCGTTTATTTCACGCCTTGATGCATAACACCGAGATAATGACTGCTTGATATCTCTTCTGATGGCGCTCCCCATCGGACGTACAAACACCAGGACGCTCACGCTCCGCACGCTCGAGCGCGCCCAAGATACTGAAGTCGAGCTCTTCAAGACCGAACTCGTGCTGCACACGGCCCCCGACCCGAGCGCGCCCTGGCCGTCCTCCTACCCCTTCGCGATCCCGCTCACGCACGACACGCCTCAATGCGTGCACACCTCGCGCTCGGGGCTCACGCATACGCTCTCCGCCACGCTCACCTCCTCCTCTACCCCTTCCACGCCGCCGTCCGAGGCCCCGCCAAGCTTCAGCACGCACCTCCTCGTGCACACCCGTCGCTTCTCGTCGCACGGGCTCGCGCTCGCCCCCGCGCCGCGTACGCGCAGCCTCGTGCACCCCACACCCGTGGACGCCCAGCTCCCCCGCACGACGTTCTTCGCGGGCGAGCCCATCCCCGTCTACGTCACCGTGCCCCCGCCCGCGCGCGAGCTCGTCGTCTCGCGCGGCGTTCGCCTCCGCAACATCCGCGTCGAGCTCGTCCGCATCGTCAAGGTCCGCGGCGCGCCTGCCGATACCGACTCCGACTCTGAATCGTCGTCCTCCTCCGAGTCCTCCGGCAGCGACACGGGCGGCGGCGACGCCAAGCGCCGCGCGCCCTTCGCCGCGCACGCCGAAACGAGCGTCATCTCCCGCTCCGGCGCCGCCTGCCGCTTCCACGCGACGCGCGCCATCCGCCAGCGCTTCGTCCTCCGCCCTTCCGCCCCGTCCGACTACCCCTCCGACGCCGGCCCGCCTCTCTCCCCCACGTCCGGGGCGCCCACGTCCTGCGCCGCCGTCTCGCAGACGACGCTCCTCCACGCCGTCTCCTTCCGCGTCCTCGTCCACGTCGGCTTCCTCGAGCAGCCGACCCGGACCGAGCGCACGCTGACGCTCCGCATCCCCGTCACGCTCCTCCCCCCTCCCGCGCCGCTGCCCGAGGTCGAGCCCGCCGTCGACGCCGCCTACCGCAAGAAGCACGACAAGCCGCCCGCGCGCACCGTCCGGCGCGAAGACACCGAGGTCGCCGCCGCGCCGCACTACGGCGCGGGCCCTAGCGGCGCGGGCGTCGGCGTGGGCGCCCCTCCACCGTTCGAGGAGCGCGAGGCGCCACCGCCCTTCGCCTCGCTCTCCATCGCCACCCCGGAATCGTCTTCCGCCCAGGCCGCGCGCCTGCCCACCTTCCTCGAATCCGAGACGGACGCGTACGTCGCCTCGGCCGAGCATACCGGGCCCCAACTTCAACTACAACAGCAGCAACAGCAGCAGCAGCAACAGCAACAACAACAGCAATCGTTACACCAACTCGGCAGCGAGCTGGCGTTCCCCGGCGAAGGCGAGCTGTTCGGCTTCACCGCCGCGGACGAGTTCGACGGGCACGCGCCCGAGATCGCGGGGGAGCGCGGCGCGAGCCCGCCGCCGACGATCGAGCAGGCGCGCGCGGACCCGGACGTGAGCGAGCTCGCCGCGCTCGCGCACGTGCCGCCGCAGCTCGCGATCGCCGCGCTCGGCAGCAGCGGCGGCGACGGGGTGGACGGCGGCGACGGCGACGCCGCCCCGCCGCCCCCGCCCCCACCGATGGACGACCCGTCCGACCCGCCGCCGTCGATCGACTCGGAGTTTCGCACGCACGGGGGCGAGGTCGGCGTCGCGGTGCTGCCCGTGGGGTCGCCGGTGGCGGCGGGGGCGGGGGCGGGCGGGGCGGAGATCGGGACGTCGAACGCGACGTATGTCGGCCCGCCCGCGGAGGACGATAGGCACCGCCGCCCGCACGGGCACGAGCGGCCCCCGCCTCCGCATACGAGCGAGGCGCCGGCGCCGGCCGCGGGCAACGCGCCCCCGCCGTATCTTATCCCGGAAGGAGAGCAGGAGCATGCGCCCGGGCCTCCGCCTTACGTCGGTTGATGATGACGCTCGGACGTCGGGACGTAGATGCAAGGGAAGGTCCAGGTAGTAACAGAATATGTATGTATGTAAGGATAATACAGGTATAGGGCCGCGGGTAGACGTGTAGGGAGGAGGGAGGCAGGAGGCGCGCACAGAGGGACAAAAAAACCCGTGGTTTCAAGTAGTTTAGCAACAAGGGTCTAATAACAAAGAGCACGCTCCGTGTGCGGGGGAGGGAGGGAGGAAAGATCGTCGCGAGGTCGTACGAGGAAAAAAAAACACAAAACCAAACAAACAGAGGCATGTATGTAGTGGGAACGATGCGGCAACACACGGAAGAAAAAAGGATTCAGCAGTTGCACGCGTCCTTGCCCTTGGTCTGGTTCTCCTCGAGGTTGACGCCGCCCTCTTGTCGCGCGGCGCCGGTGCGTGCGCCCTGTGCGCCGGGTCGCCCCGCGCCGCGCGAGGAGGCGAGGATGTGCTCGATCGGTATCTTCTTCGCTGCGGGAGAATTAAAATAAATTAAGCGGTGGCGCGAGGGTGGGGGGTAAAAGGGGGCAAGAAAAACCCACCGATCTCGGTGAACATCTCGACGACGCCCTCGCCCGTCTTGGCGGACGTCTCGAAGAAGAGCAGGCCGGCCTCGGCGGCGTACGCCTGCGCCTCGTCGGCGGGGACCTGCCGCAGGCTCTCGGGCGACGAAGACTCGGCGTCGGCGTCGGCGTCGGGCGTGGCCGTCGCGTCGTCCGCCTCGTCTTCCTCGGCGTCGGCGGCGGGCGTGGAGGACGAGGGCTGCTGGACGAGGTCGACCTTGTTACCGGCGAGGGCGATGACGATGTTCGGGTTCGCCTGCCGCTGGAGCTCCTTGACCCACGATTTGGCCTTTTCGAGGCTGGACGCTTTGGTGACGTCGTAGACGACCACGGCGGCTTGCGCGTTGCGGTAGTACATGGGCTGTTTAGTGGGGTGAAAAAAGAGGTGTGACGGATGAGACGGGGTGGGGACGGAAGGAGGAGGAGCCGGGGTGCGTTACCGCGAGCGAGTGGAAGCGTTCTTGGCCGGCGGTATCCCAGATCTCGTAGCGTAGGACGCGGTCTTCGAGCCGGCATTTCTGGGTCAGGAAGGCGGCGCCGATCGTGGGTTCCTTGTTTGCTTGGAAGTCGTTCGAGACCTGGCGGCCCGGGGGGAGGGGGCAAAGGCAAAGTCGCATCAACAACAACGACAAGCGGGAACGACGGCGTGATGAGCGAAGACTCACGAAACGGAGCACGACCGAGGACTTGCCCACAGCAGCCTCGCCTAGAGGTGCCAGTCGTCAGCAACGATACGAATATATTCTTTGTGATTACGGTCATCTCGTCTCCACGGGTACGCGCCAGAAGGGAAGGAAACGCAGACTCAGAGCGGCGGTTGCCGTGCACGCTTCCCCCCCCCCCCTCGCAATGTCGTTGGATGGTGGACGTGTACTACTCACCCAGCAGGACGAGCTTGACTTGGACAGACTTGTCGGCGGGGGCGGAGGCGGAGTCGGACATGGATGGAGATATGGATAATGGAGGTGCGGTGGGAGTGGACGAGGACGAGGATGATGCTGCGCGCGGCACCGGTGGCGCCGGCACAGCGCTTTTGTCCCTCCTTCTGTATCGACTCTTTTCAGGCGCCCGGGGAACTCTGCTTGCTTCCGCGCTCAAGGGACAAGTTGTTTTTATTTGGGAGCGTATGGAGTTGGGGTTGTCTAAGGAAGACCACGAATATACACGATAAAGCACTCTGTTCGACTCGTATTACAGGGACATGCTGGGGCTATCACAACGACGAGAAAAGAGCCTATATGTACTGTATCCCTGCGAGCCCTGTGGGCATACGTTTCCCGTTGAACGCGGTCATACAATGGGAGTTATAAGCGGGGATCGGTGGGTCGATATTGGCTACACATTGACCTCCTCGATCCGTAGTTTGAGCGGCTCGGGAGGCTTCGATAGAGCCGAAAACAGCGGGAAAACGAGAGAAAACTTGCCGAGAATCGATACGGGCGTTGACGGGTTCGAGAAGCATGCTAGAGATACAACGGTATAAAGATACAGATGCGGATAATAGAGGTTAGAAACCTGAGAGGAAGGTCAGGGCTCAATACCAAGGAGCTTCGTGTGAAGGTATATCTATAACACGCACAACAATCGCAGTCAAACGGACACAAGGGCGTCCCACCGGCTTCGGGATCGATGCCCAAGTCGGCTTCCTTGAAGATGGTAAAGCCCTCCTCGGTCTTTCGTCCTGGATCACTGTCAGACGGACGGCGGAGTTTGCCTTTCGGAGAGAGAGAGAGAAGACGGACGGGATGAGGTCCCCCGAGAGTCCTTGAAGAGCTCGTCGTCATCCTGCGACGGTTTCGCCTTCCTCGACGGCTTCTTCAGCGCGCTCGACGATGAAGACGGTTTCCCAGAGTTGTCAGTCTTGGGTTTCTTCGTCAGAGGTCGCGTCGAGGGGTCGACGACGGTCTCGGGAGCGGCCCGTTTCGGTGCGTCTTGGACCTCAGCAGGGGCAGGGGCAGGGGTAGAGGCAGCGTCGTCGGCTTGAGCGCGCTTGCGCTTCTTCTTGTGCTTTTTCGACGTGGAACTCGTCACCGGCGCGGACGTCGACGCAGCGGGAAGTTTGGCATTTTCGGCGAGGCTCGTCTTCCCTTTGCCCTTGGCCTTGGCCTTGGACGAAGACGCGGACGCGAAGATGTCGTCGATCTCAGACTTGGCCATGGCCAGAAAAATGAGGGAGGCGGCGTGACGAGCAGCTGTGACATGTTCGTGACTCCTTCGATGGAGGGCACGTGTTCGGAGCTCGCGGGTGAATCGCTGGGTCGAGGTGGGCATGTTGAACGGGTTTGGCCAGTCCGGGCGTTTTTGAGAGCAGCGAGCCCTGATTTTATTTCCCGTCGACATTGTCGAGCGCTACGGCGAGAGCGCCTCGTAGATCCAACGTTTTGTTGATCGTCGAGGCGAGCGTGGCAGAGGCGCGGACGTTGACGCGGCGTTGGAGGGTGAGACCACGCTACGGCTTCCGCACGACCGAACCGACGCCGGGCCAGAGGCGGCATCATAATACGGACGGGGCCATCATGCTGTGAGTCCTCCTCTCTAATACACTCCCGCTTCCCGTTCATCCACCTCCCGCTCCTCCAGCCCGAACAACGCCCAGCAACAGCAACCGCCATTCGCCTCGCCCTCCTCCCCCGCAAACCCCAACGGCGGCTTCAACCTCGACCCCTCCGCCGCCGCCAAGCAGATTGCCGCCCTCAACGCCGTCAGCCATGCCCGCATGGCCCAGAACCAGAACAACCCCCGCGGCGGCGCGTACCCGTCCTTAGGCGCCGGGGCGGGCGTCATCGTCGGCGGCAGCATGGCGGCAGGAGGATCACAAGGCGCGCTGGCAGGCCTCGGCGGAGGAGGAGGAACAATCTCGGGATCTTACCCCGGCGCATTCTCGCTCCCCGCCTCCGTCGTCCCCGGACACGATCCTACCTCCCTCCCTCCCTCCGCCGTCGCCGCCGCCGCCACCAACAACACCACCTCCTCCCTCCTCCCCGCCTCCTCCTCCTCCTCCTCCAACATGAACCCGAACGCGCACGCGAACGCCCACATGAACCCCCAGATCGCGGCGCAGTACGCCCAGCGGCGGCACGCCTTCCTCGTCAACCTCGCCAACCTGCACGCGAACGCGAACAAGCCGCTCCCGCCCGCGCTCATCGGCGCCGCCGCTTCCGCCGCCGCCGCCGCCGGCGGCTCGACCAACCACCCGCCGTTCGACCCCGCGCTCTCGGCATGGAAGCCCCCGCTGCTCGATCCGACCGGCGCGCCGGGCGTCGTGCGCATCGCCGGCAAAGAGCTCGACCTCTTCCGGCTCTGGACCAGCGTCGCCCAGCTCGGCGGCATCCAAAAGGTAATCCCACCCCCCCTCTCTCTCTTTTTTTTTTTTTTTGCGTCCGTTCGGAGCTTAGGCTGACGAGGGACGTGCGTCGGCTAGATACATCAGCAAAATGCGTGGCCGACCATCCTCAGCTTCCTCGACGTGCCCGAGCAACACCCCCACCCGCAAACCGGCGTGCCCCAGCCCACCGCGCCCGCGCTCGTGCAGCTGTACAACGCCGTGCTCGCCCCGCTCGAAGCCCTCGTCCGCCGGCAGACCTCAGAGCGCCAAGCCATGGTCGCCCGCCAGGGGATGCAGCAGCAGCAGCAGCAGCAACAACAACAAGCACAACAACAGCAACAGGCGGCCTTCGCGATGCAAGGCCGCGCCCCGCAGATGCCGGGGTCGGGGCAGATGCAGCTCAACAACGCCGGGGCGGGGAACATGATGGGCATGTCCGCGCCCGCCGCCGCCCCTACGCCCAACCCCAACCCGACCGCGAACGTCAACGGCGCCGCGCGCTTTCCCGGCAATATGGCTATCATGCAGCCGCCGCATCCACCGCAACAGGCGCAGGCGCGGCCGACGCCCGAGGCCGGGTCGTTCGACGACGGCGCGCACCTTAACGGCGTGAACGGACAGGTCGGAGGCGACCTGTCGGCCGAGTTGGCGAACGCGGCGAACGGGATCGGAATGGGGCAGGGTACGATGATGGGGGAAGAGGAGGGCAAGAAGCGCAAGGCGGAAGCGGACGAGGCGGACGAGAAGCGGGCGAGGCAGAAGACGGGTCAGTCACGAATCGGCCCCCCCACTGCCACACACTGACGCCTCTTTTCTCTTTTTCTCTTTTGCTCTTTGCAGAAGCACAGGACGGCGTTATAGTAAGCCGGCTACCTAATCCCGCGTTGGCCACGAGCATGACTGACGCGCCCGTGCAGCCATCCGACCCCGACCAAAAACCTGCCATCCCCGCGGCCGCCACCGCGCCACGGCCCCGGGCCATCCCATCGCGCCGCAAGATCGAATACGTGCCGATCGGGCGCGAACCGCCCACGCACGGTGGACGCGACCTCGTCGCGCTCCGGGCAGAACAGCAGCGGATCGCGTCCCGGCGGCCCCTGCGCGACCTGGCCGACTGGGGCGCGGTCGACATCGGCGCGCTCGCGCTCGCGCTCCGCTCGCGGCTCGCGACCGAGCTGTCGTACGCGCTCACGACCTTCACCCTCCTCTCCGCCCTCCGCGCGCGCAACCCCGGCGAGCCTACGCCGCTCCCGCTCCAGCACTGCGGCGAGCTGCTCGACGAGACGCTCGACCTTTTAGAAGACGTCGCGTTCGAGGGCGTGCCGGACCCAGGGGTGGACGTTGCGGACGCGACGCCGGTCGCGACGCACCGCCGGCTCGTCGCGCGCGTGGTGGAAGACGGCGCGGACCCGTTCGCGGCGCTCGCGCGGCCGCAGGGGTGCAAGGACCCGGACGCGGGCCCGGTCCCGCGCCGGGGCGAGCTCGTGCTCGCGATCACCAACCTCCTCCGGAACCTGGCCGTCAACGAGCAGAACGCGCCGGTCGTGGCGCAGCACCCGCGCCTGCTCGACGTCCTCCTCCGGCTCACGTGCCTCGCGTCCGAGTCCGAGTCCGAGGCGGAAGGAGGCCTGCGCGCGGCGTCGCCCGCGCTGTCGCTCGCGGACCTGCTCGCCGTGCGGCGCGACGCGCTGCACGTGCTCGTGAACGTCGCCGCCGCCGTCCGCTTCTCGTCCGCGGCGCAGGACGTGCGGCTCGCGCACCGCGCCGCGCGCCTGCTCGCGTCCTTCCTCGTCGACCCGGACGAGGCCGTCTCGCCGCTGCGGCTGCTCGCGCACGGCGGCGGGAGCGCGAGCGGCCCGCCGGCGACGGCCGACATGGCGCTCGACGCGTTCGGCCGGCTCAGCCAGCCGGACGCGAACCGGGAGGTGCTCGCGAAGGCGCTTCCGGTGGGGTGGATGTGGACGCTGCTCGGCGCGCTCACGCGCCGGCTGCCGGTGGCGGACGCCGACTTTGCGCTCGTGCTCTCGCGCGAGACGTGGCTGCTGCACGTGGAGAAGGTGGTCATGGCGCTCTACTCGCTCGCGTACCTCGCGCCGCCCGCGCTGAAGAGGCGCGCGAAGAGGGACGCGGGGCTCGGCTTGCCCGCCGTGCTCAGGCGGTTCGTGAGGCGGGGCGTGTTGGAGGAGAACGCGACGCTGCGCGCGTGGCTCGTGATCTCGGCCCGGCGCGCGGCCGAGGCGCTCAGGGTGATCGACGCGGCGAGGGACGAGTTTGACGACGGGGGCGGGGAGGCGGCGCTCGCGCCGGTGCTGAGCTTTGGAGTGGGGTACGGCGAGGTCGGGGAGGGCGCCGTCGAGCGCGGGACGGGCTTGTTGGGCGGGCATCAGGAGGAGATGACGTGGCGGGTGATGGTGCTTCGCGATCTGGACGAGGTCATGTTCGGCGAATTGGAGAGTCTGGTGAGGGTCGAGTAAGGCGGGGGGGGGGGGGGGTTGTTGATTATCCGTGTTGTGTGTTGTGGCTTTTTTGCTCCCTTCCTCGATATCCTTACCTCTCGCGCGTGCTCCATGTTTTATTACTGTACTTATAACCTCGCGATGTTGTGGCTCTGTCAAAGCGGTCGGGGGGTATAACGGTGCAGCAATAACGATAACTACAACATGATGGGCAGTAAAGCGCGCGGGTACGGCAGATCAAGATCGCGGTCGGTCGAAGAGATACAGGGTGCCGCCAATGTCCCCGCTGGAACATGACACGAATCAGAACGTTTGCTGACGGGACGACGAAGGCGACTCACACAACCAGAGGAAGTTCGCCCTTGGACACGTCCCCGAGCGAACAGTAGCCAATGTCGTGCGGGACGGACGCGATGACCTGCCCGTTCATGCCAAGGCGTGAGCCTTTGGTCATGTCCCACAGCCGCACCTTGCCTGAAGTACGCATCACGTAATCAGCTCGTGTGCACGACCGACCGAGGGGGGTCACAAATAAGGTCACGAACCGTCTGCGCCCGAAGTCACCAGACTGAGCGGGCCCAGCAAGTCACCGACCCACTCCATGTGGAACACGCCGTAGTGGTCCTTGACGGGCACGGGAACGTGCGGGTGCTCGAATACGTACAGCGCGCCGCGCGAGAGGTCGCGCGGGTCGTACACCTCGACGATGTCGTCGGAGCGCGCGAGGGCGAGGTAGAGCCCGTCCGGGCTGTACGACATCACGTTCACCTCGCCCGACTCGTCCGCGAGCTGCGGCGAGGCGGAGGAGAGCGCCGGGTAGTCGAGCCGCTTCTCGCGCCGGATCGGCGTCTCTAGCGCCGTCGCCTGCGTCGCTTCCCGCGCCGGGGTCATCGCGGTCCGCACCGAGTTCGTCGCGTACTCTACCCGGTTCTCCCTGTCCTCGAGCTCGACGGGGAAAATTCGCAGCCGGTGGACGTCGCGTTCGTCGATCGTGACCATCGCAAGCTCGGTTCCTGCGGTCGGGGGCCCATGAGTTCAGGAAGGACAGATGTGGGAATAGGAAAAGAAACGGACCTCTTGGGTGGATGGCGAGCGAGTCGCCGGCCTCCTCCCCAGAGAAGGTACACAATTCGCTGCCGCTTTCGTCGAATGCCTTATGCCTACCGCCGACCGTGCCCGGAAGCGGCTCCGTGGACACGAAGAAGACGTCGTCGGTACCTTCCCGGCCCCAGGTCGCGCTCCCGGCGGAATGGCCTTGAGCATACCTCGCGATTGGGAACGTCTTGGGCCGGACCTGCGAGTAGAGCGGCGCATTCAGCGGGTCGCCCGTGTCGGAGCCGTACATGCGGACGCGCCTGGCGAGGATGCGGAGTAAGCAGATGAGCGAGGTGAGCAGATGGGGGAAGGACTCACCCGTCGCTGCAGGTAATCGCGAGCCGGGCCGAGTCCGGTCTGAAGTGCAAATCTTGCGGCGTTGCGGGGAGCTTGACTAGACGGGAGATTGGTAATCAGTCTTTGACGAGTGTGCGGGGGACGGATCGAACGACGTACCGCGATCCATTTGTACCGGTATGGAGCCCGCCATGGTACCGAGATCCCACGTACACACGAAGCCGTCGTTGGCGCAGCTCACCAACCTGTTTGGGCTGATAGGCGTGTCAGTTCCACGCCTTCCTAAACGAAGGTCGTTGCTCGCTTACACCACAGGATGGAACGCGACGTCGTTGACGGTATAGTACTTGGGTTTTGACCACTCGTAGCGCAACTCGATTGGTCTGCTTCCGGTCAGCATGTCGGTGGCGGGAAGCGTTTTAATCCCGCTTCTCCATTGAACATGGCCACGGGGTGGGTCGGTGGGAGACTCCTGAATAAGATCGTGTCGGATGGGCGCGAGCGCAGAATCCGCGTCGCGCCGCACTTCTAGCAGGACGAGGTTTCCTGATGTATTGTATGCGTTGGGTTCTTCTGAAGACGACGGTCATAGGAGGGTCACGGGCGGGGCTACTGAATACTGACCATCCACTTCATGAGGTTCATCCGGCTCGCCGCCCGCGGTCGCGCTGGAAATCACGATTCGGTTCCCTCGCTGAAGGACCTTGGTGATAGCTGGGAAGCAGAACACGTTAGGCATTGCGTTACGAGTCTCCCTGTGGCCTCGAGCTCACATCCATCTCCTATTTTGATGCTGCCGGCCAGTCGAAGGCCGAGCAGAGTAGCCTTATGTGGAGATCTAGCAGAACAGGCAGAGGGGCGTGTTTGGTTGTATGGATCCACCATCAGATGTCTGCGCCGGAAGCGAGGGCGTAACCGCGATCGGCCCTATCACGATAAGTAGGTCAGAACAGGCTCAACGGACGGTCTTGCTCTGCGCACGTTCACAGGAGGCACCCAAGGTACGTTACCGGCCTGAGACCAGTCGTAGCCTTCAAAGGGGTTCGGACCTCGCGGGATGGTAGGCCGCTCCGGTGGCACCGTTTCCCTCAGGCTCAGCCCCGATAGATTCGACTGAAGATTCGAAACTGGCGCAGGGCGTTCGGTAGGTACCGGCACAGGGGACTGGCACGAAATCGTTTAGTATCTGTATGATAGACGGAGGCGGTACACGATAGCGTACCAAGAGGTGATTATACCACGAGTCAACCCAGTCGTTAATATCTTCGTCGGAGTTATCGGCGGCTGGCGTGGCTCTGGTCGAATTGTATACGGCTATTGGAGCAATTGCCTCATCATCCGAGTCGAGGACGATAGCGTCCGTCTGTGTGCCGGAGCCTCTGAGTTCCATCGACAGGACGGGCATCGCGTTGTTATGACGTGGAGTGTGCCTCAGCGGCGCCGGGCCTCTTTGTGATCTCGGGGTTGCAGAAGTAGAGTAGGACGGGTGGGATAGGCGTGCAGCTCCCTGCGAGGGTAGATATTGGCTGCCTCCCATTGCCTTCACGGAAGGCGCGTTTCCCTGAGGTTTATTTGGCGTGTTTTGGCTGGAAGAGGGGCCAGCCGTCGCGTTCGGAGCGGTAGTTGGACTTGGACGCGGGATCGGGGGAGGTGGTAGTGTGTTGGGTTGGGACAAACGAGGTTTCTTCCACGCAGGGCGCCAGCGTTTAGCGCTTCCATGGGCGGCCTGGGAGCCTCCATCGGATCTCACTAATAACGGCGACTCGGAATTAGAGCGTTTCACGGTGGTAGGGGTGCCATTGGGTGCGTTGAGGCGGCTGCGTTTGGGGGAGGGCAAACGCGCGGGGGGTGCGGGTCGCTTGGACGGCAGGATCTCGATTTCGTCTTCTTCAGTCAGATCGATTGTCTCCGCAACTTTGAGGCTCGACTTCGACGAGATTATTGGAAGAGGCCGAGACGCCGCTCCGCACCCTGGAACGGGGGCGCTCAAACGACCGGACATCGCCATGGTATCTGCTCCAGCGATTCACTCGTGGATGTCTGCAGGCTCGGCTGCCGGCTACGTGCTGTTGTTAGATATGCAGACAGACGAGGAATGGCAAGCGATATGTCGGAGGCGGAGACGGTGGCCCAAGTATAGTCACAACGGACGGTGGCGCCGAACGCGTCGGTCACGCGCTCCGAACTAATATTGTGTGCTCCGTCTTCCTAATTCCAATGGACACCGCTCAGCCGCTTTACCTCCCTCCTCTGCAATGCTCCGCTCAGCGCGATACCTGGCTCGGTGCTCGACCATAGTGTCTTCCAGCAGGAGATGGGCCCACGCACCGTCGCTGTCCTACCTCAAGTCCGTCACCGCTGATGACCTCCAGCACTTCTCCCGCATCCTCCCCGCGACGTCTATCATCTCCACGCTCCCTCCCACGTCCGCGCCTGCGGACGACCTCGCGGCGTACAACGATGACTGGATGGGCAAGTACCACGGTAGGGCGAGCACCGTCCTCAAGCCGCGCTCGGTGCAAGAAGTAAGCGAGATCGTGAAGTATTGCAACGAGAAGGGGATCGGGATCGTCCCGCAGGGTGGGAACACCGGGCTCGTCGGCGGGAGCGTGCCTATAGGCGACGAGGTTGTGCTTAGCCTGAGCAACATGTCGAAGGTTCGGTCGTTTGACCCCGTCTCTGGTATGCTGTCGACATGCGCTTCTCTTTCATTGCTTGCGCCGAGAATTACTTCCCAGGCATACTGGTCGCAGATGCGGGCTGCGTGCTGGAAGCTCTGTCGGAATATATTGCGAAGGAGGATCACATCATGCCTTTGGACCTTGGTGCGAAAGGAAGGTAAGGTCCTTGTCCTCCCATCGTGCTTTCGCTATGACTCACTCGTCGCCAGCTGTCAGATCGGCGGCAATGTCTCCACGAACGCCGGCGGCTTGAGGTTACTTCGCTATGGCTCATTACATGGGTCGGTCCTCGGGCTAGAGGTTGTTCTCCCCGACGGCACTATCCTGGACCTGCTCACCACATTACGGAAAGACAACACCGGTGCGGTTCTTAGATTCAGTGCCCGTAGGTAAACCTTGCTGACATTATATACAGGCTATGACCTAAAGCAGCTCTTCATCGGCGCGGAGGGCACGCTCGGCATCGTGACCGGCGTCTCGATCCTAACTCAACCGACCCCACAGTCGACGAGCAACGCCGTGCTTGCCCTGCCCACGTTCGACAACGTCCTGCCGCTGTTCAAGACGGCGAAGCGGCAGCTGTCCGAGATCCTCTCCGCGTTCGAGTTCTTCGACCGCGAGGCGTACGGGATCAACATCAAGCACAACGCGGGCCGGGCGCTGTCGAAGGACGAGATCGGCGACGCGGAGTGCTTTGTGTTGTTGGAGACGAGCGGAGGTAGAAAGGAGCATGACGAGGAGGTATGCTGTCTACGATGACAAAAAACCCTCCGTATCCGCGCTCATTCAGTGTATCCAACAGAAACTGAACGATCTCCTCGAGGGACTGCTCACGGCCGATGAACCTTTGATCACCACCGGTGTCTTGTCCCAATCACCGACCCAGTTCGCGTCGTTGTGGACGCTGCGCGAGGGCATTACCGAGGCGGTATCGAAGGAGGGCAAGGCGTACAAGTACGACATCACCATTCCTCTCCAGAAATTCAAGGAAGTAGTGGACACGACGAGGGAGCACCTCCGTTCTAAGGGTCTTCTTCACGACAAGGCAGTTAGGCACGTCATTGGTTATGGTCACGTCGGCGATGGTATGCATCGTTTTCCATACATCGGATACCTTGTACTGATGGGTCAAACAGGCAATCTACACCTAAACGTTGTCGCTGATGCGTACTCGCCTGAAATAGAAGCTGCTCTAGAGCCGTTCATCTATGAGCTCGTCGGCAAGTCACTTTGTCTACCTATACACGCCCCTCAGACATGCGCACTAACCTCCTGACAGCATCCTTCAAGGGCTCAATATCCGCCGAACACGGTATCGGCCGACATAAGACGCAGCACCTGCACTACTCGAAGAGCGAAGCCAGCATCGAGTGGATGAAGAAAGTCAAAACGCTCTTTGACCCCAAAGGCATCATGAACCGGGGAAAAGTCGTCATCCCATAGCTTGCCTTATGAAACTATCCGCTGTACCATGCGTCTCCACGGCGATCTTTGTATCCATAGATTTCGCTCTACTATCCTTGCGTCGTGGCTGCAAAAATGTGGCTCGCCGATCAACGACGGACGTGGGCAAACAAACACGCGCAAACACAGCTTTTGACACCAATCCCAGGGTTAGGGTGCTCGAACCTTAACCTCATCCGCTGGTCCCCAGTCGCAAGTGATGGTAACCCCCAATCCAGGTTTTTTCTGTCCAGAGTACGCGGGCTGACCACAGGACATCGCTGTTATATCTTAGCCGATATTCCAAGATGTGTCCGGGCTTGCGGTCAAGTTTTTCATCCAGAAGGACCTTCCGGAGCAGCTACAGGCCGAGCTATGTGAAACCATCGCGGTACGGCGCTGCAGACGTTCCATGCTTCGCGCTCTTTGATTCCGTATGACAGTCTCTCGGAGGACGGGTAGAGCAGAAGGTGCCCCGGTCGGGGTACATCCTCGTTCAGCAGGGGACAGCCGAGGAAGAGCGTCTGCGCCTTTGCTGGACGAGCAAGCAACGGCCGGAGCGCTACTTCGTGCCGTACACCTTCGTAGAAGCGTGCAAGATCGCAGGGATGCTGCTTAAGCAGATCTTTGTCGAGAACGGGGAGCCGATCAAGATGCACATTCACTCGAGCATCGCGAACGTGAACGCGCGGGCGGCGTTGAGCGCGAGGATCATGGTAGGTTGTCCTTGGAAACATCGGATCTGGCGGTGCGCTGATATACGTGTCGTTGTCATCAGCACTCTGGAGGCGACCCGACGGCCTCGATCCAGTCCGCCAAGGTCATCCTCGCCGACCCTAACACGGACATATTCGCGCACCTCGTCAACTCCTTTCAGCAAATGCAGGACAAATACGTTGAGAATTACCTCTGGGTGAAGAAGTGCATTGACCGGGGCCAGGTCCTCTACACGCCTATGGTGTACAAGAACCCGGGAGGTAGAAGAGCTGGAGAAGAGTGAGCGGCAGCTTTTCTTTGGTTCCGATCACGATCAGGGGTCAGTTAACACGAGTGCCTATACAGGAGGATACAGTTCAACGAGGAAGACGAGGAGCATCTTTGCCAGTGGATCGCGATGAAGATACCTTACAAGGAGACCGGTGGCCGCACGGGTAACAGACTCTACCAGCAGCTCGTAGAAATGGTACGTTTCGCGCACCCCCCCCCTCTCTCTCTCTCGATATTCCGTCCATGTCATGCGTCTCCATTCAAAAAGGGCAACGAACCGGAATACCATTGGGTCAACCGCCACACCTGGCAGTCCTGGCGCGAGCGCTACAAGAAAAACTCGGCGCGGCTCGATCAGCGCATCTCTTTCATCGTCCAGGAGCGCAAACCCCTCGTCGGCGAGAAGGGCCAGTACGCGTTCGTGCGCCAGCCGGAGGAAAAACCGAAGCGCACGCGCAAGAAGACCGCCAAGGTCGAAGACCAGCCGCACCAGCCGTTCGATCCAGAACTCGGGCAGCAACCGGGACCGTCGCATTTCCAACAGGGCGCGGTGGATGACCACCACGCGCAGCTGATGCAAGGCGCGTATATCCCGCCCGCGATGCCCTACCCGTATCCGCCGCCGCCGATGGCGTTCCCGATCGGCGGCCCGATGGACCCGTCGACCCCGCGCAAGCCGGCCGAGCGTGAGGAGGTGGAGGATCCGGACGACAGCGCCGAGTGGCAGATCAGGGAGGGTAACGAGCCGCCGCCGGCTTGGGCGAAGAGGAAGGCGGAGGAAGAGGAAGCCGAGCCTAACAAGCGGCCGAGGACTGGGGCTGTGTATGTTTACGACATTTGGCTGTTCGTCTTTGGGCCCATTCGTGCTTAATCGTGTTTGTTTTTCTCCCCCGCAGGGAGGTGCCGTACGCTGCTATTCTTGCCGGGTTGGCCGTCGCGGACCCACAGACGCTGGCCAGTATGCACATGATGGACCGCGAGCTGTATTCCATCGCGCGTGATCATCGCTTCACGCTTGAGGAGGTTCGTGAGCTGCATGTCTTCGGCGCCGTTGGTCGATGCATCGTATTCATGCGTTTGTCTATCGCTCAGGTGCAAGAGTACTTCAACAAGACCGGGGACCTCGAGCGTACCAGAGAACGCTTCCGTCGGATGCGAGAACAACTCAGCCGTTTCATCGAAGAAGAAGACGCACAAGCAGGAGTCGCCCAAATCACACAAGCGCAGCCTGCTCTCCCGGTTCAGCAAGGTCTCGCACTACCTCCCGCGTCTGCTGAAGGCCAGCCCGAAGAAGGACCCAGGCCTGACCCGGGGCTTAGCCAAGGAGTGTCTTCCACCACGTTGCCGTCAGAGGGTTCGCAACTGAACAACGCAGCCTGATGTTCCGGACTTCGTGAATATTGGCATTATTCGTCATGTTCGGCACTTGCACAATATGTCTTCGCCAGTAATCTTTTGATACGCTATGTCTGTGCCATATGATACTGCAACAGGATGCGACCACTGTAATACATCATATATCCGGTAAATCGAAGTCGGTTAAAAGCTTATAGTCTGCTGCGCGCACGGGGGCGGTCGGACTATCCGGTTTTCGTCGCCTATGGAACAACAGCAGTCAACCACCGATAACGCGAAGTACCAACACGACTACTCACTTTTCTCCAGCTGCCGCTGACGGGAATGTCCCGAACATGTCTGGGTGTTTAGGTAGAGGTGACTCACTACCGAGAAGGAGCGTGAACATGATTGTCTGGATCTATTGGAAGTGATGGATGGCCGTACCTGAAATAAGGATGCTTGAGCGCCTCCTCAGCGGTGATCCTCCGTTCCGGGTCGTATGTCAACAACTTCATCATTAGGTCGATTCCGGCATTCGTCAGGTACGGGAACTTTTGTCTGAATCCGTGAGGATGCGGCGGGGGTATAGTCAGCGTCTTCACGAGTGGAAGGGTGGGAAAGTCAGGCCAGTAAGAGAACGACGGGGAAGCTGGGTTCGTCGAGGGTGGGCCGAGCAGTTTAAATATCATGGCGATGAGTTCTATTTCACCCTTGGCTTGAAAAAGGGGTTCCTTGAGGATGAGCTCGGCGAAGATGCAGCCGACGGACCAGATGTCCACGGCAGTCGAATAAATTTTCGCCCCAAGCAGGATCTCGGGTGCTCTGAGTATCTCCGTTAGGCTTGTTTTTGATTGGGCCGGAATAACGCATACCGGTACCATAGTGTTACGACTAGCTGGGTCATGCCACCAACTCCAACAGGATCTCCGTACCTGCGCGCTAAACCGAAGTCGGCCACTTTGATTGTGCCCCGGTTATTCATCAGCAGGTTGCTGGTCTTCAGGTCTCTATGCAATATCCAGCGCGAGTGGCAATGCGCAACCGCCGAGAGCAGCTGCATCATGAGCGTCTTGATCTCCGACTGCAAAAACGGAGAAGGCATGACGGTGAGCAACGTCTTCAGGTCGTGCTCGATGAAGTCCATCACGACGAAGACCCTTAGGCGGCCGATGTTACGTTGGCGCAAGAGGTAAAGAAGCAGTGCAAGGGGGATGGTATCTTGTCATATTCGAGTCGATATACGGACATGATGCTTGCCACACGTACTGCGTCAGGGTGTCTCCGACGACGACCTCCCGTATGTTCACGACGTTTTCGTGTCTGCAGGTCATGAGCGCGTTGATTTCACGCAGTGCCGTGATCGGGAAGCCGTGTTTCTCCTCCTCCAGCTTCAGCTTCTTTAATGCAACAATGTCGCCCGTCTGCTTGTCCCGTGCGCGGAACACGACGCCATAGGATCCTTCCTCAATCTGGTTGAGTCGCTCATAGCAGTAGACTGAGCGCGAAGGAGTAATGACTGGGTGGAACTCCCGGGGCGGGACATATATACTATGGGACAGCCGTGGATGGCGAGCGGTTGAAGCCTCGGATCCAGAAGGGGAGGCGGTTCTGGCAGTATGTTCCCGAGCAATTTTGACTTTCTTAACCTTCTTCTTTGCTATAGGTTGTTGAATCTGCACCTCCAACACCTCGTCCTCGTCCCATTTTGATCTCTTGCGACCGGGAGTAGAGGGTCCAGCAACGTTGGACATCGTCGAGAAAGTGAACGAGGAGACTAAGGGCACTGCCACAACATAACGATTCTTCTCCCTTTTCTTTTCGTTCATCTGCACAGGTTAAATGCAGGACTTCTCAGCTTTCGTATCCTGGCCGTCCGCCCCTCTGACAAACTCTTTGGTCAGTAAGGCCTTGGATCGTCTCTCAACACCGCCTAAGCTTGTAGACTCGCCCCAAGGACACACTCGCTTGCTGCAATGGTCAACCTACGACGATATTGACCATGACCTTACCCATTCTGAAGCGGGCGTTTTGGCATCGTCGTATACCATCCGTAAAGCTCTGATACGCAAACATTACCTTGCACGCTGCATACACGCATATACCACCAAGCATACTACCTCCAAGCTCGTGCGATCTGTACCACGGTCATGGGACATTGAAATCAGCTTCGCGGATGAACTGGAGGACATGTGGACAGACGAGCTCTGGGATCTGGCGCAAAATATGGCTCCCGAGAGGTGGTGGATACTGAAGCCCGGAATGGCAGACCGCGGGATGGGCATAAGACTTTTCAACAGTCAGGACGATCTTCAGCGCATTTTTGAGGAGTTCGAGGGCGATAGCGATGAGGAAGATGACGAGGGAGAGGGGGCAACGGCTGTCGTGACTTCGCAGCTGCGACACTTCGTGATCCAAGCATGTATCGCAATCGCTCCTGTGCGGCGTGTTCCTTACTCAACCACGCCAGGAATATATACCGAACCCCCTCCTCATGGACCCGAACGATATTCCGTTGCAACCGTTATCCGGTTCAGATAACGGCAAAAGTCGCCAAGGCCACAAGGTCAGTCGTCTCGTATGACAGAACGTCATCCATAAGAACCAATCCCCTAGTTCCACCTTCGTGCATACTGCGTTGCCTCCGGCGCTCTCACAGTGTACCTCTACACGCGTATCCTGGCGTTGTTCTCTGCAGTGCCCTACACCACCCCGACTCCACAAGATGGGAAACACGGTGCAGACATTGATCTCACCCCCCACTTGACGAACACGTCTTTGCAAGCTCATCGCGGCGAAGAGGGCGTGCGCCTCCTTGATGAGCTAGCTGGGCATCGGGTCTACTCAACGCCATCGAGAGATGATGGTGTAACAACCACGCTCAAGGAAGAAGATATCGCCGACATCAAGGACCAAATATCAGCAATACTGGGTGAAACGTTTAAAGCGGCACAGGCCACGCCAATACATTTCCAGGTGAGCTTCTCTAACTGCAACAGTCGAGCGTTACATCTCAATGCAGCGCGCTTATAGGCCCTGCCGAATGCTTTCGAGCTTTTTGGAATCGATTTCCTCGTTTCGGATAACTCGGGCTCTGTCTCCTCGGAGTCTCCGGACGACCAATCGAAATTCCAGGTCCATCTGCTTGAAGTCAATTCGGAGCCTGCGATCGAGCTCACGGGTCCTCGTCTGCATTGGATCCTCGAAGATCTATTCGTTTCCATTGGGAAGGTGTGCGTTGAGCCGTTCTTCGGTGATCACAGCGCGGACGGTATCAACAAGGGCTGCGAACGTGCACAAGGTGTCGAGGATTGGAATTTGAACGAGACTCGGTTCTACCTTAGGAAATGCTTGGACGTAGAGCAAATGTACAGATAGACATTGGTTAGAAGGTCTCTCAGATCTTAGATATCCAACCCTAACCTCATCGGCACGCCTCTTCGGCGTTCGCCACCAGCGGGAATTCGGAAGCAGCACGCTGCAGCTTGCCCCGCGACAGTCGCTAAAGAGCGCTTCCGACCACTGGAGTCTCTTAGTTTCGCGGATGCCATGCGAGGACTTGCACGGTTATGGCCTCTAACTATATCTTCACGTTGACCCCGACATTCACACAAGGACTGATACTGGGTCAACTCTCCATTCTCCTGCTACTTGTCCTGATCCTGAAGTACCTCTTCTTGGACTCGGAACCTGGAAGGCAGAATCCGACGTTTCACCCCACACTTGCCGCCGACAAGCATGATGAGGCGGGACGTTTCAATATGCAAGGGACGGTGGAATCCGTCATAGACGAGGAGGGCGATAGTCTGGAAGACGATGAAGAGGAGCGTGAGGGAGAATCGGCGGACTGGTTTAACTTGCTACTCCGCAACGTCCGTATTGCTGGCCTCATTGACCATTTCTTGAACTGCAGCCTGACCAAGTCGTCCAGGTACTAGATGCATACCGGTCCAAGCTCCGCGATGATCTCCCTGGTGCTGAAGGGGATGAGGTAGCTCGAAGAAAGTTAGAAGAGTATGCTAACCGCATTAGGCCTGCAGCACTCGTTGTGAGTGTCTGTTCCGTGCTTTGAGTCGTTGAATATTCTTTGAATGCATATTCGTGTTGGGGATAGGATCCCATCCGCATACACTCGGTCGACCTGGGCTCCTCCGCCCCTCGATTCTCGAATATTCGATTGAAATCTTCAGGGATGAGAAGTACTGCGCCTTCATCACGCTCTCGAAGGCGCAGCGCAGCGCGCGAGCTTGCTTCGCAAGACTCAGAGCCTAGCGAGGTAGAACTCGACATGGTATACAAGGATAGCGTGTCGGTAGCACTTTCTACCGGCGTGCTGTTCAACTATCCGCTGCCGTCATTTGCGAGACTACCCGTGTCGCTGACAATATCGCTGGAATTGTTTCAGTCACCGGTGAGTGAACCTGCATGTAGCATCAGAGGGTACGCTGACAATGGAATAACGCAGGTCGTTTTTTTGCCCCCTTCAGCCTCCGTCAAGCCGTCTACCCTTCAGATCAGCATCCCTCCTGACGGCTTCACTTTGAATATCAAGACCACCTCGCTCATAGGCAGCCGCGCCAAACTTGCGGACGTGCCCAAGCTGCATGAACTGATCGAGCATCAGGTGCGATCCAAAGAAACGCCGCTTCACCGGGATCGATTCGCTGAGCATCAATCTCACAGATTCGTCGCTTGGTTGCTCAAAAGAATGCCTACACCTTTGTCTTACCTGGCCTGGCCAGTGTAAACGAAGTGAAAGAAGCGATCCGACACGAAAAGGAGGCACAACATTTGCCAGATTCATAGCACGCACTTATGCGGCCTGGTTAGCTCCTCTTGTGCTTTGCTGTCGTCGTGTTTATATTAGATGATATTGATGTCGTTCGTCGCTAGTTATACAACCTAATGACCCGCCCGTCTTTTCTATCGTCACATCGTTCGCTCTTCAGGGCGAACTCGTTTCGCGAGCAAGAATGCGTTCTGTCCCGGGAGAGGTGATGTTCGTCTGGGATGTGCTGCCTGAATGGTTAAGTCGAGGCACGCTCGCATTTTGTGGAGTTGCAGTTAGACGCCTACGTGCGCCATGCGCTCAATAGACAGCGCGGGCCTGCCGCATCCCCCTTCGTGCGCACGGAAGCAGAGAAGTGTGCAGCGACACGCATGCAACAGCTGATCGGACACGGGTGTTACTTGCGAAGGAGGATGTATATGGGTTCTCCGAGGACTATGCTAGCCATATGCCTGAAGGACCCCGTGAGGGCCATGAGCAGTCCACCGAACGAAGCATACGCGGTTCTGTGAGGGGCTATTCAGCGATTTGAACTTGCGAAGTCACGATAGGAAACGTACGATATCTCTGAAGTGCCCGAATCGAATTTGTAGACCTGCGTTTGGTTTCGGAATGAGACTCGAAAACGAACGTGCAGCTGTCCGGAGTACGAGGAGCATCCGTTTCTCACCTTGCCGTACATGACATAGTCGTAGTCCTCCTCGAGCCCTCGCTGGCCCTTCCCGTCCGGTCTCCACACGTTCTTCTCTTCCGCCTCGTCATCTCCGCCCGGCGCGCCCCCTCGCGAAAGCGAGCTGGACAGGGCGAGCGCGAAACTCTGTTCGTTCTTCAATGGAAACAGCTCAGTGTTGTAGTCCAGAGTCAGGTCCATGTCGTAGTTCTTCGAGTGCGCGTAGAGGCGGGAGACTGGGGGCCCAGAACGGGGTAAATAAGGGGACCGGGTCGCGCCTGCGAGTGAGGTAGGGAAGTCGTACCGCGGTCGAATTTCTTGCCCTCCTTGTCGATGGCGTTGACGGTGAAAATGTCGTCGAACACAATGTGTGAAGTGGTGGTTGCCATCGTTGTGATATGGGTGGAATGAAAGGGCAAGGGTTTCGGCGCAAGCAGAGGAGACGAGAAAAGTTGTCCGCGTTTGTGGCGCGAACGTACCTACACAACGCTTGCCTCGAGGCTCAGAGTTACAGAGTATACTGATCGTCAATCATCGCCGTACCATAGAGGATACCAGATTAACGAACAACAAGAACAACTGATATATGCATTGCGATTACAGGACAACACGAACGGCAGCAGTACAGAAGCGGACACGGGGATATCCCACAATCACTTTGGGAGAGCGTCGCAGGTCCCGCGCAAACCAGAGGTTCAACAGAGGCCGTAACCAGCACTGGACACGCGTAGAGCGTCCGCCGGATGTTTTCGCGCGTCTTTCCCCGTGAAATTTGCGAGGATGTTCGCAGAACGCAGATCCGTTATACCTGATGGCGGAGGACTACAGGACCGCGATCAGCGACGTGATAGAGCGATGATCGAGTGAAGCCTACCAAGAATTACGGAGTCGCCACTGGAAGCGGGGGCATGAGCGCCTACGTCCATACGACATCGATGGTGTCACTCACCGCAGGAACATTTTGCTGATGAACCGGTCCTTGTTGACGGGCTTCTTGTTCTTTCCTTTCGGGACCTCGGTCCACATCTGGCATCAAGCATTCAGCAAGGTGAACCAGCGCGGTAACCGAGGAGTTGGAAAGGTGGTCAGACCTCTTTCACGTTCTCCAGAACCTGTAAAAGGGTTGAGCTCAAGAGATTCCCGAGCATACGGCCCGCTACTCACCATGTTACTGTGCCTGTCGAAAGCCTTGACGCGCGCTAGCAGCTTCTTGTTGTTGCGGAGCGAGATGAGGACCTGGGCGTGGTTCCTCACCGCCTGCTGCAACACCGACAGCGGGCCCTGACTGATCTCATGCTCTTCCAGAGCACGAAGCTGCGCCTCGTCCAGCTCGGACTTGGGAACGTGCACGTATTGACTAGCATATGAATCGTTGGTTAGTCGGAGAATATCTTGCAGCAGCACGGTGAACGCGAGTACCTCATGGTGGAACAGTGAAGGAGCCTATTCCCTTTTCGGGAAATTTGAGGCAGACCCAAATTTTGGATTCCCCTTGCTGAGAAGCGCTCCATCCCCACCTCCCTCCATCTCATACTACAAAACCCTCCCTTCGTCCTAGCCACGATGGCTCGCATAAAGCAGAAGGGAAAATCTGGCGCGGCCAAGGCGTATGTCACCCGCTCAGCGGCGATCAAGAAGTTGCAATGTTCCCTGGCCGACTTTCGACGGTTATGCATCCTGAAGGGTGAGTATCGCAGCATGTGCTCGTCCAGGTTTTGCACTGTACTGACTTTTGGGATACTCAAGGTATCTTTCCTCGGGAGCCCCGGCATCGTAAACGTGCCAACAAAGGATCCTCTGCGCCAACATCTTTCTATTACGCCAAGGACATTGCGTACCTCGCCCACGAACCCGTCTTGAGGAAGCTTCGCGAGCACAAAGCGTTCGCAAAACGACTATCAAGAGCTCTTGGGCGTGGCGAGTGGAGCAGCGCGAAGAGCCTCGAGGAGAACAAGCCGGTGTACCGCCTGGATCACATCATCAAGGAACGGTCAGTACCGCTTGGTTTGCCAAACCTTGTGCAGCATGTTCTAAGCCGTCGATAGGTACCCCACGTTCGTAGATGCAGTCCGGGACATCGATGATGCGCTCTGCATGGCCTTCCTCTTCGCTTCTCTGCCTTCGGACGGACGTATACAACCGTCGCTCATCGAAAACTGCGCCAGGCTGGCTGCGGAGTGGCAGCTGTACGTGATTCACACGCGAGCGTTGCGCAAGACGTTCTTGTCCATCAAGGGCATATATTACCAAGCGGAGGTGGAAGGGCAGACGGTGACATGGCTCGTGCCGTATCAGTTCACTCAGACGGTATGTGTACTTGGACATGTCGCTTCATCGAACATATCCCGACGTATCCCCATCTATTTTTTTAAAACTTAGATACCGCCTGACGTCGATGCCCGGGTCATGTTGACCTTCCTCGAGCTGTACCAGACCCTGCTCGGTTTCGTGTTCTTCAAGCTGTACACGGATGCTGGCCTCGTGTACCCGCCGCCCTTGGACCTCAAGAAGGACGAGGGTGCGGCGGGCGTCGGCGCGTTCTCTCTCCAGGACGCCAAGAGCGCGAGTGCGGCGGCGTTCAAAAAGACGAAAGAGGTCGAGGTCGACGGCAAGAAAATCACCTCCAAGGACGTACGGCAAACGATCAAAAGCATCGCCACGTCCGCCCACGCCGGCGACGACGACGTTGGCGCGCCAGAGCCGGAAAGGGTGACGGTGTCGAACGACGCCGACGAAGACTTTGTACCCCAGCCCTCCAAGACCGAGATCGCCCAGGGCGCCGAGCTTCCGACCCTCCAACAGATCTCCACCCTCCCCTCATCCGCGCCCATCAACCTCTTCGCGCCGTACACGTTCTGGCTCTCGCGCGAGACGCCGAGATCGATATTCGAGTTCATCGTGCGCTCGTTCGGGGGACGGATCGGCTGGCCGGCGTCGTCCGGCACGGGGTCGCCGTTCGAGGAGGAGGACGAGAGCATCACGCACGTTATCATCGACCGGCCGGTGGCGGAGAAGGCGAGGGAGCACGAGACGGAGGAGGCGAGGGAGAGGAGGCGGAGGAGGAAGTACGTGCAGCCGCAGTGGGTCGTGGACTGCGTCAACGCCGGGAAGCTGCTGTCGGAGGAGCCGTATCTGCAGGGGAAGACGCTGCCGCCGCACTTGAGCCCGTTCGGCGCGCCCGTCGGGGCGTACGATCCGTTGGCGGCGGCTGGGGAAGGGGAGGACGTTGAGATGTCGGATGGTGAGGAGAGCGAGGAGGAGGCTGAGGTTGAGGAAGCTGAGGAAGAGGCGGAAGAGGAGTCGCCCCGGACAATCGTCAGGCAGGCTGCTGCTGCCGCTGCCGACGATCCCGCTGCGCTGCGTGCGGCGGAGCTGGCGGCGGAGGCGGCGGGAGTCGATTACGGCACGTTCGAGAAGGAAGTCAGCAAGGCGCAGAAGAAGGCCAAGGGGCAGAAATCCGATGCGCCGGCGGAGGAGGGCGAGCAGAACATGAACAAGATGCTGATGAGCAACAAGCAGCGCAAGCTGTACGAGCGCATGAAGTACGGCGAAAAGAAGCGCGCGAACGAGGTACGGAGATTGGCTCTATTACCCTTCCTTTCTTCGCTGTCGCGCCGGATGGATGGGGAAGCTCACTCTTTTCTACTTCCGCAGCGGGCCGTGCTGGAGCAAAAGCGGAAGAACCTGGCGAAGGACAAGAAACGGCAATCGAAAAGCAGTTCGTGAACCCTCGCGAGCGCCCATCTCCGCGCCTTTGGCTGGGATGGCCTCCCTTCTGGCACCGGCGACGTGCTTTGGACGGAGATATCGACTCTATCGGCGGTTTGATGCTGCCAGGGCAGGTCGCCACGCGGTCCTTCTGTTGATCTGGGTCTGGACCGCGGGTCTATTTGCGTACCAGGTCACTTTAGGGTGTGTGCTGTATCGTTCCTTGCTTGTAAGGTTTTCTGCGCGCAATGTCAGAGTTCAGGCGAAAATAATCGCTGAGTGTGGTTGAGAGGGTCGAATAGAATTGGTCGACGCACAGATCGTACGGTCCCCGGAATTGCACGTGCCCCCGCCCCTGGGGCGAGTACGCGGGGTTCGGCCGTCGGTCATACATACTTACGGACGTCCGCCGCGCCTTTGTCACCGACGAATCTCAAACCGCTGCGCTCGATGCTACACTAGTACACACCTGAACCCAGCGCTGCCCCAACAGCACGGAAGTTCTTCGCTGAACGTTCTTCGCTGCACCCATCGATGGTGGGCATCTTCGGCCTGGCTCACAAGAACTCGCCGTCACGCGAACCTCGTCCCAATAACACCAACAACGGCGCCAGACCGCCCCCGCCGCCGTACGAGCAGGGCGCGCAAGACCATCATGCGCCGGTGCTGGTCGCGACCACCACGACGCAGGTGACGACGACCACGACCGAAACCACGACCCACTTCTTCTCCCTCCCTCTCTGGCGCCGCCGCGGCGCGCAACCCCCCACCGAATCCCCCACCGTCGCCGCCTCCCACGCTGACCCCCGAACGCCGAAACCGGACGAGGTCGGCGTGATCAGTCTCAGCCGGACCGCCTCGTCGACGCCCAATCTCCAGCTGCGGAACAAGGACCTGCCGCCGACGCCGCCGGGCTCGAGCGAGGGCGGGTCGCCGCAGCTCCAGCTCGGCCTCGCGGGCCCGAGCGGATACGCCGCCGCCGCCGTCGCTGCAGGGCGGGTGTCCAGCTCGACGATCGCGACTACGCCAGGCACGGAACACCACCAATCCGTCTTGTTCCCCTCCCAGCTCGCCACTGCCCCGTCCAACGGCTCGACCACGCACGCGCTCGCGCGGGCAGCGTTGGGACTTGGACTGATGCCCCAGCACGCCGCGTCCGCCTCTTCGTCAGAGGTACACACCGTCGCGTTCGCCACGCCCGACCCGTCATCGTCGGCGGCGTCGGCACCGAAGGCCTACGAAGTTCGCCGGGCCAAGTCGTACGGCAAGCTCACGAAAACGGGTTCGTCGGCCGTATCCTCCCCCGATCCGCACGCGCAGCGGCGCTCCCGCGGCCTGTCGCTGGGCCCGTTCCACCTCGCGACGGGCGCGTTCACCGAAGGCAAGGGCAAGGAGCGGGAACGGGTCGCCGTGGACGACAGCGGCTCAGGTTCGCTGACGCCCCCCAAGGCGGTCTCCCGCAAGTCGTCCTTCTTCTCGCGCAAACGCTACGATTCTGCTGCCGCCGCCCCGTCGCCGTCGCCGTCGCCGCGCACGCAGGAGGTGACGCTGAACGCTACGTTGCCCTCCCTGCAGCCCGTCTCGCCATTCGACATGGACCTCGGTCCGCAGCAAGCCGGCCCGTCCAGCCTGCGCCGGCGGCATTCCGAGCGCAGCCAGGCGCACGCGTCGCCCGAATCGTCCGCGCGCGCGACGAAACCCGAACCTGCTACCGTGCGACCTCGAACGCGCCGACCCTCCACCGCCGACAACGCGCGCCCTCGCTCCGCCTACGTCGACCCTTCCTCCCGCGCCACCGCCTCCGCGTCCCTCCTCGCGTCCCCCCCGCCCCTCCCCCACCTCTCCGCCCAATCCCTGCTTCCGCCCTCTTCCTCGACCCCGCACGTGCTACCCTCTCCCCTCAGCGGCCCCGGTCCGAGTCGTATACGGGCGAAGACCACGCCGTCGACCTCGATACTTCCCCGGCTTTCGCTCAGCTTTTCCTCCAACTCGCATCAGCATCCTGCGCAACCGCCGTCCGGCGAGAGCTTCTTCGGCGGGCCGACGACGTCGTCGCCTGGACCGAGCGCAGCGCCGTCCCCGCGCCAGTCGTTCACGAAGAACGCGGCCGAGCTCAAGCCCAGGATCGACGAGGAGTCGCCGGAGGTGTACCTCCAGCGGCTCACGGAGGCCGTCAACCGGGCGGAGATCGCGTCCATTTTGGCTGCCAGGTGAGTCCTCCCCCCCCCCCCCCCCCCCCCCCC